ATGAAACTTTAACCTAACGTACCTAAATCCATCAAAATCCATACCCCTGTTTTGGAGTACGGTATTTCGGTGGATTCAGGTTCCATCCATATTGAAAAGGGGCGGGGGTGATGGATTCAGGATTGTAAGCCTAGCAATGCTGTAGGATTTTGATGGATTACACCATACTGAGCAGTCATCAACACAAACAATGTTGTGTATGACACAATAGGTGGATTTTGGAGGATTCAGGACACTTTCTAGTAAAAGTGCTCAAGGGGTTGGGGTTAAAGAATAAAACTGCACACTGACGAAACTGACTTTGAGCAGCAAGGAGAAAGTGGGATTCTAAAAGGTAACAAAATGGCATTTGTCACGTTTTGGAAAATAAACCTACCAGTATAATGCACAGTTCAAAAATTAGTGCATTGACCATCTGTGATTTTAGATACATTCTTGTTTACAACTGAAAGCCTGCGACATCAAAAAAATCACTTGGAAACCATCCGAATGTTTCCTATCAACAATGTAACATAAGATCCATATTATGAAATGGGAACTTTATTTTTCACTAGCATGGAATGTTTGCAGATATGTACAGTGAGGAGTTTATTCAAAATATTATTAAAAAGAAAAAATGCACTGACCCAATGTACTGTGTGTCACAGCTTTTCTACACGAAAATGCCAATTCAACTTCAAGATGAGTTACTCACAGACATGTACACACATGCCAGGTAAAAATGCATCACCAAAGCCCATGTTTTGCACTGACATATTCCTACTGATGTACATACCATACAAAACACAGAGCTTTAACGAAACAATGCCGAAAAGAAAAGAAAGGTAAAGAGGCAGAAGGGGAATACTGAGAAAAGAGCTTCGTCTTTGAAAGTTCTTGCGTACTTTCTGGTTTGCATATTGTGGCGAAAATTACTATAGCGGCAGAGTCCAAAGAGGGCGCGCTAGCGGCTGCGGGCCCCTATATAAGAGGCCGCGGGGCAGTTGCTAGAGGAGACGTACATGAAGACGCAGACGGAGACACAGCCCTCATAAGAGCTCACGCTATTACGCGCGCTGACGGCGTGCTGGGTGGTGCGGTGGAGTCAGGCTGGCATTAGGAGGCACGGAGTCCGCGGAGGCTACTGGAGGCGGAGCGACATACAGCGATCTGCCGATTGTAACGTGACGGAGCCGGAAGGGCGCGCTCATCTACCCGCCGCCTCGAGGAAGGCTCGCGACTGGAAACGGTGGAGGGCGGGAGAGTGGAGGCGCACAGGAACGCTAGAGGCGTACGGTTCTTACCCGGGATTCAGAGGCTATCCCCAGCCAGGCATCGCCGTGCTGCCCAGCACTGCCCTACCGTAGCGGCTAATGCGAGGCTACCCCTACAGAGATAATTGAGAGGCTCAGAGACCAATCACTTATTAGAGGCTAACATTATAATTTAACGAGAGGTCCATCATATGACATGATTCTATGTAAATAAATCAATCAGTAATTGAGGTCATTGACTGTTGTGTACTTAATTGTCTGTCCTTGTCCATCTTGGAGGTTGAGGGGCGTGGGTGAGTGCTGCTACGCGTATAGGGCGGTATATTTCCATCCAAACGGGCCTGCATTCCCGGCTGCTGGGGTACTGATTCTAAGCTAGGTTGTCTGGGTAAAGGGACTACGGATCGGGTCACAGATATTCCCGCCACAATATTATAACCTGCAAGGCCCTCGTACTGTGCCTAGTGCCTACATGGTCAATGAAGCATGTAAAGTCAAACTATAAAAGATAACCTGCTAGTCAACACATGCGTATAAAAAGTGAAAGCAGTGGCGAAAAGAAGGATGTGTTGCAATCCCAGTCCCCCCCCCCCCAGAGAAATTTGCGGTATACATGTAAATGACCTTGGTTAACGGTTTAACAAAAATTGCCACCCCCTCTGTTACATACAGCCCTCCCACTTGTCTCCCTGTGGTGAGAATCCTGGCTACCCCCGAGTTAAGGATGCGTCATGGTTTAAGATTTTACTTGATTATAATATACTTTTTTGTCCAGTGAATTTAAAGGTATAGTCCATCATTTGCAGCCATCCGAAAAGTAACTGGCGTAATTATTGTTCAAAAACAAACTTGGTTGAAATATAGTAAGGGGACTAAACTCCCTGTGAAACTATTCTTTCTGGGAAGCTGTCATTTTGAAGTAATCAACGAAAGAAGGCATTTCCAACGGTGATTCTTATAAAGCACCGTAGGAAAATTTAAATTAGTAGTTCGTTTTGTTATTCAGCGCAGCGCGCACAAGTATTGGAACAACGCACACGCGCGCGCGGTTGTTATAATTCGTCGGATCAGTGCGCGACGTCGCGTATAGCTGCAATTCAAAACAATTCAAAACATGATTCAGTAACTTTGGATTTGAAATTGAGATCTTAGAATGCTGTTTTTCTCGGAATGTACAGCTGAAGCTTAGCTGAAACTTCACCAGGTTAGTTGCTCAGTATCCTTCATTAGATTGTGAACTCTTTTGTTGCTTCAAATGAACAAAATGCACAAATTACAAATGATGGACTGTAGCTTTAAAGTTGTAAAGTCCACTACTTGAAAAATACTCTTTCAAATTTTTGCAAAAAGAAATTTAGACTCTGGAGTCTTGCTGTAACAGTCTTACGTGAAATTACAAGTTAGTGTAGTCACTAAAGTTCTTGTACTCATCACAAAACTTCACCGGCTCCTGGTACAGGAAGGTATTTGTACACAAATTCTGGTTCTTTGAGACCCTGAATGATCCAATTGTTGTGTTACCACAATACCATTCATAAGTGTGCAGTCAGTTAGAACTGGCAGTACAGGGCACATGAATGAGGCCAGAGTATGCATTAAATTTACATGTGCTTCCCTCAGAGGCCCACGTGTTTGGAGCCGGAAATTAACTAAAGGGGTTGAATAAAGAAGTAAACCTCAACTAGACTAGTCATGAGGGCATTACACCGCAATCTTTGAAAAACTCACCCGGAAACATCATACCGCACATTGTACACTATGTGGTTAAAGATATAGTCCATCATTTGTAATTTGTGCATTTTGTTCGTATGAAGCAACAAAAGTGTTCAAAATATGAAGGATACTGAACAACTAACCTGATGAAGTTTCAGCTCAGCTTCAGGTGTATATTCCGAGAAAAAACAGCATTCTAGGATCTCAATTTCAAATCAAAAGTTGCTGAATCATGTTTGGAATTGTTTTGAATAGCAGCTATACGCGATGTCGCGCACTGATCCGACGAATTATAGCAACCTCGCGCGCCTGTGCGTCGTGCCAATGAGGGCGCGCGCTGCGCCGAATAACAACACGAACTACTAATTTAAATTTTCCTACGGTACGTCTTAAGACGCACCGTTGGAAAGGCCTTCTTTCGTTGATTACTTCAAAATGATAGCTTGCCAGAAAGAATAATTTCACAGGGAGTTTAGTCCACTTACTATCTTTCAACCAAGTATGTTTTTCAACAATAATACGCCAGTTACTTTTTCCGATGGCTGCAAATGATGGACTATAGCTTGAATAAAATCATGATAAAATCAAAACTTGATCAGGAGTGATTCTTGCCTTTAACTACGTGTATAGGTTATCATTATGAGGAATTATTTATCATAAATTTCAAACACTTGTGACAAACATTTTTATTTTAGGAAAATATGGATCGACTTTTCAACAAACTCTTCATACGCTGATTGTTGAAAAGACAAAAAAAGGTTTCTAGTTTGGGGGCAGGATCATTGGGGGGGATACTAATGGGACTACTTTGCAATTGATCAAATTAATAAATGACAAAACTTGTAACAAAATCAAAGTATATTTATGTACACTTGAAAAAAACATTTGTAGACCTAGTTAGGTCCATATGAGAAAATGATGACGTGTTTGGTGGCCAAGGCAGAGTGATTCCTTTCATACAACTCGCAGTCACACACAAAAATGTACACCTACAAGATTATGAGTGTTGGCTACATGTCAACACACATGCAGATCATATTACCCCCATAAATGTGTCTCACATACTGGAATTCCTCGGTACCGTATGGATATGAACGAGGACTATGACATGATTTATGGCTCGTTGGTGACTGGTCACTGCGAGGGATTAACCAATAAGAGGGAAAAGGCTTCAAATTTTCACAGGAGTCGGATCTTCATATGAAACCAGCACTAGAAAAAGGGTGATCGTGTAGCATAGGGCCCTGTTCCCTAGTAGTAAGAGAACCAAATCTACTTTCAAGTTATTTTAACTTACCAAGCTAGTCAGCTACCGGTAGTTGGCGACATTAAGAACTAACATGTAGGTCATTTTCACAGATGTATGGGCACTGTTTTGAATTTTTGAGGGAAATGTTGGGGTAAATTGACGACGACAATGACAAAACGCAACACGAAAATAAAGATGGCGATCTTGCGATGTACAGGGAACATGCAATACCGCGTTGAATCGCACGCGACACCAACAGTAAAACCTGTACGAAAATCGTAATTTCTACCACAAGAAAATGTTAAAACAATTTACCAAGGAAGGTGTCATTAGAAATGAAAGAAGTCTGTTTTAGGTTGAAGTTCATTTTGAAGTTATGAAATAACAACCTGGACTCTAATTTAATCAAACCTAGTAAAGAGGGGCCCTACACTAAGTACACGATCGAACGATTTTATGACAATCGCCATAAAAATTTATACATAAACCTGAACAAAATATCAGGAAAATTGCCGCAGGAAGTCCTGGACAGAACGAAACAATGCATGCAAAGTAGTTCCAAATATTGAACCGTTCACAGCACCACATGTACATCTGGCCGATTCCACCATAGAGATTGCACAGTGGCAGCAGCACACACACAGTACAGTCACTAGTCACACTGTACTCACAGTCAACAAGTTGCGTGCATGCAGTGTGCAATGTTGTTGTAGTCGGTCAATTCCTGTTCCAGACCTCAACCGTCACACTGCTCTAACTTTGCTTTAAAAAAAATCCCAACTTACCATAAGCATCTGCCTCATTCCTTGTCTAACGTTCCCATTCGAGATTAAGTCAGCAGACACAGGGAGAAGTCAAACATTCGAAAGACATGGTAATTCGGATAACCCATGGTGATCTACGTACACCTGTTCAGTTGAGTGGTTGCGTGTAAATGTAGTCTGAGCCCTAACTCGTTCGCTTGCACTGATATCGAGTCGGGAATTAGATCACCCAAAAAGTGTTTAGTCATGTGACCTTGACTTTTGGCTAGCGCATGCATGGAGTGGCATTCATATCTTGTGCCCAAAGCCACCAAACTACTTTCTACCTCTCGAGAAAAGTCATTAAATTAAGTTCCCCGTGCAATTTCGAGGGTTTTTTTTAACGAAAAATAGGTTCCGTTGTTCAACTGCGATTTTTTTTCTAGCAATTATTCAATATTGAATGAGACATCGACCGAAAAATCAAATTTTATTCACTTCTCGCGGGATAACATGTCCCCCCCCCCCATTAGTATCGATAGTGTACGGACCGGGAGCCAGTCTGCTCCAAAGCGAATCGTTCATAGGCGTTGCCAGCATGGTGGGGGTGGGGTGGGGTACCCCCCCCCCCCCCCGCTTCCAAAAAGAAATATTTTGTAAAGATTGCTCTTTTCCATTCAACGCCCTTTTTTCACAAGCGCTTACCCCCCCCTTCCCTCCCCAATATTTGTAAAGAGTGCCCTTTTTTAACAAGTGCCCTTTTTTCTGAACAAGTGCCCTTTTTAAAAAGTATTTGCACCCTTTTTTGTGCCATTGGGCGTCCGGGTTCCGGCGTCGGAGTCGTCGGGACTTATGGGCCTTTATTTGGTTGGGGGATGCGATTTTGTCGGACGTATGCGGCGTCGGTCGGACGTAATGAGGCGTCGGACTTAATATGAGCGGACCACGTACAACCCTTAACCCCACAAGCGGACATTATCACTGCGATATGATTGTCATAATTTTATTTATTATTTTTTTTTGGGGGGGGGGGGTTCAGAGCAGGGGGAGTTTTCATGTTATTTGTAATATTATTTATAATATGGGGGTGGGTTTCGACAACTTTCTCATTTTTTCCTTGTCAAAAATGATGATTCAGCTAATCAGATTAAATTTATGCGCGATCGTACTCTCGATCGCAAATGTTGGGGAAAAAAATGAAATAAAACACTTTGGCTTTTCTACCGTAGCGTAGTGTAAAAGCTAATACGAGTTTCGTAAATTGGCAAGATTCTGTGAATTGTTTTGTTCAAGATGTTGTAACTGCCCCCCCCCCCCCCCAAGGACTCGGAAACTATTATGAAAATAGAAATCATTAGGCCTACTGAAATCCTTCCCTGCTTTCCCGCGTGGCCGGAGTACAGCTCCAAGTTTGTTTGTCATTCTGAAAATTGTATTCATTAGGTTTTTTTTCAGAAATTGTTCGAAATTCGTATGTCTTGCGAATTTAGTTACCCATTACAAAAGTTTAAAATATTCACCGCACTCGAACCGATACGGCAGGAGGTCGAACGGAATAACTGGTATAATCTTTAGAGCCTAACTTTAATCTGAAAAATCGCCACCATATTTTGCAGAAATGATAAGATGTACGATAGGCGTATGTCTGTATAAATCACCATGAAGATGGGCAATTTATTAATATATTCATCAGCATGGTGATAATTTTGTTAAGTTAAATATTGCAAAATTTGGGCAGCGGAATATTTGTACCGTATGGTAAAATAGCATGCATGAATGCAAGGCGCCAAGGTGCAGGTGTTTCCTATAAAGGCCTAGCTAGAATAAAAAGAAATCGCCAAATTTCATAATTATCTTGGACCCCGTCGAATTACGTCACGCCAAGCGGGTGTAGAGTATCTCTGGGGGGTTTAGTAATAATGCAGGGGTGGATTAAAACTCATTATGCTGTGGCGTAAGAAATGGGGTCGTATACACATGTATTTGTTTTGAAAGAGAAAGAAACAGTCTATACTGTCCTCATTTTCTGGAGGGGCATTCAATTTCTTCTTCAAATTTGAGTTCTTCTTATACCCATTTTGTCTATAATAGTTGTGATATTGAACCCTATATCAAACCGGTATATTTTGTGGTCTTCTCCGAGGGCCGGGGAGGGGGGGGGGGCGCACAAAGTTATTAGCCTAGTTATTTCTAAAGCTAGGACCCCGACCACTTGTCTTTTAATGTACCGCACGCTCATTTCTCGATAGAGGGCGTTCTGAGCCGTAAAGCTTGTGCCAAGTTCGCGGAAGGACTATAGTTGACCAATGGTTAACTAACGTTTGCCCGAACTCTGTCTAGTCAGTCGACGATGGTTGACTACGCTAGTCGACTATTTGGAACCAGCCTACTGGGGTTGGTTGCATCGCTGGTAACCAATAGCCGCGCGCATTCATAACGCTAGCAAAGAGCCAGGATCCAGAAGCTTTGCGGGGTGCACACCGGTAAATCGATCCGCCAAGCTCATGAATAAAAGTTATACCCTCAAAATATTCTATATTAGAGAGTTCTGAGCGCCGTAAAATTGGGGAATTGAAGAGATATGGTAATGAACCTCTGGCCCGGACTTGGGGCTTCCAATTCTGAGCATTTTGGATGCTATTGGGCTCGAAAGTGGCGCTATTTTGCCATGTTGTGGAGGGATCGTTTTTCAAGATGGCTACTTTTCCGCTTATGGGAAAATAGGGGTCGTCTTCTTTGGGTGAAAATATCTCGAAAAGTCAATGGTCAACCCACCAAAAATTGAAAAGAAAACGAAAGATGACATGTTGATTATCATTTTTCTGTGCAGCTTGAATACCTGTGAGAGTTTTGAGTATTTTTCAAAGAATTTTGAAGTATGGGCATTTAGCACTAGTGTCTATGGGAGTTTATTTGCAGGTATGCACCCTGCGATGACATTTTGACCAGCGTTGACTCGACTAGAGACGTTCGCACGTTGCTATCAGTGCGCAGGCGTAAGGTACGTCACAAATCAACCACTAGTCGACTAATGGTCCTTGCCCGAACTTGGCCTGAAATGCTGATCCGCAAACCTAGACACGCGGCCTGTCACGTCGGGAACATGACGAACAGTGGTGGCGTTACGGGGGGGGGGGGCGCAAGGGGAATTCCTCCTCCCCAACCCACTTGCCCCCTTTTCGATATTTCCCACGGCCGGTGATTTTTCTATATGTCCCCCTCTACATTTATTTCTGTGCCCCCCCCCCCCCCCCCCCCCAATTATACTTCCTCACCCAGTAGAGTTTAGCGCCGCCAATGGATAGAATTAAATGAACCGGTCGGATTCTGGTGAAGAACATTGGTAAGATAACTACAAGACTTAGTAGTTAGACGATTAAGGTGACGTGTAGGCGCACCTTTTTGCTTGCGCCTATACCGACACGGGCGTCGCCACATGGGGAGAGGCCGTTCCATACGTCCTGTCCTGTCGGCTAAATATTGATTTTGAGGCGGCTGAGTGACCGGGGACAAAGTTTCCTGACTATCATACAGCAGGTACGGATCGATTGCCTTTTGGCAAATTTGTTGTCAACCCTCCCCCAATTTGAATTGATCTGGCGACGCACCTGCTCAACGTGAAAAGGTATAGTGAAACTCCGGCTACGCTTATAACTGTTGGTAAATACTCCTAAATTCTAGAATTTACAGACCAGTTGAAACGTTACGAGAGATTATGCTAAAGACTTTATTCACCAGTCGGCCATACATTGAAAGCGGCGAGGTAAACTCTTCATTTTGGGAACTTGCTGATAAAAATTTAAGCAATGAAATAAAAATTCATTACAAATTGATACCAGTGGCGTAGCTAGGATTGTTAGTGGGGGCATGGGGGCACATATCGCACACGTCCTACTGCAGTTTTTCCCACTTGGGGCCCCATTATCTCGCTATATAAGAAATTGCAAACAGTAAGCCTTTGGCTAACTGAAAAAATAACTTACAAAAACCCTTTTTGGTTGGGAAAGGAAAAGGGGCATTATCAGTATTTTGGTGGGGCACCTGGAGGGGGGCACACCTCGTGGCTACACCACTGATTAATACCATTGTGTTCTGATGAATAATTAAACATTTGTGGATAAACATACAATGAAAATGAGGCTTGGAACAAAGGAGATATAAAATGTAGAAACTCATCGATAAATTAGCGTCGAAATAAGCAACAAACTTTCTCTTTCCGTCAAGTTCAGTAACAAACAGGCACAGCACACTGTAAACTTCCTCCATCATCAAATATGTTAACCATAAATGCATGTGTGTCACTCGTAATTCACTAATGAGATGATAATTTATGCACTCATCTGAATACCAGACCTTTTGTTTATAAAAATTGAGCTTATATATAATACAGCCCGCCGCCGCATCACGAAAAGATTTCAACTCGCACGTATTGCAAACCTGCACCAATTTATTTATTTAAAAAAACCCAATCCAATTAAATGACGGAATTCACTTACTTTAATTCATTGAAGAAATAAAATTCAAAAATTCACAATATATTAAATGAACGAATTTTGACTCAATAAAAGCTGAAAACTACGAAAGGTTGCACATTAACAACTCCCCAAAAATGGTACCGTATAACCTCGACTTAATAAAAATGTATGACTGATAATGACTGAACGCTTAATACAAGGTAATGGCGTTTCTCGATGACATCGTCAGCTGTACAGACAGAAAACCTTGGTTTTTACCCAAAAGCAAATATCCCTTTTTAAAGCTAGAGTCATTCATTTGCAGCCATCCGAAAAGTAACCGGCGTAATTATTGTTGAAAAACAAACTTGGTTGAAAGATAGTAAGGGAACTAAACTCCCTGTGAAATTATTCTTTCTGGGAAGCTGTCATTTTGAAGTAATCAACGAAAGAAGGCATTTCCAACGGTGATTCTTAAGAAGCACCGTAGGAAAATTTAAATTAGTAGTTCGTTTTGTTATTCAGCGCAGCGTGCACAAGTATTGGAACGACGCACACGCGCGCGCGGTTGTTATAATTCGTCGGATCAGTGCGCGACATCGCGTACAGCTGCAATTCAAAACAATTCAAAACATGATTCAGTAACTTTTGATTTGAAATTGAGATCTTAGAATGCTGTTTTTCTCGGAATGTACAGCTGAAGCTTAGCTGAAATTTCATCAGGTTAGTTGCTCAGTATCCTTCATTAGATTTTGAACTCTTTTGTTGCTTCAAACGAACAAAATGCACAAATTACAAATGATGGACTATAGCTTTAATATAGCACCGTAGGTGTGGTGCCTGTCGTTACGCGGTGTGATATCTGTCCGCGCGGCACGATGTCTGTCCCATAGTCCTTAGGCAGCGTGGTGTGTGGGAAATACTATTAAACAGTTAGGATCATTCTTGTTCCATGACGTGGTATTTGTGTGCAAATGCATGCTGGTATGCGCGTTCAGCGTTGCGCGTAGCGCGTATTGTTCCAAAGAGCCAGCGCTACAGCGTTGGGTTCAAACATTTTCGTGAAGGGGTGGTTTGGAAAAGAGAAATACACTTTTAACCAATTTTATATTGAAATAAAAGTTCAAATATATCAAATGGCAAGGATCTATATGTCAGTTATATAAAACAAATAGTGAGTGGCTTTAATTGTGAAATGGGAGGAATTTTATCGCTCGGTAAAATCTGGACTTTTCCCGTTCACTCAGCTTCGTCTCGTGAAATGGAAAAGTCCATACTTTACCTTGCGATAATATTCCTCCCATTTCACGCTGATCCACTCACTATTTGTATACTAAAACACTAGAACACGTTTGTATACTGCATTTTGGTACAAGCCTACAAACCCCAGCAGAATTCCGGCGGAAATCAAATGGTGAAAGAATTGAACTATTATATCAAGAAATATAACCAAATTATGAGTCCACACTCATCCAACTATCTTTTTGGCCATTTTTTTATCCCATGGTTTCGGTATTTTGCTGGACTTCGTAATCAACCATTTCTCCAAAATCCTGATTCTGAGGCAGACAGCGACAGAATAGTGCATTGAAGCCCTGCCTGAAACCATCCAAACGCCACCAGTAGATTAGCGGGTTGATAGCTGGAGACAGACAATAAATAAAACCGGTAAACGTGTTGTAGTTATTGGAGGTATCGTCGGAGATTGTGCTCTGACCAGTTTCGATGAAATACTCAATTATCTGGCCGATGTTGTAAGGGATCCAACAAATGCATGATGTCACAAGAATGATGGAGAAAGTGACCAACAAGCGACGGGTCTGACGAACACGAGTAGCGGCCTGTTCCGAGTCATCAGGGATGGAGAGACCTGGGCTTGATGCAAGCGGGGGAACGTAGCCCTTGATCTTTCTGAAGACGAAGAAGTACAGCACAGCGGTCACGATCCACACAGCGAGTATTAACGGAGATCTAAACCACGCTGATAGAATCAAGCGAACCTCACTAGATGCCACCAAGACTACCGGCAAGTGAAGTGCGAGGGAGAAACACCAAAGGAGAAGGCAAACCACTACCAGGCGGCATCGCGTCACCAACGCGTCATAGCGAGAGGGCGGCGTGATAGTCAGTGCCAGGTAGCGGTTCACAGCCACTGCTAAAATCATCAGCACGGAAACGAAGAAACTCGACTGGAGAAGGGCAGAAAGGAATTGTGCCCTGTTTATGGAAAAGGCAATTGCCATCACAGAAAACACCAGGTCGGCCAGGGCGAGACTGAAGACGAAGGCGAAGTACTTGATGCGGAGATGGCTGGTTTTGGCTAACACCACCATCACCAGCAGATTCTCCAACAAAGCCAGGACTGCAATAACAGCTATAAAATAATTGGTTACGGTGGCGAAGGAAGAAACCATTGTCGATTGCCTGCACAGATAAAACAACATGATCAATAACACTTAATTTAGGTGATCTAACCAATTAACGTGTTGTCACCGACACGAAGTAACACCCAAGTGTTACTTCGTGAAAACCGCAAAATGACAAATGTCGGTTTCACCATAATTATGGAGAAATAAAACATATTTCTCCATGGTTTCACGAAGTATTACACTCGTGTGTGCGCGCACTCATCGGACACTTGGGGGATCGATTTTCGTTTTCACACTATTACGGAAATACTTTTTGGATTAAAGCGTTTTAAAACGTTTGACAGGAATGTAATTTATACATAATTCTTGTAGGATAACAGAAAGCCTTCAAACTGGCGAAATAAAGATGAGTGTTTCTTCGTGAAAACGAAAATGACTCAGCGCACAGTACACGAGTGCATGGAGCTATACAGGATGTTTCAATAACGAAGAACCAGTATGGACAGACTAAATGTTTACTGGCTATAAAACTGTTATCATCTGAAAGCGTAATCTCTATGCTTTTCAATGATACCTTGTTTACATTTCCAGGGTTATGCATCACTGAGCGCCACTGTCATGAGATTTTGATGAAAAATTGCAGTTGGTTCACTTTCATGTCAACATAGGTATGGTGTGCATGAGAATATGTATTCAAGAAGAAGAAACGAGTGCATAAAAAGTAACCAAAAACAAGTCGGGTTGGTTTCAAAACTGGATTTTATTGTTTGTCATGAATTTCTTTTTTTGACCAAGCCACGTTCAAAACAATGTGCCATTTTCCCGAGGATTAACATTAAAGCCATTTTACAGACATTTTCGTAACAATAGGCACACCGTGCCCAGTGGTTTTTTTTTTTATGAAAGTGAACCAACTGCATTTTTGCATCCAGTTTTCAAGACAATGATGCTCACTGATGCATGACTCAGAAAACCTAAACATAGTATAGAGATTACGCTTTGAGATGATACCAGTTTCATAGCCAGTAAACATATCGTCTGTCCATACTCATTCTTTGAAGTTGGTTTTCCTTCTTTTTTTTGTTAACACCCTGTAAAACACGTGTTACTTCGTGAAAACAAAATCGCTCATTTTTCTACGCGCGCTCTCAAGTCCACTTGGGTGTTACTTCGTGGTGTCACTGACGGTGTGGTAAAATGGAACATGTTAAAGTATGCTGATGAAACGTTTTGGGAATCCATTCCGCCGTTCGTCCGTGTATATATTAAAAGTAACAATTATGATATTTTGGAACCATTCCCAAACATTAATACGGCAATTTTTTTTTCATAGACAAAGGTATATTAATAAAATAATTTTAATTGGTTATTCCAGTGGTAACTCCACCATCAATGTAAATCTCATTTCAAAATGATTCGATGCAAGTGTGGGGCCTGTTACATAAGATAGCCACCCTATACCGTGTTGTAATAATATTGTAATGTCCCATGCTTGCATCATTTCAGATTATCCTATTATACACCGCTAGTTACAATGGGGTCCGCCCGATAGTCCAAAGGTTTGATAGTCCGAATATACATGTAGGCTGTGTAGTCCGAAGGTTCGATAGTCCGAATGCACAAAATTCCCTTTAGCGGGGGCCCGTTAGTCCGAAAATGAAATAAGGTTCGTTAATCCGAACATTTGAAGCAATAGTCCGAAGGTTCAATAGTCCGAAGGTACATTGGTTCGAAGGTTCGAAGATTCGGTTTAGAATAAGGTTAATTAGTCCGAAGGTCCTTTATTCCGAATTGAAAATAAGGTCCGATAGTCTGAATCGACAATGGTCCGATATTCCAAATCGACAATCAGGTCCTATTGTCAATTTGGACTATCGGACTTTATTGTCGGTTCGGACCATCGGACCCTATATCATATCTTCGGACTATCGAGCCTTCGGACCATTGAACCTTCGGAATAAAGAACCTTCAGACAATCGGGCTGTACAAACCGTGGACCTGAACATTAAATGGAATTCAAGTCGAAGTCGATGTTGCCAATTACGTACCTATCCACAGGGCAAATCCGAAAACAAACTTCGTCCAGATGATTGAGTCGAAAATGGGAAGAAACTGAAGCAGCGAGTCGTCTCGCAACCAAAACACCGAATGAAACCTTTTAGCTCAAGGAGAGGTGTGAAATTATACAATTAATGCATTATTTATGTCATAAAACAGAAAGAAGAAACCTTATGGCATATTGAATGTATAACACTGCATAAATGTGTACAAATTAATAGAGGATTAAACTTTAAAGCCAGTGGAAAGTTCCAAATGCAAATTACTCACGATACGGTCGCAATGTCATGCAGTGCACTCGTACCGTGCATGATGTACACTTCCCTCGCCAGCGCACGCTATGAAGAACACATGCTGGATCCGAGTTCGGATTTTGAGTTTGTCTTGCCCACACACATACACGTTTGTATATGGTGTAAATCGAGTTTTTTTTTATTGTTCCTCTTCCCTTTTCCTTTGTTTATATACTATAACTTTTTTTGTAACAGCTCTCATTGGTTTTGTACACGTTTTCTAATCGAGGTCGTCCTCGGTTTGGTTCCTGTCTTTTCAATTGATCGATGATGTTGCACGTGTGTGTCCTCGATTTAAGCCATAAACAAACACAATTTGGCGAGGTTAACTATCAGACGTTCGGCAGTGCATTTTGGAGCGTGTTATTATTTACAAAAGTAGGTTATTGTTTAGTGCTATACTAGCAATTGTCCTATTCAAACGATAGCAGTTTTATTAGATCACCATTTGCCGATGACGACTTTTTAAGCCGAAAGTACCAACAAGAGCTGTCAATCAAACCAAGTGACAAGCTTTGACATTCCTTTGCTACTGTTGGTTCAATCAATCTATTGAAGACTAGGACTAAACATAGAACTTGGAAATTTACTCGATCACATCTGGAGAAATCTGATAAGTCTTCATCAAATCACCGACAAAAATGTACTCAATTGTCATATCAGAAAGACAGGAACCGGCAGCGTATTTTTTTGTCAGCATGCATCGCTTTTTAACCAATCACATCACGCACCCTGACACGAATATTTATCACGCTGTGTGGTTGGAAGACACTATAGGTTCTCGTAGTGTTGATTACTCGTATTTGTAAATATAAATGTTTGTCGTATGTTTCAGCAATGCATTTTCCTTACGAGTTTAAAGGGAATATACAACATTTGCAAACATCGAAAAATAAGTTTTTACGAAATAGCTTACTTGGATGTTGGTAAATGACAGTCAAAAGCATCCTGTAAAATTATGGCTCCTGGTGTGAAGTCATTTTCAAGAAATTGGTATTTTTGTATACATTTCGAACAGTGGTCGGCCGATCACCGTTGGAAAAACCTAACTATTTTTCAACTTCTGCTTCAAATTTACCATTTTTTCAGTCCAAATTTTGTTTGCTATTGGTAACATGTTCATGAACGGGTGCAGGCCAGCTACACTGGTTCCCTTACCTTACAATTTTCCGGCATCTATAAATTGATCCATTTTATCCTAAGTGGAGTCAGGGAACCAGACTACTTGAACTTTTTTCGTTTTTCTTGGTTTTTCCAGCATTTTCGAACACAAAACTTCAAACATGGCAGTGTTACAATATTTGTATCTATTATACTAACTCTTCAAGTAGTTCAAAATTACAGCAAAAGCCAATGATGTACATTCCCTTTAATAATTTGTTGCGTATGCAGGGCCCCAATGGAAACTACTTTATAACTGTTTGGGCATACCAGTGGAATTTATAAATAAATAAGTGTATTGGGGGAATATTTGTTTATGTCCTTGAATTTATCATAATCAAGGGATGAAGGTGGCATTGTAATTTATTCGGTGTGATGGCAAGGATTTATGAATGAATATAATGGCGAATATTAAACAAACATATACGATGTTTTATTTACATCACCATCACGTACACACAGTCGTGTTTTACTATACTCTCGAGGACAAGGCATTGTCTTTCTCTTTGTCCCTTTAATATAACGCTTTCATATAGACCGAGACACAGAAACTCAAACACGAGGACAATGTTCAACAAACAATGAACTCTCGAGGACAACAAAGGATCGGTTGTTCTCCCTCTGTCAGTCTGTCCTCGGGGTGTTTTACGGTCTACACTATTTACACGTATCGTTCTTTTCCTGAAAGCAAAATATAATTTCCCATAATGTATTGTACGCCCGCAGCGGGCAATAATAATCTCAACCTTCTGATGAAAAAAAAAAATCATAATTGAGTTATTCTTGGTATGTAAATTTATCTCTGCACACACCACAGGCGTATTTAAGTTCCCTATGTAACCTGGATATATGAAACACTATGTATAGTCGCACTAAAACACTAAAACTAATTCAATTTCAACTAAGCCGTCAGGATCTTTGAAGGAAATGGCGCGAGGAAATGGAATAATAGAGACACAGGAACAAATTCAAATTTTCGAACCAAATAAAAAGGACTAAAAGAATTTATTAAAAAGATCTGAAAATCAAAACCAAAATTACCAAATAATTATAAAACCAAAACCGCGAAAACCAAGACTAAAATCGACCTAAAAACAGAAACTTCAAACCAAAAACCAATTAAAATAAAGACTTATTTATTACCCTAAAACCTAAAACCAACACAGTGTGAATTAATGGACCTAAGATACACTCGGGCAGAAAATCAATGACTCTAGTAGACAAGACACACTGCAAGCAAGACAGTACACCACTCCTATAGGAGGAACATATACCCGGTATACTATTATGAAGTTGTCTCTGTTGATCTGCTGGCTGAACTAAAGTTTGACCATGTGGCAGGATTTGTATAGGGGACTCGTGGGATAAAGTAAACAAACAGGGGGGACACACTACCGAGAAAGGGGGGGCATCTAAGTTAACACTAAAAAGATTTCCTTTTTCTAGGGGGAGCTAATCCTATTCAATCCACACTATACATTAAATACATAAAAATATACCAGATAAACTTGGCCCTGCCACACTTATAGAATAATGGAAACAAGACAAGATTCTGTTTGCAGGTGAATTAAAACATATTTTTTTGATAAGCGTCAAAGTTTTGACTTTGTCTTTTTGCGATAGAGGAGGAATTCCCGAAGCAGAAGCTTCGCTAAAAAAAAAACCCACCAAATCACAAGAACATAATTTGAGGGGATAAGTTGATTCCTCGTAAACTTATTGTCTCTGATGTTTCTTTGCTGATTTTAGTAGTAATATGTGTGCAATCATAAAGCATGCGTACAAGCCTACGAACTCAACCAGATTACTGTTAGAAAACAAGTGGTGAAACATTTGAAACATTATAATATGGTTACATCATGTGAAATAATGGTCAGACAGTGAGCCAACACTCAACACACTTTATTGGGTTTTTTTGGTCGATGTTTTGTTACATAATTGTTTCGGTATTTTGCTGGTCTTTGTTACCATTAACCGTTTCTCCGAGATCTTGATTCTGAAGCAGACAGCGACAGAACAGAGCTTTCAAGCCCTGCCTGAAACCATCCAAACGCCACCAGTAGATTAGCGGGTTGATAGCTGGAGACAGACAATAAACCAAAGCGGCAATCGTGTTGTAGTCATCAAATGCATCGTCGGAGATTGAGCTCTGACCAGTTTCGATGAAGTATTCTATTATCTGGCCGACGTTGTAAGGGATCCAACAAATGAATGATGTCACAAGAATGATGGAGAAAGTGACCAACAGGCGACGGGTCTGAAGAACACGAGGGGCGGCCGGTTCCGTGTCATCGGTGCGGACAACTGGGCTTGATGATGGAATCGTGGTAATACATGTATATCTATTGATCTTTCTGAAGACGAAGAAGTACAGCACAGCGGTCACGATCCACACAACGAGTACTAACGGAGATCTAAACCACGCTGATAGGATCAAGCGAACCTCGTTAGATGCCACCAAGACTACCGGCAAGTGAAGTGCGAGGGAGAAGCACCAAAGGAGAAGGCTAACCGATACCAGGCGGCATCGTGTCACCAACGCGTCATAGCGAGAGGGCGGCGTGATAGTCAGTGCCAGGTAGCGGTGCACAGCCACTGCTAAAATCATCAGCACGGAAACGAAGAGACTCGCCTGAAGAAGGGCAAGAAGAACTCGTGCCCGTAGTAGGGCAAAGGCAATTAGCATCGCAGCAAACGCCAGGTCGGCCAGGGCGAGGTTGAAGATGAAGGCGAAGTACTTGATGCGGAGATGGTTGGTTGCTGCTAGCACCACTATCACCAGTAGATTCTCCAACACAGCCAGGCCTGAAATCACAGCTCCAGAATACGTGATAATAGTGCTCAAGGTAGAACTCATTGTCGATTGCCTGCACAAATAAAACAACACAACACCTTAGCGATCTTACCAATATAAAATTAATGGCGAAAACGGACCTTGTTTTGCCGGTGAAGCGTTTTGGGGGTATATTCCACCGTTCGTAGTTAGCAAACCATTCCCAACAACTAGGCCTATATACCGGCAAAACTTTTTCCTCTACAAAATATTATTAAAATCATATTCCGTCGGTGCAGCAGCGTATCCACCATTTTATTTTGGCTCATCCGTGCTGAAATATCGACACGTTTTTTTTCACACGACAATTGACCCCGTAAAATCAAATGGGATGGGATGGGGTGGGGTAGTTGAGGGGTGGAGGGAAGGAGGGGGGGGGGGGGGGGGGGGGGGGGCTGGTACCATCTTAAAAAAAGGAGGCGCTCTTCAAAACCGGCCTTTATGCAATCTATACGCATTATGTGGCCATTATGTGCCCTTAATTCGCATTATATACAGGGCGCATTGTGAGGGTTTTGGGGCTTGGTTTTCATATTTCTCGTTCATATCAGAAGTCTCTTTACCATTTTAGGAAATAGTTACTGAAAATAAAATATCCGCAATTTGAGGGCAAGTTTTGTTATCATATCGAGGGACACATTTGTGCTCGAGGGGGCACATTAATGTCCGCAAGAGGGCAACTTGGGCAAGGAGTCTGGCCAAACCTCATTATTGATGAGCATCAAATTCATCAGGTTGCTTACTGGCACAGTTGCCCCATTCAAACTTTATGGAAACAATCATGTGAACAATGATACCATTGTGATATTTAGCTCAGCAAACAAAAATAGGAAAACTAAGCTTAAATTAGGGGAAGGGTCGCCCAACGTGGGAGACCTGAATAAGTTAATAGACCCCCCCCCCCAATAAAAAAAATTGCTTGCAAGTTTTATGTCAAGGTCAGTGTGTTTTCTTTCAATTCATTTTCTTTCCAATAATTTTGGGAATTTCCTTAAACTTTTTTTAAGTCTCCTACGCGTTAGGCAACCCTTCACTAATTAGGCCAATTAGCAGACACCTCGTTTTCCCCGTTTCTGTTTGCTGGGCTAAATATCACAACTTTATTATTTTGAGCATGCTTTTCCAGAAGGTTTTCTAGAAGGTAACTGTGCCACGGTAAGCAACTTGGTGAATTTGAAGCTCATCAATACTAAGGTTTTGCAAGACTACTTGAAGATATCTGGAGACAAGGTAAATGCGCGCAATTTTGGGGTAATAGTAGCCATTTGGGATCGTTACTATGTCCAACCAACCTCGTCCCCAGTGCTCACTTTATTTTCAACACCGTTTCCAATAGTAAGCCCTGGATAGGAAACTTTCTTCCTGTATCCTGATTCGATACCGCAATTGATGGCTAGTAATGGATTTTTACCGTGTACTTGGTGCTATTATTCACAACATGCAGTACGTGTTTTCGCGATCATTCGTCCACGTCTTCTCGAAAATACTCATTTCCTTTCCAATTTGCTCATATTAATATGACATATGATGTTGCGTGTTGTCTCGATAAGATCGTTACAGTTGAATTTTAAAAATCGTGTTTTTCGTAACTCACGCCGTGCTCGCGCTGCGACGAATTGACTCTGTTTTACCCCAGACACCGCATACAAAAACAAACGCTAATGTAACGCATATCCAGGCACCATACTGTTCCTCATTTGCATACGTGTTCAAAAATCTTGCACATGCAAATGATCCAATACCAGGGTGAGAGAGCAGGTAGTGATGGGCGCGTACTGCTCGACACCCTGGGAACGAGGTTGTTACTATTTCCTAATCAATATTCAGTCACTTACATGCTTTAGAAAATGTTATTGAAAGATAAGTAGAATCACCAAATCAAATTTTCAAAAATTAAAAATTACAAAATATTCCAAAATATGGGGAACAAATATACTGCACTGCAGGGATTAACGATTTATACAAATTAGGTATATTTGAGGTCAAAATTAATGATGGCATCCACCCACATCTTGTTTGTTATGGTTCAGAGAATTAATCTAGCATGGAGGCCAGCTATTACCCAAAAATTCTGTGAAATTATTATCTAGAGAACTTTTCCACATTTGGCAGGCCTCCTAATACTAACTCAACCGAATCAGACCAGTAGTTCTGTAGATATGGACCTTCAAAATATGCACCTTTTTGTGACCTCAAGTGAGACGTGATGACGTCATGATGACGTCTATGTTCGGCACACATTTGCAAATGAACTAGATGTATGTTTGTGGACTACTATTGCTGTTGTGGCAATATTACATGTGCAGTAGAAAATTACAGAGTAATGTGGACAAATAGTTATGCAAATATACATGTATGGCGTAGAAAAATGACCATTTAATGTGACATCACATGTCATGTGATGACGTCATTATGACGTCATTTCAATTCGTATCTATAACACATCCCGGTCTAGGTACATACCAACTTTCAACCCAATCAAACCTGAAGTTCAAATAACATTGCACCTCCGGTTTCAACCGGAAGGAAGGGTCACGTGAAACATAAAACATAAGATCCTGGATTATTCTATGTAATCCCATTAAAATCAAAATCAGATCTCTGATCACAGTTGATTTTATATTGATTTTCAAAGATTAAGTATAGAACTCTTTGGTTGCTTGTAATCTGATACTTGATGACGTCATGGTAACGTCATTACCAAATGTTTGACGGCTATATTAACTTTGCGATTTGAAGCAATCATCTTGATTAAATCTCGCGCGGTTGATTTTTCAGCAATTTCTTTTTTTAAGGTTTAAAGGTATTTTCATTGTAACTTCCGGTCTGGTGAATCTGCCCCTCAACTTGTTCTTGGCATGTAGCTGGTTGTATACAACAAACATTAACATGATTTCAGCAAACTTCGTCACACTCTTCAGATGATTATCAATTTTAATTCAGATTATTATCAACCTGCCGCTAGAGGTCCTGACCGCTTTAGTCCTGGGTATGACATTAAACTGCATCCTGGAGCTCAACTGAGTTCAAAATGGCCCGGTTGATAGCACTCCGAAGGGCCCCTGCCAGGGTTACGGCGAAGCTCTGGGCAGCAGCAGAGTGGATTGTTCTGGTGGGTGCTGACGCCTCAACTGTCTTCCCAGCCACAGAACATGGATGTCTGGCGCGCTTTGTAGATATCACAAGCAGCGGCAGGGATCAACCAGCTCGAATCAGGAGAGCACGGCGACCAAGAACGGGGCAGCAGCCGTGATAAAGCTGGCCAGCCGGAAGAGGCCACTCCACGGCCCAACGACTCTCCAGAGTAATGGGGGCTGCACACTGGTCACCCATCTGTGGACTCTCATCATTGCGCTCCACGTCTCCCCTGTCCCAAGCAGACGGAGTACCAAGGGGCACCACCCAAACCACCATGAACAGTTATCATAACACCAGGGTTAGTGTCCCCGCTTTTCCTCGCCCCGTAGTACCACATCACGCACGACCAGTTAACCTGCGACATGATCGTATGACGTCTGCCTCCTCAAGCCCTTCTCTGGACGGTGTCAGACCGATTGTTGGAACTACCTCGGGGCACTTGATATGCGCTCGTCTCTCCGAATCGCCACCTGGAAGTCCTCACCATGTGCCACCAGGGCTATCCAGGAGTTGTCGTGAGCGAGCTTGTACGATACTTTATTGACATCGGCGGGGTCACTGAAACGCGCATTCCAGGTAGTGGATCTGCTTCTATCAATGAATACACCACGTACCACGTATTGTACTCCGAACCGAAGACAAGGCGTTGTTCTGTTTCTTCAATCCAAAGTTGCTCAATCCCTGACTGGCTGGAAGCCAGTCTCCAGTCGTATCCTACAGCCGCTCAACCATGGATACCGTGCTTGTTCTATGGCTTCTCTCGGAACTCCATCGCAGATTCATGAGACTCTTCAATGTGGCCTATATTATTGACATCAAGGCTGCATTTGACTCCGTAGACAGGAGCGCTATGTGGAAGGCTGTGGCGGCCTCCGGAACACCCCCTTTCTACTCAACCTTATCAAGGATCTCCACAACGGCACTACATCAAGAGTTCGGCTTGGCAATGACGTGTCTCAAGCCTTTTCAACATCTTCAGAAGTTCATCAGGGATGTATCCTTGCTCCTACACTCTTCTAGTCGCGGCATCGACTGGATCATTGATAGGTGTCAGGGTAATTTAGGAACCGGATTACGCAGATGACGCGGCTCTCTTCAGAGTTAACCCCAACCAGTGGTCATCCAAGCTTCTAAGGTTTGAGGAAGAGGCTGCTACCATGGGTATGCATATTTCCTGGGCCAAGACCAAGATCCAAAACACTGGTTCAGGACCATCCCCCGATTCCATCACTGTGGCAAGGCAGGCAGTTGATGCAGTGGAGAAATTTACATATCTTGGATGCGACATTCACTCTAATGGATACTCCTCACATGATATCCATCGTTAAATTGGTACGGCTTCTGTAACCATGGGCCAGCTGGATCGTGTCTGGAGAAACAAACGGCTCACTTTCTGTACCAAAACCCGGATCTACACCTCCTGTATCATACCGATCCTTTTATATGGATCTGAGACATGGACGCTGCTCAAGAAGGATGGACGTAGACTTCAAGCTTTCAATATGCGTTGTCAACGCCGCATACTTGGGGTGAGATGGTCTGATTTCATCACCAACGAGGCCATCTCTCAGAAAACTAGGCTGGAGGATATTCGCTGCATTATAATCACGGCGTCACTCCATCTTCGGGCACATTCGTCGACTCCCTAGCAACACCCCAGCACACACCGCCCTCAAGCTTGCCGTGGATGCATCTACAGGAGTCAAGCCTGATCCTGGTTGGTCACGACCACGCGGCCTTCCCCGAAATACGTGGGTCATGTTCAGGTCTTTCACAGCTGATTTAATATAGATTTTCAAAGATTAAATATATTAATCTTTAACGTAACGCCATATGACCAGTGATGACGTCATCATGACGTCACTTCCTTTTTCACCTATAACACATGCATCCCGGTCTAGGTACATACCAACTTTGAACCCAATCGGACCTGTAGCTCTGGAGATATAGGGTTTCAAACTATGCACATTTAATGTGACGTCAATGTTAGGCACACATCTACAGGTGCTCAGGTCTAAGTGTTCGCCAAGTATAGAGGCATGAATCGGATTGATTTAAGTGCCCAAAGTGCCGGAGACAGAAAAAAAGTGGACAAATGCTATGGGGAAAAAATTATCGGGGTAAAAACGAAAACAAAGGCTGTTGCGGCAATGTGCCCAAACAGCCAATAATGCTCGAAGCATGGGAGATATACGCTAATTGTGAAGATTATGATTTCTGTGTAAATTGTGGTCATGTTACTGTCTGGAGCATTATTTTTTTATTTCAAAATACCTTTCCAACCTTAAGTAATTTTTGAAAGTTTTTCATGGTGGAAAATGCGATTTTCTAACCGCGAGTTACGTGTTGGCTGGGTAAACAAAACTACCACAACCCCTATCCCGCCATGAGACGCATTGACGTGGGTGTCTACCCAATGTTCCCCAATACATATGTTCCCCAATACCTGTTCCCCGGCCCCGAAATCCTTAGACTAGGGTTAGGAGTAGGGTTAGGGTTATAGGGTAAGGATTTCGCGGGTCATCGTCATTGGGGAACATATAGGTATGCACCCATTGACGTGCATAAAGGGGTTGTATTTTTTTTACTAGTTAACCCCAGATTTCCGTCAAAAAAACCTGCAATCTGTCTACGACATGATTATGGCGGTTGTTTGTTTGTTCAGAATGTTAAATAACAAACAACTAACAAGTAGACAACCATGGTGAAAAGTGTCCTAAACTTCACAATCGCAACAAACGAACAAAACTTAGTTTCGGCAAGTTGCTGAAACAGCCAATAATATTTTAGGGGCTACAAGCAATACATAACACTGTTACTGCGTCATTTCAAATTGTCCCATATCATACAATGCAAAGCGTATAGACCCGAACAATAAATGGAATAAATTCAAGTCAGTGTCGATGCTGCCATCTTAACGTACTTACAGTGTCATCTACCGGGCAAATCCAAAAAGAAAAACCTAGCCTCCGTGGTGATTGGTCAAAGAACTGGACAGAACTGAAGCAGTGCGTTGTCTCGCAACGTACCTAAGTTGAACATCAAATACGTTTTAGCTAGAAGAGGGATCCGAAATTCATACTATGAATGTTTTATTTTCGCCATAAAACTGCTAGAGGAATGGCATACCGAAGGCAATAAGGCTCGAAGGTTAACTGTTCTTTCGTTTTAGATAAACCAAATGGCCTCTGATAATGCATCAGTGCACATATATAATTCGTACACAATAGTCGGACGCTGCACTGTACATACACATAATGAACGGCCATTGGCTCAACAGTATGAAGTTATCGCAACTCTATATACGGCTCTGGCACAAAAACACCAGACCCTGGAGGTGTGGTTGCTAGTGTAACACAGGACATATAGGGTATAAATTAACCAGCCCTATAGAGACGTGGTTACTATACTGATGTGAAAAAGGATTTAGACAAAATGTGTCCACGTAGGTAGCCAGAGCGGACATGTAGAAGTGACTCTGAAGAAATAAAGCTACTGACAAGGATAATCGGGTCTATGAGGTTTATTGGCACACAGACTAATGTTTCTTGACAGAGAGTTGGTTCTGGTGGAAGTTCAGAAGAGAGAGACACACACATTGAAGACTTTAGGGGAAAATGGGCTGATTAAATACAGTAATGAAGCATACGGATTGTGTGTAAGTCCATTAAACATGTGACAGTAAGTTCTAGGAATAGGATGTGGTTTAAGTTCCACGACCAAGCTCAGTGTAACCACACAAAATTGAGATACTGTCTATGGGAACTGTCTGTGTGGACCACAAAGCAATTTGAAAGAATCATAAAGATATCAACAGGGGAAGCTATAGATATTCGACCTTAGTGGAAGAGAATGTAAATAAAAATGAGTGATTGAAAAGAGCTATTAAATCTAGGCTTATGTTTCAAGCGCGGGTACAGAGCTTAAATAATGACACGAGTTTGACACAGATTATAACTTTCTGGAAGCAGCCATGTTTCTGAGAATGATAACCTTTGAACAGCGCCCCCTGTTGGCTAAATGGTGCAAGATAATGAAGGTGTATATATTTTTACAGCTTACACTAGCATAAGGCTTGCCCCGAATCACGTGATATGTACAGACAGGGAAAGGGGGTATGGGGGGGGGGGGAACACTCGAAAGGTTGAGGGGGGAAACAAAATTTGACGCTTAAAGGTGCTGTTCGTAAACGGGTATTATAGTCGAAGTTATGTGCAAAAAAGCGTTTTAAGATCCTTTGGCTGTTCCTACTGCTAAACATACATAAACTTAACATACCTAAGACACAAGTTTACCCATTCCTAACGATCGACAGCCCGTCACGTGGCCAGTTTTAAATGGTTGAAAAAAAAATATGCAATAATGTTTTAAAAGCCCACATATACGATTATATGAAATGCCTTTGTATGTCAGGGAAAAAAAAGGAGAAATAGAAATAGCACGGGAAGACAATGGGGTGAACGTCCCCCTCCATCAAATCGCATGTTGTGGTCACGTGACGCTAATTTTCTCCTGAAAAAATGCAAACCGATAGATTTTCAATTGTATGTTTATCACTGGAAGTATTGTTATTCATATATATATAAAATGTAAGTTACTTGGTTTTTTTTTTTAGTGTTTTATGATAAACAAAATGAGGCGGACTCGGAGTCGGGGCTGCGACACTAGGACTAAGCTGCTATAGGGCACTTGGGGTGCACCAATTTTGCAAGAGGGCACTGAGGGCAACGTACACATGGTGTGTGTGCAATTCAAGTCTTTAAAATGGAGGGGGAGGACACCCGGAAAGACACCGCTCGGGGCACGTACCTCCGCTGGGGGAGGGCCCGTATAGTTACGCCACCAAACGGCTGTTTAGCCCGGCCGCACGCGCATGCACACCGTTGGCATATACGATTCTAATTTAGAATGTTGTCGAGGACAGTGTCTTCTCTGCTATCGTGTGGAGATTATCAGAAAGGCACAGTAGGCACTGTGCCTAGGGCCTACGAAAAATCCGGGGGCCTATGAACAATTCGGGGGCCAACGAAAATACCGCAGTGTGCCATAAAAGACACAGGCCTACCCACACCACAACCACGCGCACAGAAAAGTTTTTTTTTTTAAATGCTAGGGTCTCTCTCAGAATTTTCGATTTCACCAACTGACGCTGTACAGCAGGCCCCACGTATATAATTTACGTGTAAAGTCTGTCGTTCTGGGCTTCGATCGGTTGGGGGGGACATGTCGTTCTCTGAATAAATAATTCTCTGAATAAATAATTGTAGCCTACATTTGATTCTGTAGCTCAGAATAGCTGATGCAATGACTCCAAACTCAAAAATGATGTTTAAATGAGGATCTTTAGCTAAGACCTTGTCACATTTCCTCAGAACGCACCCAGAGCATCTAGAATCCATTTTTTTCGCCGGGCACTTCCACTTCGTTTAGGCTTCGTACTCGAATTAGCTCTCATCAGGATACACATGTTTGTACCCTCACTTCTGAGAAGTGTTTGACGCCTTTGGTGCCAACAGGCTTTCAGAGCTAGGACCCATACCAATTTGGCCTGGCTGGATTTATACAGTGATTTGTACGCTGAATTTGGTGCCGGTGGCAAGGGCGGAGTAGGGCCTACGGTGCCTAGGGCCTACGAAACTCTTAATACGGGCCTGTGTGGAACATCCCTACAATAAGCAAACAAGAAACAAAGATACCACAAGCGCCTAATAATAGATCGTATCGAATACCCCCATGTTGGCATAGCAACAGCGCAGCGACGTACGCACCGCCATGTTATAGGACGATGTTATATGTTATATTATATAAAGCAATCAAAAATAACATTTGAATGACTATATAGAAATGACCTGATGATATAAATTTAAAAAAAAACACATTTTAATAACTTGATTTAAATGCCTAACATTATTTTGACGTTTTATCAGGTCTGTTCAAGCAATATTATCAAAACTTTGTTACCAACTGTTTTAACAGGATTGATGGAGGAAATATCATGAGACATATACAAAACCATTTTGATAACGTGATTTAAATGCTTCAAATATGACGTTTTATCAGGTATGTTAAAGTGATATTGTCAAAATGTTATTGCCAAATCTTTTAAACAGGATTTATGAAGGAAATGTCACGATATATACCCCAAAAAACATTTCAATAACGAGATTTAAATGCCTCAAATTTGACGTTTTATTGGTTATATTAAAGTGATATTATCAAAACGTTTTTACCAAACTTTTAAACACGATTTGTGGAGGAAATATCTTGATATAAACAAAACCATTTTTTTAAAAACATGACTTATATGCCTCAAATTTGACGATTTATTAAAAGTTGTACAAATTTTCCTACATTATTACGCTTTTTAACCCAAAAAAACCCCAAAGGGAAAAAAGACTAGTGACTCGGTCTTAAGCGGCCGTTTAAAACCCTTGCCTGGTCATGGCTGTGATGACTTGCAGGTCACAGGTCACAGGTCGCGCAAAATCTATCCTATAGGCCTTTCTTTTGTTTGTAAACATTGGCGCCATTTTGTATGGGCTGCCGTAAGCGCATAAATTGAAGCCGTTGTTGGCAACATATTTTTCCAAAAAAAGTCCTCATAACGCCATCAACACATAGCAAAAAGGCATACGTTGGAATTATTTTGTAGCTTTGTTGAAAATGTTATATTTTCAAGTATCAAATAATATTTTGGTGATCTGTAATAACTCTTCTTCATTTTTGCAGTGTTGGACCTTCCATAGTTTTGCAGGCCGTGGTTGGCCAAAAAATGCAGTTTGCCAACCAAGTGCAGAAAGGTCTATCAGAGCGTAAATTCATCAGCCTATCCCAGCGTCCTTTTTGCAGGGCGGGGCATTTGAAACATCAAGACTGCATCCGAGAACACCAGTCCGAAAACTAAACTACCGCGTGTAATGTCAGGCGAATTAAAACATATTTTGATGACGTCACAGTTTTGACTTTATCTTTTTGCGATAGAGGAAGAAGTCCCGAAGCAGGAGCTTCGTTAACAAAACAAAACAAAAAACACAAGAACATAATTTGAGGGGAAAAACTAATTCCTCGTGCGGGTAAAATTATTGTCTCTGATGTTTGTTTGCTGATTTTGTTGGTAATATGTGCGCAAACACATAAAGCGTGTGTACAAGCCTACGAACTCCACCAGAACACCGAATGAAATGAAAGAATTGAATCATGGTATGGATAGCATGAGAAATAATCGTCAAATTGGAGTCAACAATCAACAAACATTATTTTTTGGGTTATTTTTCTACATAATGGTTTCGGTATTTTGCTGGTCTTCGTTACCGTCAACCGTTTCTCCGAGATCTTGATTCTGAAGCAGACAGCGACAGAAAAGTGCTTTCAAGCCCTGCCTGAAACCATCCAAACGCCACCAGTAGATTAGCGGGTTGATAGCTGGAGACAAACAATAAACCAAAGCGGCAATCGTGTTGTAGTTATTCAATGTTTCTTCGGAGATTGTGCTCTGACCAGTTTTGATGAAATACTCCATTATCTGGCCGATGTTGTAAGGGGTCCAACAAATGAATGATGTTATCAAAATGATGGAGAAAGTGACCAACAGGCGACGGGTCTGAAGAACACGAGGGGCGGCCGGTTCCGTGTCATCGGTGCGGACAACTGGGCTTGATGATGGAATCGTGGTAATACATGTATATCTATTGATCTTTCTGAAGACGAAGAAGTACAGCACAGCGGTCGCGATCCACACAGTGAGTACTAACGGAGGTCTAAACCACGCTGATAGAATCAAGCGAACCTCGTCAGATGCCACCAAGATTATCGGCAAGTGAAGTGCGAGGGAGAAACACCAAAGGAGAAGGCAAACCACTACCAGGCGGCATCGCGTCACCAACGCGTCATAGCGAGAGGGCGGCGTGATAGTCAGTGCCAGGTAACGGTGCACAGCCACTGCTAAAATCATCAGCTCGGAAACGAACAAAAACGCCTGAAGAAGGGCAAGAAGAACTCGTGCCCGGTTTAGGGAAAAGGCAATTAGCATCGCAACAAACGCCAGGTCGGCCAGGGCGAGATTGAAGACGAAGGTGAAGTACTTGATGCGGAGATGGCTGGTTGCTGCTAGCACCACTATTACCAGCAGATTCTCCAACACAGCCAGGCCTGAAATCACAGCTGCAGAATACGTGATTATAGTGCTCAAGGTAGAAGCCATCGTTGATAACCTGCAAAAATAAAACAAGGTCAACAACACCTTAGCGATCTTACAAAAATAAAATTAATGGCCTGTAAAACGGAATTTGTTTTGCCGGTGAACCCATTGACTATACCGGCAAAGCTTTTCCTAGACAAAATTATAATAACAAACTCATATCCTGATCAGTTATCCAAGTAGAACTTCTACTTGGGATGTGAATCTCAAGTTCAAGCGATCAGATACAGGTACACATGGATACAGCATATCAGGGTGTAGGGTTGGTTAACTGTACTTTCCTCACCGCTGTGACCTGGGTTCGAATCCCACCTGGGCCAATTTTGATTGGGTTTTCAGTCCCTACCCGATTCCGTGGGTTTTCCTAAGAATATTGTTCTGGTGTTTTCCTCCCACCCTATAAATCTGTAATTTCTTCTCATTGTCCTCTCTCTGCTACAGTGTCCAAGGCGCTTTCTCAAGAATCCTTGGTTTCATGATCAGAAATAATTAATAAAATAATAATATGGGGCAACAAGCGTCACGTATAACAATGTTGTTGCGTCATTTCGAATTGTCCTATAATAAACACTGCGAAGCGTAGACCTGAGCAATGAATAAAATAATTCTTAACGTACTTACAGTGTCATCTACCGAGCAAGTCCAAAAGAAAAACACAGCCTCCTAGATGATTGGTCAAAGAACTGGAAGAAACTGAAGCAGAGAGTCGTCTCGCAATCTTGAACATCAAATACGTTTCAGCTCGAAGAGGGATATGAAATTCATGCTATATTCTGTCATCAAACCCTGAATGCATTTACTCGCATGAAATGTGTACAAAGTATGCAATCCGGCTCGAAGGTCAACGGCAAATTACCAAGATACTAATCATATATACATTGGTGAAGAGCATACACTGATATACGTGTACATTCTGTTATGCAGTTCACCCACTCAACTGACTACCAAAAGAAAGAAAAGTAGTGCATTTTGTATGAAGTTATTGTTTAAAGAAAAACAAATGTTCGTTAAGAAAGGCAACACTGGCATACATGGTAGGCTATATGCAAATGTCGTATTGAACGATAGCAGGGCTTTTTATTACTATTTGCTGATAACTATTTTTAACCCGAATAACACCCCAGTCAATCCTTGTCATATTTTGATTGGAGGATTGTAGGTCACGTGGTTTTCGCGGATTGTAGGTCACTCAAACCATCTTCAAGTGCTATCAATCAAGTGCATCTGAAGCCACGTAACAAGTGTAAACATTCATTTTCCATTGCTCAATCAATCTAATTTTAGACTTTAGAGCTGATCATTGAACTTCGGAATTTAACTCAAGATCATTCTTGGGAAATCCACAGGTCTGAGTGTAACACAGCTGTGTAGGAAAAATGTTTATGTCCATTAATAATAATCGAAGGACTGAATGTTGCATTGGACATTTTTGGTTTGGATTGATGGAGACATAGTGAATATACAAAATTGTATGTTTGACATGTTTGTATAATGTCATCATAAACTGCACCATCGAATGGTGGTTTTATGATAGGGTTTATGACGAACTCACAGGGGCGTAAATCCGGGGGGATGGGGGTATAAATCCCCCAATTTTTGACCAGGGGGATGGGCTATTGAATCACCCCCCCCCCCCTCTTTTTCGCGATGAAAGAAAAAATGCGGATTTTGAGGTATTTTTCGAACATCCCAACAACAAAAATGTATTCAATAGCTCTGAAAAGTGGAGAAATATAGAAAAGCTTTTAAAATGCGCCGTTTTGATGTAAGCGCGAGTATCTATATCCTGAAGGGTGCCTCTAGTCTAATGTGCCCCCCCCCAATTTTCGAATTTCCACGGCCGGGCAATTTTTTTTGATTTTGGTCATCCCCATCCTCTCCCCAAAACGCCGGCACAGATTTACGCCACTGCGAACTCCAGAATATTTATAAGTCATATTTTTTTGTTCTTTCCAATATATATTTTTTTAAGATTCAAAGATATTTGCTCGGCAAATAAATGTACTTCCCCAAATATACTGTGAAGCAAAAGCAATAACGATCTTTTGAAGAAAATAATGATTTATTTTCAACTTATTCTTCACTAATAAATCTACCTAGGCATTAGGTAAACAAAAAACCACAAGTGTATAATAATACAAACTAGTTACCAATTTTGAAAGTTTTAAATACTCACTTCACTCGAACCGATATGGCAGAAAGTTCAAAGGTATATAAACGGGTATATTTTTACAGCCTAACATTATAATCTAGAAAATCGCAGGAATGAAAGGATTTTGTACTGTTCGTAAATCTACTCCTAAAATCTGGAATTAAAGAACAGATGAAAAGTTACGAAAGACAGGCTAAGGACTTTACTCACGAGTCAGCCATATTAAATTGAAAGCGAGGTAAACTCGTCATTTTTGGAACTTGCAAATGAAAACAATGAATTAAAGTTTATTACAAATTAATATGCTCAGATGAATATTAATTTAACATTTGTGATTAAACTTATCCATACTGCTTTAAGCCCCATTTGAAGAAAAAAAATTAAAGTGATATTTAATGAACCAAGGAGATATAAAATCGAAACGCACTTGTAATTCACTAATGAGATAATAATTAATATGCACTCACCTAAACGAACAAGACCGCTTGTTTATAAAACTGAGCTTATTATACAGTCCGCCGCAGCATCACAAATGTTTTCATTGTTCAAAAGTGACCAGGCAGACAAAACTCGTGCGCGTCGCCAAAATGCACCAAATAAGCCTCTGTACTGATAACTGCATACTTTGTTTACGTGTGTGCTTTCCTATGGTGCTCACTGGACCGTGCCCCCCCCCCCGGCTCCAAAGGAAAGTGCACGTGTAAACAAAATGTGACGTCATCAGTACAGAGGCTTATTGATTTAGTAAAAAGCCCAATCCTAGTTAATGCCAAAATTCACTTACAATTCTTCAAAGAGATAAAAAATTCACAATATAATAAACGCCTTTTAAGCTCAATAAAAAGCTAAAAACTACGAAAACTTGCACATTAAAGACTCCCCTTAATTATGGTAACGCAACCTCGACTTAATAAATTTTAATGACTGATGAGTTAATACAACATAAATGGCATTTCTCGATGACGTCGTCAGCTGTACAGACAGAAATAAACTCTGGTAATTTACCCAAAAGTGTTGTTCAATTCATGTTAGATCCACATTTACAATCAATACCACAAAAATCAAAGCTTGCAAGACCAACTCACGTACTTCCAAATTTATAACGAATTAAAGTTGAAAAGCGCAGTGAAACTCGGTTGCGTCACAGAATATATATAATAGTGGTTAGGATTATGTGGTTGGATAATATTATAATAATTGTTTATCATACTTTGCACTTGGAAATTTCTGTGTACCTCCTGACTTTCAGGCCTATCAGAAAAGCAGAGAAAAGGAAACGTCTAAAACGATGGAATGATTTCACTCAATTCGTCAGACTCACCATTCCATTCGGCAAACTCATCATATTTTTGCTTTGAATTCCTCGTTCTTTCCTGCGAATTCCTTTTTCTAGTTCACCACTTTATTCGGCAATTTTATCATTCCATTCATCAATTTGATCGCCTTATTCTGTGAATTCATTATTTCATTAAAAATTCAGATTTCATCATTTTTTTCCCGCCGGATTTATTCATCCTGATGAATTCGCCGAATAAAAAGTGGGATTTGCCGAATTTAATATGGAATTCGCTGAATGAAATGATGTACTCGCCGAATAAACATGAGGATTTTGCGGAATGAAATGATGATTACCTCCAGGAAATAGCGAATTTGCAGAACGGATTGATAAAATTGCCAAATGAAATCATTATTTCGCCAAAAGGAGTTATAAATTCGCCGAAAGGAGTGATGAGTTGACCGAATGTATTTGCCGAATGGAATGATGAGTTTGACGAATTGAATGATGATTTTGCCGAATGGAATTATTAGTTTGCCTAACGGACTGATGAGTTTGCCGAATGGAATTATTAGTTTGCCGAATGGATGATGAGTTTGCCGAATTGAATGATGATTTTGCCGAATGGAATTATGAGTTTGCCGAATGGAATGATGGGAGTTTGCCGATTTGAATGATGATTTTGCCGAATGGAATTATTAGTTTGCCTAATGGACTGATGAGTTTGCCGAATGGAATTATTAGTTTGCCGAATGGATGATGAGTTTGCCGAATGGAATGATGAGTTTGCCGAATTGAATGATGATTTTGCCGAATGGAATTATTAGTTTGCCGAATGGAATTATTAGTTTGCCGAATGGATGATGAGTTTGCCGAATGGAATGATGAGTTTGCCGAATGGACTGATGAGTTTACCGAATGAAATGAGTTTGCCGAATGGAATGAGTCTGACAGTGGAGTGATATGAACTATTGAAGGCAGCTTTGGCGTGCCATACTCCCCCTTGTCCGAATTTTTCAGTGGCCGGTTTGCTGCCCTGTCGGTTATTTCGCTTGATTATCGAATACAGGACTGATGTCATCCGTCCGCAAATTAGAAAATGTCTTCTCGCTTCGCTCCTTTCGCAGATCAGACGAGCGAGGACAAAGCCGCATTGTGGATGTCTATTGTAATAAACGACTGTTCCATGTTACAAGAAGGTTATAGACACAACATTGCACCATGCATGTTGCCATTATGAAACGCCCACGTTTAAGGTAGAGTATAGATCATTTGTCATTTGTGGATTTGTTTCGTTTGAAGCAACAAAAGTCCTCAAATCTAAAGACGGGCGCTTAACAACTTGCAGCGGCGTAGCTACGGGGGGGGGGGGGGGGGGGTAGGATAAGAACCCTGGCTACGCCGCTGCTAAATTGGTGGAGCTTTAGCTCTGTGTATTCCGAGAAATCAATTCTAGGATCTCGATTTCAATTCAAAAGTTGCTGAGTCATATTTGAATTGCGCCCTAAATCAGCGTCCGGAACAGGTTCTCATTCAGCAACGCGATGTCACGCACTGAACCGACGCGACATACGACGGTGCGACGTGACGGGCGACGGAAGGAGCGACGTTTACACACAACAAGATGGGAAGGACGATGCGACGGACGACGGCACGACGCAACGGAGCCATCGTGCCGTCGCAGTGTGTCGTCAATAGTACACCATACTATACACAATCCGCATACTGCAAAGCGATGACATTTGCAAAGTGGGTGACGTTTTGCAAGTCAGCTCTTGCTACCTTTTGAGCGTTGGCGTGTGACTTATGAAAGTCGGCGGGCGTCCTATGGAACACCGAGACTACATCCGAGAACACCACTCCCAAAACTAAAGTACTGCGTGTAATGTTAGACGAATTAAAACTTATTTTTGATTTACCTCCACAGCTTTGACTTTTTTTTGCGATAGAGGACTTTGTGCTTAAACAGGAATTTGCACGAGCTTCGTTCAAAAAAGAGGAGCATATTTGAGGGAACAAAAATCGATTCCTCGTGCGGGCAAAATGATTGTCACTGATGTTTCTTTGTAGATGTTGATAGAAATTATGTGCGCAAACATAAAACATGTATATATACACGACTACGAACTCCAGCAAGATACCGGCGGAAATCAAATGGTGATAGAATTGAAACATTATATGAAGAAAAATAACCAAATTATGAGGCAAGTCAGGCGACACTCAACAAACTATTTGTTGTCATTTTTTATCCAATGCGTGGATTCGGTATTTTGCCGGTCTTCGTTACCATCAACCGTTTCCACAAGTTGTTCTGGTTTCTGAAGCAGACAGCAACAGGACAGTTCTTTGAAGCCCTGCCTGAAACCATCCAAACGCCACCAGTAGATTAGCGGGTTGATAGCTGGAGACAGACAATAAACACAAGCGGCAATCGTGTTGTAGCTATTGTAGATATCGTCGGAGATTGTGCTCTGACCAGTTTCGATGAAATACTTAATTATCTGGCCGATGTTGTAAGGGATCCAACAAATGAATGATGTCACAAGAATGATGGAGAAAGTGACCAACAGGCGACGGGTCTGACGAACACGAGTAGCGGCCTGTTCTGAATCATCAGGGATGGAGAGACCTGGGCTTGATGCAAGCGGGGGAACGTAGCTCTTGATCTTTCTGAAGACGAAGCGGTACAGCACAGCGGTCACGATCCACACAGCGAGTATTAACGGAGATCTAAACCACGCTGATAGAATCAAGCGAACCTCGTTAGATGCCACAAAGATAACCAACAAGTGAAGTGCAAGGGAGAAACACCAAAGTAGAAGGCAAACCACTACCAGGCGGCATCGCGTCACCAACGCGTCATAGCGAGAGGGCGGCGAGATCGTCAGTGCCAGGTAGCGGTTCACAGCCACTGCTAAAATCGTCAGTACGGAAACGAAGAAACTCGACTGGAGAAGGGCAGAAAATAATCGTGCCCTGTTTATTGAAAAGGCAATTGCCATCACAGAAAACACCAGGTCGGCCAGGGCGATACTAAAGACGAAGGCGAAGTACTTGATGCGGAGATGGCTGGTTTTGGCTAACACCACCATCACCAGCAGATTCTCCAACACAGCCAGGACTGCAATAACACCAGCAGCATAATTGATTACGGTGATCAAGGTAGAACCCATTGTCGATTGCCTGCACAGATAAAACAACATGATCAATAACACCTAATTTAAGCGACCTTACCAATTGACGTGTGGTAAAATGGAACATGTCAACGTATGCTTGTGAAACGTTTTTGGTAATATTAAATTCTACCGTTGGTATTATAAAAATAACAATTATGATGTTTTTGGAACCATTCCCAAGCATATATACTAATGCCAATGTCTTTTTTTCTGGACAAAGTTACATAAACCAAATCATTTTTTGATTGGTTATTCCAGTGGTATCCATCAAAATCTGAATCTCATGACAAAATGATTACATGCAGGTGTGAGGCCTGTATATATAACCACCCTTAACCGTGTTGTGATAATGTAGTAATGTCCCTTGTTAGCACCATTTCAGATGTCTTGTCACACACTGCTAGTTACAAAGCGTAGAACTAAACAATAAGTGAAATTCAAGTCAAAGTCGATGTTGCCAATTACGTACCTACATACAATTTGGTCCACAGGGCAAATCCGAAAACAAACTTCGTCGAAATGATTAAGTCGAAAATGGGAAGAAACTGAAGTAGCGAGTCGATCTCTCGCAACCAAAACATCGAATGAAACCTTGTGGCTCAACATGAAAGGAGAGATATGAAATTATACGATTAATGTATTATTTATGTCCTTAAACCCAAAGAAGAAACCTTATGGCATATTGAATGCATAAACATGCATAAATGTGTACAAATTAATAGAGAAATAAAGCGGAAGCGAAGTTCCTTATGCAAATTACTCACGATACATACATCTTGGTCACAGTGTCATGCAGTTTACTCGTGCAATGCCGTTCAATGCCTCCCAATTCATTTAGTATACGCCATAAAAACCACACAGTTGGATCCGAGTTCGGATTTTGAGTTTGTCTTGCCCTCCCAAAACTTAGCGAGTTTAACTACCAGACATTCGTCAATGCACTTGGTAGCGTGTTTGTATTGAAAAAGTAGTTTATTGTTAAGTGCTATACTAGCAATGTCCTATTCAACAATAGCAGTTTTATTAGATTACTGTTTGCCGATGACGACTTTTTAAGCCGAAAGTATACCAACAAGAGCTGTCAATCAAACCAAGTGACACGATTGGACATTCCTTTGCTACTGTTGGTTCAATCAATCTATTGAAGACGAGGACTAAACATAGAACTTGGAAATTTACTCGATCACATCTGGAGAAATCTGATAAGTTTGCATAAAATCACCGACAATGAGATAACCCTACCCAATTACAAAATGTATACTCCCTTGTCACAAAAGACAGGAAGCGGCAGCGTATTTTTTATCTTTTTTTATTTTTTTTATTTTTGCAGCACACATCGTTTTAACCAATCACATCACGCACCCTTACGATGTATGGATGGAAGATACGCACTTAGGTTCTCGTATGGTTGATTACTTGCATTTCTAAATATTATGTTCGTGGTATATTTCAACAATGTATTTTTCCTAATGAGTTTTACTTGTCCATTATTTAACAATTTGTTATGTATTCAGGGCCACAATGGAAACTACTATTTAACTGTTTGGGCATAGGCCTACAAATTGAACATATAAATAAATAAATAAGAGTACTGGGGAAAACATTTTAATATCCTTGAATTTATCATAATCAAGGGATGAAGGTGGCATTGTAATTTGCTCGTCTGAAGACAAGGATTAAGGCCTATGAACATATGGCGAATATTAAACAGATACGATGTTTTATTCACATCACCATCACGTACACACAGTCTTGTTTTACATGACTCTCGAGCACAAGGTATAGTCTTTCCCTTTTTCCCTATAATATAACGCTTTCCTATAGACTAAGCCACACAAACCCAAACATGAGAACCGTTTTCAAGGAAAGATGAACTCTCGATAACAACAAAGGATCTGCGGTTCTCCCTTTACGGTCTACACATAAATATTTATTAGGCCTATAACTATAACTCCAAAATGCCTCTAAACCTGTTTTTCATAGAGGGCGAAATGTTGTGTGGACGAATCCAGAAAACCATTCACACTTCGTGCATCATGTGGACCTCTTTTGTTCACAGGTCCACAAAGAGTATGCAATGTTAGAGCACCCACTACACACCAACACACCTCAATTTTAGAAGATACGGGATGGGCTTAAAGAATTGTAACAGAAAGTGTGTCTTTTGTTGAGATATTGGGTGGTTATGGCAACATTTGGTGCAGAGCGTCAACTGGCTTGTTTGTGTTGAAAAGTACGAATGTAGTAATTTAGGTTGATCAAGTGGATAGGGATTTGGTGTCATCCATGACAAATGATTTGTTAGTTCGTCAATTTTTTTGTCTGTAATTCAATTGGCAAAGAACGGGTTCAAAGAAATGGGTTTTAACGATCTTTCTGATAGTGCCTGCATGAAGGATTGGACGACTGCAAGTTTGATAAGAAAAGAATCCATTTCTAAACTTGCAATCAAAATGTTGACTCCCGTTTAATTTGAAGCTGACCTCGGGTCGACCCGCAATTTGCTCGCGATATGCAAGTCAGTTGGTTACGAAAGAACGTTTGCATAATTATTGTAGCCACTTTAAGGTCGCTGTTTGCGCTTCGTACAGTGTACTGTGCATAGCTAGCGCACGGCTAGTGAACCATTACTGACATAATTTATGAACGCCTTGATCCTATGATAAACTGTCTCGGGAGACACAATATTCTAGACAAGCCAGGCAAAGTTGTCCGAGGAGACACAATCTCCGAGCAAAGAATACCTCCGAGTTGGTTTCTCCGAATTCCGAGTGGAGGCGCTATTTGTGCATGAGGGAGGCACAGACGTACGGTGTTGAGGAGGCACCGTCCCCCATGCGCCCCTCCCGCTTTACACTGGCAGCAAAATGTCAAGGCACTTATAAATTGTGTTTCTCATAATATTTACTTTGTCAAAAATGATAATTCAGATAATCTGATTCAATTGATAAGCACGCGATCGTACTGTTGTTTCAAGCAAATGTGTAGAACAAATTAAATTAACGCCCAGCTGTACCCCATTAGTTTTGTCCAATATTCGTAAATTGGCAAAATTCTGTAAAATTTTTGAAAGGTTCTAGTTATTGGATTCTGAAACTACATGTATTATGAAAAGGGCACAGAAACCATTCATGAAATCGTTCACTGCTTTCCCGCCTGCCGGTTCATAGTTCCAAGTTTGTTTGGCAGTCTGAACATTTGATTTCGATAATTAGCTTTTTCAGTTCGAACATCTTACGTCTTGCACAAACTAGTCAGTGGCGCACCCAAGGGGGGAGCCTAGGGGGCTTGAGCCCCCCCCCCCCCAAAAAGGGTTTTTTTTAATGTATTTTTTTTTAGTCCCACGATTTGACATTGGTGATATGTTTGTGGCCTATTTTCGAGTAGTACGGTATAATAGGGGTGTTAGTGGCGCCACCAACGTCAAAAAAAGCGGCCAAAATTTTCGGCATAATTTTTTGGAAAATTTTTTACTTCTACAAAATTTGAATAAAAATTGTGAGCCCCCCAAGCCAAATCTTGGTTGCGCCACTGAAACTAGTTACCCATTTTGAAAGTTTTAAATACTCACTTCACTCGAACCGATATGGCAGAAAGTTCAAAGGAATATAAACGGGTATATTGTTACAGCCTAACATTATAATCTAGAAAATCGCAGGAATGAAAGGATTTTGTACTGTTCGTAAATCTACTCCTAAAATCTGGAATTAAGTTGAAATGTTACGAAAGACAGGCTAAGACCGTTACTCACGAGTCGGCCATATTAAATTGAAAGCGAGGTAAACTCGTCATTTTTGGAACTTGCAAATGAAAACAATGAATTAAAGTTTATTACAAATTAATATGCTCAGATGAATTCAAAAGTTGCCCAGTCATATTTTGAATTGCGCCCTAAATCAGCATCCGGAACAGGTTCTCATTCAGCAACGCGATGTCACGCATTTGAACCGACGCGACATACGACGGTGTGACGCGGCCGGCAACGGAAGGAGCGACGTTTACACACAACAAGATGGGAAGGACGACGTGACAGCAGACTGTGTACAAAAGCAATGAAGACGCGACGGCACGACGCAACGGAGCCATCATGCCGTCGCAGAGTGTCGTCAATAGTACACCATACCATACATCGGCCGCACACTGCAAAAGCGATGACATTTGCAAAGTTGGTGACGTTTTGCAAGTTAGCTCTTGCTACCTTTGAACGTTGGCGTGTGACTTTAATATGAAAGTCGGCGGGCGACGTATGGAACGCCAAGACTGCATCCGAGAACACCTCTCCCAAAACTAAACTACTGCGTGTAATGTTAGACGAATTAAAACTTATTGTTGACTTAACTCCACAGCTTTGACCTTTTTTTGCGATAGAGGACTTTGTGTTTAAACAGGAATTTGCACGAGCTTCGTTCAAAAAAGAGGAGCATATTTGAGGGAACCAAAATCGATTCCTCGTGTGGGCAAAATGATTGTCACTGATATTTCTTTGTAGATGTTGATAGAAATTATGTGCGCAAACATAAACATGTATATATACACGACTACGAACTTCAGCAAGATACCGGCGGAAATCAAATGGTGATAGAATTGAAACATTATATGAAGAAAAATAACCAAATTATGAGGCGAGTCAGGCAACACTCGACAAACTATTTGTTGTCATTTTTTATCCAATGCGTGGATTCGGTATTTTGCTGGTTTTCGTTACCATCAACCGTTTCCACAAGTTGTTCTTGATTCTGAAGCAGACAGCGACAGAACAGTTCTTTGAAGCCCTGCCTGAAACCATCCAAACGCCACCAGTAGATTAGCGGGTTGATAGCTGGAGACAGACAATAAATAAAACCGCAAACCCAGTTGTAGTTATTGAAGGTATCGTCGGAGATTGTGCTCTGACCAGTTTTGATGAAATACTCCATTATCTGGCCGACGTTGAAAGGGATCCAACAAATGAATGATGTCACAAGAATGATGGAGAAAGTGACCAACAGGCGACGGGTCTGACGAACACGAGTAGCGGCCTGTTCCGAGTCATCAGGGATGGAGAGACCTGGGCTTGATGCAAGCGGGGGAACGTAGCTCTTGATCTTTCTGAAGACGAAGCGGTACAGCACAGCGGTCACGATCCACACAGCGAGTACTAACATAGATCTAGACCACGCTGATAGAATCAAGCGAACCTCGTCAGATGCCACCAAGACTACCGGCAAGTGAAGTGCGAGGGAGAAACACCAAAGGAGAAGGCAAACCACTACCAGGCGGCATCGCGTCACCAACGCGTCATAGCGAGAGGGCGGCGTGATAGTCAGTGCCAGGTAGCGGTTCACAGCCACTGCTAAAATCATCAGCACGGAAACGAAGAAACTCGACTGAAGAAGGGCAGAAAGGAATCGTGCCCTGTTTAGGGCATAGACAATTGCCATCACAGAAAACGCCAGGTCGGCCAGGGCGAGACTGAAGACGAAGGCGAAGTACTTGATGCGGAGATGGCTGGTTGCTGCTAACACCACCATCACCAGCAGATTCTCCAACACAGCCAGGACTAAAATAACAGCTCCAGAATAATTGATTACGGTGATCAAGGTAGAACCCATTGTCGATTGCCTGCACAGATAAAACGACATGATCAATAACACCTAATTTAAGCGACCTTACCAATTGACGTGTGGTAAAATGGAACATGTCAACGTATGCTTGTGAAACGTTTTAGGTAATATAGGTTTTCCCGGCGAATTTCCTATTTTTTCTAATCAGTTTCATTATCAGCCATTCAATTTCGCGTGAGTTTTGCACATGTGGTCAAATTGGTGTTTCTTTTTCATTTCGGGTTCATTCAATTTAATTTTTAGGCAGCCAAGATTTTGCTGTGAATGTTCGTACATGTATTCATTTTCGGGCAGCCTATTTCGTTTTGGTGCATTCACGACTTAACTTGTAGCAGTCGTAAATTAAGTCTTTGCAACCTTTTGACGGTTGATGCATTCAAATTAGCGAACATCTGTGCGCTTATAACGTATAACCATGCTTTTCGTTTCTTATTCGTTTATGGGCAATCGCTTTCATCGTTTGGTCATTTAAATTAGTAACCTTTTTTAATCGATATATTTTTCCTATTTTCCTCCGAGGTTCATTCCCCCCCCCAAAAAAAAACCTTGATGACTGTAAAATTTACAATGTTACAAATTAACTGATATGAGGGAAACAAGATGTAACGAAATAATTAACTGAAAAGGACTAAGATAATTTCTTTTTCACTGTTTATCTTTTCTACTTGTTTAAACGTTTGAGCAAGACGTGCAAGACATCGGGACACGTTATATGTTTGGCAATGGTTGTACCATCGGGAACACTTCTCTTGTGTTATTTCTTAAACGTTTTCTAGCGTATGTCTGACCGAACGCTTACTGTATTCAAAGGGCCCATGCAAAGTAAGTTTTCAATGCAAACATTGAAAATACATCTTTGTGTCACATTTAACCTTATTTGCAAGTTTTACTTTCCATTTTGAGGGGTGTGTTGGTGCCTTCTCTGTTTTTATGCTAATGCAAAGTTTCATATTCAATAAAAAAAAACCTGCCATGGCATTCCGGGCATGATTAATGTTACATAGCTATTTTAGCACAAAAAGTTGCTAGAATTTTGGATATTTTGCCGTCAGAATTTTTTTATTTTTGGTGATTCTATGATGTTTCAGTACATGGCAGTAAGCCAATGAGCAACCCTTTCTCACAAATGTTTTCAATTAGCAAATTTTGGATGAATAATTTAAAAGAAAAACCTCTAAACTGAACATTGTCTTCCTGAAATGACATCACAGTAACAACGCGCTCATACGTAGTCCGGAAAAGCATGGACACTTTTAAATGTTTAAAGAAGTGCACTTTTGCAATGAGATTAAACAACAAAATGTTGTCACTAAATGTGTATTTTCCTTACTTTTCACAGTAGTAAAGAGTTGCACAAAAACAATCCTGAGAAAAATTCATTGCACATTGAATGAGCAACGCGATACTTTTAATATGAATGCATCTTTGATAGGGATGAGTGAAGCTAAAAGGCGATAGAATGCTCGGATAGTGAAATTGAATGATTCTTTTTGATTGTCGAATGCCCATCTGCGTGATCTTTCAATTTCAATCTAAATCAAATGAGCCAGGCGTTAACTTGAATGAAAACTTGGTGAAAGTGGCCGGGAAAACCTATATTAAATTCTACCGTTGGTAATATAAAAATAACAATTATGTTTTTGGAACCATTCCCAAACATATATACTAATGCCAATGTCTTTTTTTCTGGACAAAGTTACATAAACCAAATCATTTTGTGATTGGTTATTCCAGTGGTATCCATCAAAAATCTGAATCTCATGACAAAATGATTACATGCAGGTGTGAGGCCTGTATATATAACCACCCTTAACTGTGTTGTGATAATGTAGACATGTCCCTTGTCAGCACCATTTCAGATGGCTTGTTTTCCCAAGCCTTACAAAGCGTAGACCTAAACAATAAGTGAAATTCAAGTCAAAGTCGATTTGCAATTACGTACCTACATACAACTTCGTCCACAGGGCAAATCCGAAAACAAACTTCGTCGTGATGATTAAGTCGAAAATGGGAAGAAACTAAAGCAGCGAGTCGATCGTCTCGCAACCAAAACATCGACTCTGAAACCTTGTGGCTCAACATGAAAGGAGAGATATGAATTATACGATAAATGTATTATTTATGTCATAAAACTGAAAGAAGAAACCTTATGGCATGTTGAATGCATAAAAATGCATAAATGTGTACAAATTAATAGAGAATTAAAGCGGAAGCGAAGTTCCTTATGCAAATTACTCACGATACAAACATGCAGTTTACTCGTGCAATGCCGTTCAATGCCTCCCAATACATTCAGTATACGCCATGAAAACCACACAGTTGGATCCGAGTTCGGATTTTGAGTTTGTCTTGCCCTCCCAAAACTTAGCGAGTTTAACTACCAGACTTTCGTCAATGCACTTGGTAGCGTGTTTTTATTGAAAAAGTAGTTTATTGTTAAGTGCTATACTAGCAATTGTCCTGTTCAACGATAGCACTTTTATTAGATCACCGTTTGCCGATGACGACTTTTTAAGCCGAAAGTACCAACAAGAGCTGTCAATCAAACCAAGTGACAAGCTTTGACATTCCTTTGCTACTGTTGGTTCAATCAATCTAATGAAGACTAGGACTGATCACAGAACTTGGAAATGAACTCGATCACATCTGGAGAAATCTGATAAGTTTGCATAAAATCACCGACAATGAAATAACCCTACCAATTTACAAAATGTATACTCCCTTGTCACAAAAGACAGGAAGCGGCAGCGTATTTTTTGAACATATGGCGAATATTAAACAAACAGATACGATGTTTTATTCACATCACCATCACGTACACACAGTCTTGTTTTACATGACTCTCGAGCACAAGGTATAGTCTTTCCCTTTTTCCCTATAATATAACGCTTTCCTATAGACTAAGCCACACAAACTCAAACATGAGAACCGTTTTCAACGAAAGAACTCTCGACGACAACGAAGGATCTGCGGTTCTCCTTTACGGACTACACTATTTACAAGTATCGTTTTTTTTCTTGAAAGCAAAATGTAATTTTCCCTAACGTATTCTACTCCCATAGTAATAACTTTTATTTTTAATTGAGTTATTCTTGATATGTTAATTTATCTCAGCATGCATACACCACAGGCGTATTTAAGTTCCTTACACAATTGAAAACCAGACATGATTCTGTTTTCAGGTGAATTAAAACGTATGTTTTGATAACGTCGCAGTTTTGACTTCGTCTTTTTGCAATAGAGGAGGAATTCCCGAAGAAGAAGCTTCGTTAAAACAACAAACAAAAACCACAAGAACATAATGTGAGTGGATAGGTTGATTCCTCGTGCTGGTAAAATCATTGTCTCTGATGTTTTTTAGCTGATTTTGTTAGTAATATGTGCGCAAACATGAAGCATAAGTACAAGCCTACGAACGCTACCAGAACGACGTAGGAAAACAAATGGTGAAAGAATTGACCAATTGCTTTACAATGGCAGCAAAATGTCAATGCACTTATAAAGTCAACAGTTTTTCTCATATTTACTTTGTCAAAAATGATAATTCAGATAATCTGATTCAATTGATGAGCACGCGATCGTACTGTTGTTTCAAGCAAATGCGGAGAAAAAATTAAATAAACGCCCAGCTTTTTCCATCGTGGCGTACCCCATTAGTTTTGTCCAATTTTCGTAAATTGGCAAAATTCTGTAAAATTTTTGAAAGGTTCTAGTTGTTGGATTCTGAAACTATTATGGAAAGTGTACAGAAACCATTCATGAAATCGTTCACTGCTTTCCCGCCTGCCGGTTCATAGTGCCAGGTTTGTTTGGCAGTCTGAACATTTGATTTCGATCATTAGCTTTTTCAGTTCGAACTTCTTACATCTTGCGCAAACTAGTCAGCGGCGCACCCAAGGGGGGGGGGGGCGCCTCGGGGGCTTGAGCCCCCCCCCCCAGGTTTGAAAAAAAATGTGTATTTTTTTTAGTCCCACGATTTGACATTGGTGATATGTATGTGGCATATTTTCGAGTAGTAAATATAAAGGGGTGTTAGTGGCGCCACCAACGTCAAAATAGCCCCCCCCCCCCCAAGAAAAAAAACCACTTTTTAACAGCGGCCAAAATTTTCGGCATAATGTTTAGCAAAAATTTTAACTTCTACAAAATTTGAATAAAAATCGTGAGCCCCCCCCCCCCCAGCCAAATCTTGGTTGCGCCACTGAAACTAGTGACCCATTTTGAAAGTTTAAAATACTCACTTCACTCGAACCGATATGGCAGAAAGTTCAAAGGAATATAAACGGGTACATTTTTATAATCTAGAAAATCGCAGGGAATGAAAGGATTTTGTACTGTTCGTAAATCTACTCCTAAAATCTGGAATTAAAGTGCAGTTGAAAAGTTACGAAAGACAGGCTAAGGACTTTACTCACGAGTCGGCCATATTAAATTGAAAGCGAGGTAAACTCGTCATTTTTGGAACTTGCAAATGAAAACAATGAATTAAAGTTTATTACAAATTAATATGCTCAGATGAATTCAAAAGTTGCCCAGTCATATTTTGAATTGCGCCCTCAATCAGCGTCCGGAACAGGTTCTCATTCAGCAATGCGATGTCACGCACTGAACCGACGCGACATACGACGGTGTGACGGGGCCGGCAACGGAAGGAGCGACGTTTACCCACAACAAGATGAGGACGGACGACGTGAGAGCAGACTGTGTACAAAAGCAATGGAGACGCGACGGCACGACGCAACGGAGCCATCGTGCCGTCGCAGTGTGTCGTCAATAGTACACCATACCATACATCAGCCGCACACTGCAAAAGCGATGACATTTGCAAAGTGGGCGACGTTTTGCAAGTCAGCTCAAGTCAGCCTGTGAATTATATGAGTATGCGGGCGACGTATGAAACACCAAGACTGCATCCGAGAACACCTCTCCCAAAACTAAACTACTGCGTGTAATGTTAGACGAATTAAAACTTATTTTTGACTAACCTCCACAGCTTTGACCTTTTTTTTGGCGATAGAGGACTTTGTGCTTAAACAGGAATTTGCATGAGCTTCGTTCAAAAAAGAGGAGCATATTTGAGGGAACAAAAATCGATTCCTCGTGTGGGCAAAATGATTGTCACTGATATTTCTTTGTAGATGTTGATAGAAATTATGTGCGCAAACATAAACATGTATATATACACGACTACGAACTTCAGCAAGATACCGGCGGAAATCAAATGGTGATAGAATTGAAACATTATATGAAGAAAAATAACCAAATTATGAGGCGAGTCAGGCAACACTCGACAAACTATTTGTTGTCATTTTTTATCCAATGCGTGGATTCGGTATTTTGCTGGTTTTCGTTACTAACAACCGTTTCCACAAGTTGTTCTGGTTTCTGAAGCAGACAGCGACAGAACAGTTCTTTGAAGCCCTGCCTGAAACCATCCAAACGCCACCAGTAGATTAGCGGGTTGATAGCTGGAGACAGACAATAAACACAAGCGGAAACCCAGTTGTAGCTATTGAAGGTATCGTCGGAGATTGTGCTCTGACCAGTTTCGATGAAATACTCAATTATCTGGCCGATGTTGTAAGGGATCCAACAAATGAATGATGTCACAAGAATGATGGAGAAAGTGACCAACAGGCGACGGGTCTGACAAACACAAGTAGCGGCCTGTTCTGAATCATCGGGGATGGAGAGACCTGGGCTTGATGCAAGCGGGGGAACGTAGCTCTTGATCTCTCTGAAGACGAAGCGGTACAGCACAGCGGTCACGATCCACACAGCGAGTATTAACGGAGATCTAAACCACGCTGATAGAATCAAGCGAACCTCGTTAGATGCCACCAAGATTACCGGCAAGTGAAGTGCGAGGGAGAAACACCAAAGGAGAAGGCAAACCACTACCAGGCGGCATCGCGTCACCAACGCGTCATAGCGAGAGGGCGGCGAGATCGTCAGTGTCAGGTAGCGGTTCACAGCCACTGCTAAAATCGTCAGCACGGAAACGAAGAAACTCGACTGGAGAAGGGCAGAAAATAATCGTGCCCTATTTATGGAAAAAGCAATTAGCATCACAGAAAACGATAGGTCGGGCGATACTGAAGACGAAGGCGAAGTACTTGATGCGGAGATGGCTGGTTTTTGCTAACACCACCATCACCAGCAGATTCTCCAACACAGCCAGGACTGAAATAACAGCACTAGCAGATTTCATTACGGTGATCAAGGTAGAACCCATTGTCGATTGCCTGCACAGATAAAACAACATGATCAATAACACCTAATTTAAGCGAACTTAACAATTGACGTGTGGTAAAATGGAACACGTCAACGTATGCTTGTGAAACATTTTGGGTAATATTAAATTCTGCCGTTTGTGTTATAAAAATAACAATTATGATGTTTTTGAAACCATTCCCAAACATCTATACTAATGCCAATGTTTTTTTTCCGGACAAAGTTACATAAACCAAATCATTTTGTGATTGGTTATTTCAGTGGTATCCATCTAAAATCTGAATCTCATGACAAAATGATTACATGCAGGTGTGAGGCCTGTATATATGATAACCACCCTTAACCGTAGTGTGATAATGTAGAAATGTCCCTTGTTAGCACCATTTCAGATGTCTTGTCACACACTGCTAGTTACAAAGCGTAGAACTAAACAATAAGTGAAATTCAAGTCAAAGTCGATTTGCCAATTACGTACCTACATACAATTTGGTCCACAGGGCAAATCCGAAAACAAACTTCGTCGAGATGATTAAGTCGAAAATGGGAAGAAACTAAAGCAGCGAGTCGATCGTCTCGCAACCAAAACATCGAATGAAACCTTGTGGTTCAACATGAAAGGAGAGATATGAAATTATACGATTAATGTATTATTTATGTCATAAAACCGCAAGAAGAAACCTTATGGCATATTGAATGCATAAAAATGCATAAATGTGTACAAATTAATAGAGAATTAAAGCGGAAGCGAAGTTTCTTATGCAAATTACTCACGATACATACATCTTGGTCACAGTGTCATGCAGTTTACTCGTGCAATGTCGTTCAATGCCTCCCAATTCATTTAGTATACGCCATGAAAACCACACAGTTGGATCCGAGTTCGGATTTTGAGTTTGTCTTGCCCTCCCAAAACTTAGCGAGTTTAACTACCAGACATTCGTCAATGCACTTGGTAGCGTGATTTTATTGAAAAGGTAGTTTATTATTAAGTGCTATACTAGCAATTGTCCTATTCAACGATAGCAGTTTTATTAGATCACCGTTTGCCGATGACGACTTTTTAAGCCGAAAGTACCAACAAGAGCTGTCAATCAAACCAAGTGACAAGCTTCGACATTCCTTTGCTACTGTTGGTTCAATCAATCTTTTGAAGACTAGGACTAATCATAGACCTTGGAAATTTACTCGATCACATCTGGAGAAATCTGATAAGTTTGCATAAAATCACCGACAATGAGATAACCCTACCAATTTACAAAATGTATACTCTCTCGTCACAAAAGACAGGAAGCGGCAGCGTAATTTTTTTTTTTTTTGCAGCACACATCGTTTTAACCAATCACATCACGCACCCTTACGCTGTGTGGATGGAAGATATGCACTTAGGTTCTCATATGTCTGACTACTTGCATTTCTAAATATGAATGTTCGTCGTATATTTCAACAATGTATTTTTTCCTAATGAGTTTAACTTGTCCATTATTTAACAATTTGTTATGTATTCAGGGCCACAATGGAAACTACTATTTAACTGTTTGGGCACAGGCCTACAAATTGAACATATAAATAAATAAATAAGAGTACTGGGGAAAACATTTTAATATCCTTGAATTTATCATAATCAAGGGATGAAGGTGGCATTGTAATTTGCTCGTCTGAAGACAAGGATTAAGGCCTATGAACATATGGCGAATATTAAACAGATACGATGTTTTATTCACATCACCATCACGTACACACAGTCTTGTTTTACATGACTCTCGAGCACAAGGTATAGTCTTTCCCTTTTTCCCTATAATATAACGCTTTCCTATAGACTAAGCCACACAAACCCAAACATGAGAACCGTTTTCAAGGAAAGATGAACTCTCGATAACAACAAAGGATCTGCGGTTCTCCCTTTACGGTCTACACATAAATATTTATTAGGCCTATAACTATAACTCCAAAATGCCTCTAAACCTGTTTTTCATAGAGGGCGAAATGTTGTGTGGACGAATCCAGAAAACCATTCACACTTCCTGCATCATGTGGACCTCTTTTGTTCACAGGTCCACAAAGAGTATGCAATGTTAGAGCACCCACTACACACCAATACACCTCAATTTTAGAAGATACGGGATGGGCTTAAAGAATTGTAACATTAAAGAATTGTAACAGAAAGTGTGTCTTTTGTTGAGATATTGGGTGGTTATGGCAACATTTGGTGCAGAGCGTCAACTGGCTTGTTTGTGTTGAAAAGTACGAATGTAGTAATTTAGGTTGATCAAGTGGATAGGGATTTGGTGTCATCCATGACAAATGATTTGTTAGTTCGTCAATTTTTTTGGCTGTAATTCAATTGGCAAAGAACGGGTTCAAAGAAATGGGTTTTAACGATCTTTCTGATAGTGCCTGCATGAAGGATTGGACGACTGCAAGTTTGATAAGAAAAGAATCCATTTCTAAACTTGCAATCAAAATGTTGACTCCCGTTTAATTTGAAGCTGAACTCGGGTCGACCCGCAATTTGCTCGCGATATGCAAGTCAGTTGGTTACGTACGAAAGCCCATTAGCGCCACTGCAAGTATATATGTTGCGGATTATTTAATTCGTTATTACGGATTATTAATTCGTTATTACGGATTACTAATTCGTTATAACGGATTATTAAATCGTTATTACGGATTATTTAATTCGTTATTACGGATTACTAATTCGTTATAACGGATTATTTAATTCGTTATAACGGATTATTTAATTCGTCATTACGGATTATTTAATTCGTTATTACGGATTATTAATTCGTTATAACGAATTACTCATACGTTCTGAGTCATACTCGGCAAGTATGGCACAGGAGTGCAAACGTTGTATGCAAAGATAGCGCCGCCTAGCGGCGCTATATACACAGGCCCCTAGTCATGGCTCTCCACGTGTGAGAACATCAGACCTAATTCGTAATAACGAATTAATAATCCGTAATAACGAATTAAATAATCCGTAATAACGAATTAAATAATCCGTAATAACGAATTAATAATCCGTAATAACGAATTAATAATCCGTAATAACGAATTAATAATCCGTAATAACGAATTAAATAATCCGTTATAACGAATTAGTAATCCGTAATAACGAATTAAATAATCCGTAATAACGAATTAATAATCCGTTATAACGAATTAATAATCCGTAATAACGAATTAGTAATCCGTAATAACGAATTAAATAATCCGTAATAACGAATTAATAATCCGTTATAACGAATTAATAATCCGTAATAACGAATTAATAATCCGTAATAACGAATTAATAATCCGTAATAACGAATTAAATAATCCGTTATAACGAATTAGTAATCCGTAATAACGAATTAATAATCCGTAATAACGAATTACACAATCTGTAACATATATACTTGCAGTGGCGCTAATGGGCTTTCGTAGTTACGAAAGAACGTTTGCATAATTATTGTAGCCACTTTAAGGTCGCTGTTTGCGCTTCGTACAGTGTACTGTGCATAGCTAGCGCACGGCTAGTGAACCATTACTGACATAATTTATGAACGCCTTTATCCTATGATAAACTGTCTCGGGAGACACAATATTCTAGACAAGCCAGGCAAAGTTGTCCGAGGAGACACAATCTCCGAGCAAAGAATACCTCCGAGTTGGTTTCTCCGAATTCCGAGTGGAGGCGCTATTTGTGCATGAGGGAGGCACAGACGTACGGTGTTGAGGAGGCACCGTCCCCCATGCGCCCCTCCCGCTTTACACTGGCAGCAAAATGTCAATGCACTTATAAACTGTGTTTCTCATAATATTTACTTTGTCAAAAATGATAATTCAGATAATCTGATCCAATTGATGAGCACGCGATCGTACTGTTGTTTCAAGCAAATGTGTAGAACAAATTAAATTAACGCCCAGCTGTACCCCATTAGTTTTGTCCAATATTCGTAAATTGGCAAAATTCTGTAAAATTTTTGAAAGGTTCTAGTTGTTGGATTCTGAAACTATTATGAAAAGGGCACAGAAACCATTCATGAAATCGTTCACTGCTTTCCCGCCTGCCGGTTCATAGTTCCAAGTTTGTTTGGCAGTCTGAACATTTGATTTCGATAATTAGCTTTTTCAGTTCGAACATCTTACGTCTTGCACAAACTAGTCAGTGGCGCACCCAAGGGGGGAGCCTCGGGGGCTTGAGCCCCCCCCCCAAAAAAAGGGTTTTTATTAAATGTATTTTTTTTTAGTCCCACGATTTGACATTGGTGATATGTTTGTGGCCTATTTTCGAGTAGTACGGTATAATAGGGGTGTTAGTGGCGCCACCAACGTCAAAAAAGCGGCCAAAATTTTCGGCATAATTTTTTGGAACATTTTTTACTTCTACAAAATTTGAATAAAAATTGTGAGCCCCCCAAGCCAAATCTTGGTTGCGCCACTGAAACTAGTTACCCATTTTGAAAGTTTTAAATACTCACTTCACTCGAACCGATATGGCAGAAAGTTCAAAGGAATATAAACGGGTATATTGTTACAGCCTAACATTATAATCTAGAAAATCGCAGGAATGAAAGGATTTTGTACTGTTCGTAAATCTACTCCTTAAATCTGGAATTAAGTTGAAAAGTTACGAAAGACAGGCTAAGACCGTTACTCACAAGTCGGCCATATTAAATTGAAAGCGAGGTAAACTCGTCATTTTTGGAACTTGCAAATGAAAACAATGAATTAAAGTTTATTACAAATTAATATGCTCAGATGAATTCAAAAGTTGCCCAGTCATATTTTGAATTGCGCCCTAAATCAGCGTCCGGAACAGGTTCTCATTCAGCAACGCGATGTCACGCATTTGAACCGACGCGACATACGACGGTGTGACGCGGCCGGCAACTGAAGGAGCGACGTTTACACACAACAAGATGGGAAGGACGACGTGACAGCAGACTGTGTACAAAAGCAATGAAGACGCGACGGCACGACGCAACGGAGCCATCATGCCGTCGCAGAGTGTCGTCAATAGTACACCATACCATACATCAGCCGCACACTGCAAAAGCGATGACATTTGCAAAGTTGGTGACGTTTTGCAAGTCAGCTCTTGCTACCTTTGAACGTTGGCGTGTGACTTTAATATGAAAGTCGGCGGGCGACGTATGGAACGCCAAGACTGCATCCGAGAACACCTCTCCCAAAACTAAACTACTGCGTGTAATGTTAGACGAATTAAAACTTATTGTTGACTTAACTCCACAGCTTTGACTTTTTTTGCGATAGAGGACTTTGTGTTTAAACAGGAATTTGCACGAGCTTCGTTCAAAAAAGAGGAGCATATTTGAGGGAACCAAAATCGATTCCTCGTGTGGGCAAAATGATTGTCACTGATATTTCTTTGTAGATGTTGATAGAAATTATGTGCGCAAACATAAACATGTATATATACACGACTACGAACTTCAGCAAGATACCGGCGGAAATCAAATGGTGATAGAATTGAAACATTATATGAAGAAAAATAACCAAATTATGAGGCGAGTCAGGCAACACTCGACAAACTATTTGTTGTCATTTTTTATCCAATGCGTGGATTCGGTATTTTGCTGGTTTTCGTTACCATCAACCGTTTCCACAAGTTGTTCTTGATTCTGAAGCAGACAGCGACAGAACAGTTCTTTGAAGCCCTGCCTGAAACCATCCAAACGCCACCAGTAGATTAGCGGGTTGATAGCTGGAGACAGACAATAAATAAAACCGCAAACCCAGTTGTAGTTATTGAAGGTATCGTCGGAGATTGTGCTCTGACCAGTTTTGATGAAATACTCCATTATCTGGCCGACGTTGAAAGGGATCCAACAAATGAATGATGTCACAAGAATGATGGAGAAAGTGACCAACAGGCGACGGGTCTGACGAACACGAGTAGCGGCCTGTTCCGAGTCATCAGGGATGGAGAGACCTGGGCTTGATGCAAGCGGGGGAACGTAGCTCTTGATCTTTCTGAAGACGAAGCGGTACAGCACAGCGGTCACGATCCACACAGCGAGTACTAACATAGATCTAGACCACGCTGATAGAATCAAGCGAACCTCGTCAGATGCCACCAAGATTACCGGCAAGTGAAGTGCGAGGGAGAAACACCAAAGGAGAAGGCAAACCACTACCAGGCGGCATCGCGTCACCAACGCGTCATAGCGAGAGGGCGGCGTGATAGTCAGTGCCAGGTAGCGGTTCACAGCCACTGCTAAAATCATCAGCACGGAAACGAAGAAACTCGACTGAAGAAGGGCAGAAAGGAATCGTGCCCTGTTTAGGGCATAGACAATTGCCATCACAGAAAACGCCAGGTCGGCCAGGGCGAGACTGAAGACGAAGGCGAAGTACTTGATGCGGAGATGGCTGGTTGCTGCTAACACCACCATCACCAGCAGATTCTCCAACACAGCCAGGACTAAAATAACAGCTCCAGAATAATTGATTACGGTGATCAAGGTAGAACCCATTGTCGATTGCCTGCACAGATAAAACGACATGATCAATAACACCTAATTTAAACGACCTTACCAATTGACGTGTGGTAAAATGGAACATGTCAACGTATGCTTGTGAAACGTTTTAGGTAATATAGGTTTTCCCGGCGAATTTCCTATTTTTTCTAATCAGTTTCATTATCAGCCATTCAATTTCGCGTGAGTTTTGCACATGTGGTCAAATTGGTGTTTCTTTTTCATTTCGGGTTCATTCAATTTAATTTTTAGGCAGCCAAGATTTTGCTGTGAATGTTCGTACATGTATTCATTTTCGGGCAGCCTATTTCGTTTTGGTGCATTCACGACTTAACTTGTAGCAGTCGTAAATTAAGTCTTTGCAACCTTTTGACGGTTGATGCATTCAAATTAGCGAACATCTGTGCGCTTATAACGTATAACCATGCTTTTCGTTTCTTATTCGTTTATGGGCAATCGCTTTCATCGTTTGGTCATTTAAATTAGTAACCTTTTTTAATCGATATATTTTTCCTATTTTCCTCCGAGGTTCATTTCCCCCCCCCCCCCAAAAAAAACCTTGATGACTGTTAAATTTTTTAATGTTACAAATTAACTGATATGAGGGAAACAAGATGTAACGAAATAATTAACTGAAAAGGACTAAGATAATTTCTTTTTCACTGTTTATCTTTTCTACTTGTTTAAACGTTTGAGCAAGACGTGCAAGACATCGGGACACGTTATATGTTTGGCAATGGTTGTACCATCGGGAACACTTCTCTTGTGTTATTTCTTAAACGTTTTCTAGCGTATGTCTGGCCGAACGCTTACTGTATTCAAAGGGCCCATGCAAAGTAAGTTTTCAATGCAAACATTGAAAATACATCTTTGTGTCACATTTAACCTTATTTGCAAGTTTTACTTTCCATTTTGAGGGGTGTGTTGGTGCCTTCTCTGTTTTTATGCTAATGCAAAGTTTCATATTCAATAAAAAAAAACCTGCCATGGCATTCCGGGCATGATTAATGTTACATAGCTATTTTAGCACAAAAAGTTGCTAGAATTTTGGATATTTTGCTGTCAGAATTTTTTTATTTTTGGTGATTCTATGATGTTTCAGTACATGGCAGTAAGCCAATGAGCAACCCTTTCTCACAAATGTTTTCAATTAGCAAATTTTGGATGAATAATTTAAAAGAAAAACCTCTAAACTGAACATTGTCTTCCTGAAATGACATCACAGTAACAACGCGCTCATACGTAGTCCGGAAAAGCATGGACACTTTTAAATGTTTAAAGAAGTGCACTTTTGCAATGAGATTAAACAACAAAATGTTGTCACTAAATGTGTATTTTCCTTACTTTTCACAGTAGTAAAGAGTTGCACAAAAACAATCCTGAGAAAAATTCATTGCACATACCCTTTAATTAAGAAAGAAAGGTATCTATGGATAGAAGACATCAAATATGATTTTAATACGCTAAGGAATACAGACACGTACATGAAGTCTTCGTTTGACAAAATGTGAAATATGTTTGCCCATTAATGAAAACGAATGCCCGATCAACCCCTTACTGCTGGTTTAGACGAAATTGAATGAGCAACGCGATACTTTTAATATGAATGCATCTTTGATAGGGATGAGTGAAGCTAAAAGGCGATAGAATGCTCGGATAGTGAAATTGAATGATTCTTTTTGATTGTCGAATGCCCATCTGCGTGATCTTTCAATTTCAATCTAAATCAAATGAGCCAGGCGTTAAATTGAATGAAAACTTGGTGAAAGTGGCCGGGAAAACCTATATTAAATTCTACCGTTGGTAATATAAAAATAACAATTATGTTTTTGGAACCATTCCCAAACATATATACTAATGCCAATGTCTTTTTTTCTGGACAAAGTTACATTAACCAAATCATATTTTGATTGGTTATTCCAGTGGTATCCATCAAAAATCTGAATCTCATGACAAAATGATTACATGCAGGTGTGAGGCCTGTATATATAACCACCCTTAACCGTGTTGTGATAATGTAGTAATGTCCCTTGTTAGCACCATTTCAGATGGCTTGTTTTCCCAAGCCTTACAAAGCGTAGACCTAAACAATAAGTGAAATTCAAGTCAAAGTCGATTTGCAATTACGTACCTACATACAACTTCGTCCACAGGGCAAATCCGAAAACAAACTTCGTCGAGATGATTAAGTCGAAAATGGGAAGAAACTAAAGCAGCGAGTCGATCGTCTCGCAACCAAAACATCGACTCTGAAACCTTGTGGCTCAACATGAAAGGAGAGATATGAAATTATACGATTAGTGTATTATTTATGTCATAAAACTGAAAGAAGAAACCTTATGGCATGTTGAATGCATAAAAATGCATAAATGTGTACAAATTAATAGAGAATTAAAGCGGAAGCGAAGTTCCTTATGCAAATTACTCACAATACAAACATGCAGTTTACTCGTGCAATGCCGTTCAATGCCTCCCAATACATTCAGTATACGCCATGAAAACCACACAGTTGGATCCGAGTTCGGATTTTGAGTTTGTCTTGCCCTCCCAAAACTAAGCGAGTTTAACTACCAGACATTCGTCAATGCACTTGGTAGCGTGTTTTTATTGAAAAAGTAGTTTATTGTTAAGTGCTATACTAGCAATTGTCCTATTCAACGATAGCAGTTTTATTAGATGACCGTTTGCCGATGACGACTTTTTAAGCCGAAAGTACCAACAAGAGCTGTCAATCAAACCAAGTGACAAGCTTTGACATTCCTTTGCTACTGTTGGTTCAACCAATCTAATGAAGACTAGGACTGATCACAGAACTTGGAAATGAACTCGATCACATCTGGAGAAATCTGATAAGTTTGCATAAAATCACCGACAATGAAATAACCCTACCTATTTACAAAATGTATACTCCCTTGTCACAAAAGACAGGAAGCGGCAGCGTATTTTTTGAACATATGGCGAATATTAAACAAACAGATACGATGTTTTATTCACATCACCATCACGTACACACAGTCTTGTTTTACATGACTCTCGAGCACAAGGTATAGTCTTTCCCTTTTTCCCTATAATATAACGCTTTCCTATAGACTAAGCCACACAAACTCAAACATGAGAACCGTTTTCAACGAAAGAACTCTCGACGACAACGAAGGATCTGCGGTTCTCCTTTACGGACTACACTATTTACAAGTATCGTTTTTTTTCTTGAAAGCAAAATGTAATTTTCCCTAACGTATTCTACTCCCATAGTAATAACTTTTATTTTTAATTGAGTTATTCTTGATATGTTAATTTATCTCAGCATGCATACACCACAGGCGTATTTAAGTTCCTTACACAATTGAAAACAAGACATGATTCTGTTTTCAGGTGAATTAAAACTTATGTTTTGATATTGTCGCAGTTTTGACTTCGTCTTTTTGCAATAGAGGAGGAATTCCCGAAGAAGAAGCTTCGTTAAAACAACAAACAAAAACCACAAGAACATAATGTGAGTGGATAGGTCGATTCCTCGTGCGGGTAAAATCATTGTCTGTGATGTATTTTAGCTGATTTTGTTAGTAATATGTGCGCAAACACGAAGCATAAGTACAAGCCTACGAACTCTACCAGAACGACGTAGGAAAACAAATGGTGAGAGAATTGAAACATTAAATGGAAATCATGAGAAATAATCGTCAAATTGTGAGTCAACACTCAACAAACTGTTTTGTTTTTGTCACTGTTTCTTTACATAATGGTCTCGGTACTTTGCTGGTCTTCGTAATCAACCTTTTCTCCAAATTCTTGATTCTGAAGCAGACGGCGACAGAACAGTGCTTTGAAGCCCTGCCTGAAATCATCCAAACGCCACCAGTAGATTAGCGGGTTGATAGCTGGAGACAGACAATAAATAAAAGCGGCAAACGTGTTGTAGTTATTGAAGGTATCGTCGGAGATTGTGCTCTGACCAGTTTTGATGAAATACTCCATTATCTGGCCGACGTTGAAAGGGATCCAACAAATGAATGATGTCACAAGAATGATGGACAAAGTGACCAACAGGCGACGGGTCTGACGAACACGAGTAGCGGTCTGTTCTGAGTCATTTGGGATGAAGACACCTCGGCTTGATGCAAGCGGGGGAACGTAGCTCTTGATCTTACTGAAGACGAAGCGGTACAGCACAGCGGTCACGATCCACACAGCGAGTACAAACGGAGATCTAAACCACGCTGATAGAATCAAGCGAACCTCGTTAGATGCCACCAAGATTACCGGCAAGTGAAGTGCGAGGGAGAAACACCAAAGGAGAAGGCAAACCACTACCAGGCGGCATCGCGTCACTAACGCGTCATAGCGAAAGAACGGCGTGATAGTCAGTGCCAGGTAGCGGTTCACAGCCACTGCTAAAATCGTCAGCACGGAAACAAAGAAACTCGACTGGAGAAGGGCAAGAAGAACTCGTGCCCGTATTAGGGCATAGGCAATTAGCATCGCAGCAAACGCCAGGTCGGCCAGGGCGAGATTGAAGATGAAGGCGAAGTACTTGATGCGGAGATGGCTGGTTTTGGCTAACACCACCATCACCAGTAGATTCTCCAACACAGCCAGGCCTGATATCACAGCTCCACAATATGAGATTACAATGATCAAGGTAGAACTCATTGTCGATTGCCTGCACAAATGAAACAACATGACCAACAACACCTTAGCGATCTTACAAATATATAATGAATTGGCGAATAAAACGGAACTTATTTTGCCGGTGAAGTGTTTTGGGGATATATGCATCTGCCACCGTTCGTAGTTGCCAACCATTTCCAAGGACTATTATGCCGGTAAAGCTTTTGCCTAGACAAAACTATATCAACAAAATCATATTCTGGTTATTTTCCAGTGGAAACTCTATCTAGTCAGGAGTCATTTGGTCGGAATCGTGACCGATTGGTCCAAGGCACCAAACTTGGCAGATAGATTCTTGTAGCCCAAGAGAACCTCCCACAATAAGAGATTACTGTTGTTTACAATGATTAGGCCTATGTCTACGTCAGAACGTTTTCTTACCAATCATTTTGGGAATTTCCTTGAACTTGTTCAAGTCTCCTACGTTGAACCCTTCCCATAGTTTTAGCCCAATTTACGGACACCTCGTTTTTCCCCCGTTTTTTCTGTTTTCTAGGCTAAACATCACAATGTTGTCGCAGTTCACCTAATTTTCCATCAAGTTTTGATAGGGTAACTGTGCCAGTAGGCAACTTGGTTAATTTGACCAGACTACTTGATATCTGGAGAAAAGGTAATGTGCGCAACATTAGAGTATAATAGTAGCCATTTTGGATCGTTACATTGTCCTCATAACTATTCAGTCACTGATATGCTTTTAGAAAATGTTAAGTAAGCATATATAAGTAGGATCCCCAATATATCCTCTATATACCCAAATATGCCAACAAATATATTTCACGGCAGGTATTTACGATTTATGTAAATTAGGCATCCGTCCCAAAAGAATTGAATTCTGATCATGAGATTCTACCGATTGTCATTTATTTGGAGAAATGATAGAATTATTGTTTTTATGAATCCTGCTCGCGAGACTGTATTGTATCTAAAGCAGACATTTATTGGAGTTTATGTGAATAATTGATATGGAACGAGGGTTGGTGTTGTGAAGGCAGAATTGTAGATTTACCATTGTTGAAAGAGCTCATTGTATTTGGTTAGTTTGGCCCCGGAACCTGTACCCCTTTTGCTTATATCCTGCACTGAATTGATTGTTCGAGCTCATCTGGCAGGCCGTTACCTCTTTGAGAGAGACTACCACAGGCCCTTTGTTACTTGTTGGGACGAACAAAGGCTTGTCGGGACGCATCCATTTACATGAGGGAGTATCTTGAAAGCCTGAACCAATTTCGTAACTGTATTTATTGTTTTAAGTTAATATTTGCATATTAAAGTAAGAAAGCGAGTACCCACTTAGTGAGTAGAGTTTTCCGGATTTAATTTCCATTGTGTAAATATATTTGTACATTCTGAATTAGGCTGTAAATATAAGTTGTAAATATCGATTCCAGATCTCTTGGTTCTAGAAGTTGGGGTCATCACTGTAAATAATAATAAGTTCGAGGAATAGAATATGTTTAGTATCGACACCCAGATTTCTCTTAAAAAAGCCCGCAATCTGTCTCCGACATGGCTGCTTGTTCAGAATGTGGCATAACAAACAACTAACAAGTGGATTGTGTTCAGCCATGTGGTTGCGAACGTGAAAGCGTGCCGGTTGTTAAGCAAAGCTAATCCGATTACGTAATTAGACACTGTAACAGAGCGTGACATTCATGCGCCTAAAACCGTGGCTTTTGCAGCCGTGTTTTTGCGAAGGGGCGATTTCTAAAGGTTACGTAACACTTTATTTTGAGTGAAACTTCAACAGACATGTTCGCGTTTGCGGGCGAAATGTTTGAAATTTAATTTCTCCCGTTTGGTGTGCATGATTGTGGTGCAGTTCACATTTGGAGGAAAGCCTCCTTCACTAAATATTAATTGATAAATATCACCTCTTTTTGCCGGCTTCCATTGGTTGACACCGTGATCCATGCCAAGTCACGCCGAGTGACGCTAATAAATTTGCTGATATGCACTTCGTCATTGTGTTGTTGGGCCGAAATCAGTCAACCGTAGCGCCTACGGCGCTGAAAACCATGCACGCGTGTATTTTGTCGGCAAAAAAATCCTTGTCAACAGATTAACCCTAAAGGGGCCGGGTTATTTTGACCATCTCTCAGCCGGGGGGCGGGGGGGGGCGGATTCCGCCACCTCCCCCCCCCCTAAGATCTCGGCCATCGAGTGACGAAAAATTTTGAAACTCGGCACATGCATAGAGCAACTCTTCCTTAACATACCCAAGAAATGTCATGACTATAGGTCAAAGGGTTTTGGAATTATGGCTAATTAATTATTCATATGTACGAATGGCAATTCTGCTCTGTGTACACGACGTATATTCGAAAATTCAGTTTTCACGGCGCGTAGCGCCGGAAAAATTTTCGCTACGCGGCAACCCGTGGTCCGATTTTTATGTTTTTAGTATCAAAAGATGCGCAAAGCTCGAGGCTATAAAGTCATAACAGCTCGGGTCGCGAAAAATTTTTTTTAGAGGCTATCACGGAAAATGTTGAGGGGGGGGGGCGGATTCCGCCTCCCGGCCCCTTTAGGGTTAAGCTAAAATTCGGAAATATACTTTGATAATATTAGTGTTAAACTACTCGTGAAATAACAACTTGGAGAAATTCCTAGAAGTTGATATAAATACATAGATTTGGGGAAGTTTTCGAACGTTTTCTTTGGCATCGATGACGGCGATTTTGTTACTGATATGAAGTTTAGAATTTCTTCTTCCGTTACAATTTAACATTACAATTATACTGGGCATATTTTCTGAGTAATACAACGTTCAAAAGGCAATGTTTTGGGGAGGGTTTACGAATTTCACTGCTCTTTTAAAACAGCGTCTACGTACATAATCGGATTAGCCGCAACGCTTTCGCATTCCCAACCACACGGCTGCGATCTCCAAGGAAAATTTCGACGAGGATTTTTTGCCAACCAAACCCACGTGTACGCTTTTCAGCAATAGAGGTTTCGCATGCAAACGGATACGTTTAGTGCGACGGATACGTCATCAGTTATGACGTCATACACCACTCACTATCCGCTAAACGTGCAGACGACACGCATATCTCGCTCGCTACACCTAAGTAAAAAACGGATACGGATAGCTAAACGTAAGTGTAAGCGTATCCAGGCGCGGTTCTAGAACCAATATTTTTGAGGGGCTAGCACGGTGGATCCAGAATTTTTTTCAGGGAGGCGTGCTGAAATGTAGACCGGTTATTTTTTCCAGACACTTAGGCCTCTGAAAATCAATAGGTGGGGTGGGGGGGGGGGGGGGGGGGGGGCTCATGCCATATTTTCAATGGGGAGCGCCAATAAAATCCTAAAATCATTCACACTATATTAACTACAAATGCACACTTGTCACGACTATTTCTTTAGGGGGAGACCGTTCGCATGTACATCACAATCCTTCTTTTTGCTAATGCAATTTTTTTTGTTACGGAATTTTTTTTGGGGGGGGGCTAGACAAAAAAATTGGGGGGGGGGGGGGGCTACAGCCCCCCCCCCCAGCCCCCCGTAGAACCGCGCCTGAGCATATCCGTTGGCTTGCAAAACCTCCCTATCCTATGGTTGACAGATTTCGGCCCGGCAACACAATGACGAAGCGCATATTAGCATATTCATTAGCGTCACTCGGCGTGACTTGGCGGGGGTCTCGGTATCGGCCAATGGAAGCCGGCAAAAAGGGGTCATCATATTGGAAAGAATGTTGCAACCTGACGCTACTTCAGCGGTTGTGTACAAAGTCTATGGAGAGTCAAGAAAATGTTCTAAGCATTTCCTAACAAAACTGAAAATGTTTCTCAGTTCACGATTCATGTCTTATCATTTTTGCAATGGATGACCTTCAATGAGATGACATGTGAAGAAAAAAAGCAGCATCAGGTTGCAACGTTTTTTCTCCTATTTATGAGGCTTGAAAAGATTGACAAATACAAACGCCAGTTTCACAACTTTAAAAAAATGCACGTAGCCAGGCCTATTTTTCCAGTTTTAAAGAAAAGTAGTTAACATAGGTCACAAGGTTTTATAGCAAATACTTGGATGATTTTAAGGGAAATAAACCCTGAAAGTTGCATGAAGATACAGTCTTCCATTGCCAAACGGGAGAAATTAATTTTCAAAGATTTCAACCGCCAACGTGAACATGTCAAATTGTCCTATACCATAAACTGCGAAACGTAGACACTGCAAAACGTTGACCTGAGCAATAAATGGAATAAATTCAAGTCAATGTCGCTGCTGCCATCTTAACGTACTTACAGTGTCATCTACCGGGCAAGTCCAAAAAGAAAAACACAGCCTCCTCCGTAATGACTGGTCAAAGAACTGGTAGAAACAGAATCAGTGCGTTGTCTCGCAATCTTGAACATCAAATACGTTTTAGCTCGAAGAGGGATCAGAAATTCATGCTGTTATAACCGAGAGAGGAGTGGCATACTGAATGCATTTACTCACATAAAATGCCAAACTAGTTGCGGCAATCCGGTTCGAAGGTCTGAATAGCGTTCTTTCGTTTTAAATAACCCACATTGTCAGTGCTCCGGATTAAGAGGGCTCACAACAAAGACGGACCAATTTAATCCTGTCGTAACCCAACTTTCTGTGATTGGGAGTTTCAACCGAACCTCATTGAACGGAATTAAAAGGTCGTCAGACCGAAAAGCAATTCAACCATACTGATTTCTTATTGCCAACAAAAAGGCCCTTGCTGAGCCTCCCAGCACGGCCTTGAAGCAATTAACGTGCTTGTGGTAAAACCTCTTCGGATCAAATTGCTTTCTTGTAGGGAGCAACACAATTTCATTGGTTTAAGTTCGAACTTTTGCGGACAGATTTTTTAAATAGTAATGTATGTTTGTTCTAGTCTGAATATCAACGTCTAATTATATCAAAGCATGCGCCTCAGCCAATCGGAGTCGACTTTAATAAATCTTGACGTCATTTCATTCCCAAATTAGGAATAAACGTTTGATTGGTCGATTCGAATGCAGAGTTTCAAAATACAACAACCGCGTAACATAATACAGAGAGCGTGACACAGCCTTTATTTCTGTATCTAGGTCTTTTTATCCATGTTAGACGAAGAGTCATTGTCTATAACATTTGAGCAGTTTCACTAAGTGATTATGCATCTTGACCTCAAGACCTCTTTTTTTCCCATAGAAATTCCTTTAAAATAATGCGAACCCCCCAACCCTGCTCTGACATCCCCCCCCCCCCCAATGATACTGGTAATAATGTCCGCATGTGCACAAAATATCGACCGAGCCAGCTTGTTAAGGGGGCAAAGTGTTAACAATCGTTAGATTTCAGCGACGCTTAGGCCTTCGCAACCACAAGGCTGATAGGTTTTCTTTAATATTTCTGATATAAATTGTACTTGTATTTGTAAATATTAATGTTCGTCGTATGTTTCAACAATGTATTTTCCTTATGAGTTTAATTGTTTACATTATTGTTATGTATACAGGGCCCCAATGGAAACCTCTTTTTAACTGTTTGGGAATACCCTGGGTAAAGAACTGGAATAAATAAAAATAAATAAATAAGGGTACTAAGGGAAATTTTATATATGCCCTTGAATTAACCATAATCAAGGGATGGAGGTGGCGTTGTAATGTTTTGGTCTGAGGGCAAGGATTTATGAACATAATGGCGACTATTAAACAAACAGATAGGGCCTACGATGTTTTATTTACATCACCATCATGTACACACGACGTGTTTTACATAACTCTCGAGGACAAGGCATTGTCTTTCCCTTTGTTCCTATAATATAACGCTCTCCTATACACTGAGACACACAAACTCAAGCACGAGAACCGTTTTCAACAAAAGATGAACTCTCGAGGATAACAAAGGATCGGTTGTTCTCCCTTTGTCAGGCTGTCCTCGGGGTGTTTTACGGTCTACACTATTTACAAGACAAAATTTATCGTTAATTCTTTTCCTGAAAGAAAAATGTAATTTCCCCTATCGTACTGTACGCCTACAGCAATAAAAAAGGCAATAACAAACTCCATCTTCTGATATATAAAAAAAAATCCATTGACTCCCTGCAGAAACCATTTCAAGTTCCCACTTCAGACACTTCAAAAATAAATTGGCATGGTGCAAAATGAGCTTTTTGAAGAGTTGACGCCACGACGGCCACGTGTCGTCAATAGTTCACCATACATGTATATCAGCTAGATACTGCAACGTGACTTCGCTCATACCCCCCCCCCCCTAAATTCTTTTCCGTAGGCGGGATGCTCCAAAGTCATGAATAATTCAATAGTTTCGATCGGGCCAGTATGTATATATTCTTGAAACAGAGCAATGATATTGAACAGCGTTGTTGTTATTTAGTCAACCAGTTGAATTTAAAGCATTTTAAAGTGCGGACGTTGTCGAGCTACCACCGTAGCCTAGTGGTTGAGCTATGGATACAAATATCCCTGGTTGGAATCCAGGTCGTCGGTGCTCATTTTCATCGACTGTTTTCTTCTCTGAATTAAGTGAATTTACCTTTGAGATAATTTAATTTTAAGGGGGAAAAAGAGGACACGAACTTCAGTGTCTTGCAACGATTCAAAGGTAAACTGAATTGGCTTTGGAGCATCCCTCCTACGGGGAAAAATCGCCCGCCCTGCAAATAGAACGCTGGGAAGGACTGATCTCTTTGAGCTCTTATTGGATAGCGTGACCTGTGACGTAGCATGCAGCACACGAACTCACTGCAGCAGGGGTGCGTTTTGGTGGTCGTAACCAAGAATTGGTTTAGTTGTTTCTTTTCGGTGAATTTCTTTGGCAATATTAGTTTGGTAAGAACTACGCAGGATGATGTAGTACTCAAATTCCCAAACCAATTAACCATGCGATGCCTGCGAAGGTCATGATACGTTACCCAGAATGCACTGCGTATACTTACTTCACAAGATTCTGTGAAGCCCATCAGCCCTTCCCAGCGAACAAGGCGGGGATGTGGTGAGCGAACAAAATGACACCATTTTGCGAAGTGAGCGACGTTTTGCAGGTCAGCTCTTGCTTTTGAAAATTGGCTGCAGCTGCATAGGGACGTTTGGAACCTCAAGATTGAATCCGAGAACACCAATCCGATAACTCAACTAGGCCTACTGCGTGTAAAATAAAGTGAATTAATTTTTGATAACGTCACCATTTTGACTTTGTCACCGAAGCAGAAGCTTCGTTGAAAAAAAACCCAAACACAATACAGAACATAATTTGAGGGGATAAGTTGATTCCTCTTAAACGTCTCTGATGTTTCTTTGCTGATTTTGGTAGTACATTTGTAACAGGCCTACATGTATGTGCGCAATCATGAAGCATTGTGTACAAGCCTACAAACTCCACCAGAACAACATCGGAAAATAAATGGTGAAAGAATTGAAACATTATATGGAAATCATGAGATATGCTTTTTTTTTGGTCAATGTTTCTTATATAATGGTTTCGGTATTTTGCTGGTCTTCGTTACCATTAACCGTTTCTTTCAGTTCTTGATTTTGAAGCACACGGCGACAGAACAGTGCTTTGAAGCCCTGCCTGAAACCATCCAAACGCCACCAGTAGATTAGCGGGTTGATAGCTGGAGACAGACAATAAACACAAGCGGCAATCGTGTTGTAGTTATTGAAGGTATCGTTGGAGATTGTGCTCTGACCAGTTTCGATGAAATACTCCATTATCTGGCCGATGTGGTAAGGGATCCAACAAATGAATGATGTCACAAGAATGATGGAGAAAGTGACCAACAGGCGACGGGTCTGAAGAACACGAGGGGCGGCCTGATCTTTGTTATCGGTGCAGACAACTGGGCTAGATGGAACCGTGGGAATATAGCTCTTGATCTTTCTGAAGACGAAGAAGTACAGCACAGCGGTCACGATCCACACAACGAGTACTAACGGAGATCTGAACCACGCTGATAGAATCAAGCGAACCTCGTCAGATGCCACCAAGGTTACCGGCAAGTGAAGTGCGAGGGAGAAACACCAAAGGAGAAGGCAAACCACTACCAGGCGGCATCGCGTCACCAACGCATCATAGCGAGAGGGCGGCGAGATCGTCAGTGCCAGGTAGCGGTGCACAGCCACTGCTAAAATCATCAGCACGGAAACGAGGAAACTCGAATGGAGAAGGGCAGAAAGAACTCGTGCCTGTTTTAGGGAGTAGGCAATCAGCATCGAAGCAAACGCCAGGTCGGCCAGGGCGAGATTGAAGACGAAGGCGAAGTACTTGATGCGGAGATGGCTGGTTTTGGCTAACACCACCATCACCAGTAGATTCTCCAACACAGCCAGGCCTGATATCACAGCTCCAGAATATGTGATTACAGTGATTATGGCAGAACCCATTGTCGATTGCCTGCACAAATTAAAAAAAACATGATCAACAACACCTTATAGCAATATTACAAATATATAATTAATGGCGTATAAAACGGAACTTGTCACGTCTTGTCACATGTCACGTCACTTCAAGTTTCATTTATAACACATCCCGGTCTAGGTACATACCAACGTTCAACTCAATCGGACCTGTAGCTCAAATTACAATGCACTTTCGGTTTTAACCAGAAGGGTCACGTGATTTGGCACGTTATAAGCTTTCTGGTAATGACGTCACGATGACGTCATCAAGTATCAGATTACAAGCAACCAAAGAGTTTTTATTCAATTTTTGATTAAACTGTCTGGAGTATTGGATTATTTCAAAATGCATTTTCCGACCTAAAGTAGGCTTCTCTGAATCCGAATGACACCTGCAGCTTCAGTTAATGTTTGAAAGTTGTTCAATGTGGAAAATTCAATTTTCTAACACGGGTTATGTTTTGACCGAGTCAAATTTACCCCAGCCCCTATCCCTCCATCAGGCGCATTGACGTGCATAAAGGCATACTTCCAGGAGATTAGGCTCCGTGGATAACGGGTGATACTGAGACTAGAGAGAGGTGTGGCAGAACGATTTTGATCGTCAGAGATATAACATCAAGAGTGTGAGCTGAGAAATTGTGTATGGTTGCCCGGTACCAACTTCCCTGAGATTCCTGAAGCAGCAGGTGACGATCGGCCGGTGAAATCCAGTCCCGGCCCGGCGCGATCAGATCGAAAAATTGGCAAAATCAGAGCCAATCGATCCTCAACAACCGGTCTTGATTTATTGCAACACTCAAGCCAGGACACACTTTTCCAAGATCTTTCCCAGTGAACATAACCGTAATTTGGCATTATTTTGTTGATTTAATAATTATGTTGAAATCCTGAAGATGATTTGTGACTTTGACTTTAGTAATAATTGAATTGCAATAATGAATTCTGATCATGAGATTCTGCCGATTAAGATTTATTGGAGAAATAATTGAATTATTGTTTAATTAATCCTGATCGTAAGACGATATATTAAAGCAGACATTGACTTATATGTGAATAATTGACATGAAACAAAGATTGTTGTGAAGGCAGCATTGTAGTTGTACCAATGTTGAAAGTGCTGGTTGTATTTTGTTACTTTCGCCCCGGAACTTGTATGGATTTGGTTAATTGTTTTGTTTAAACAACGCCTGAATAAATCTCCGTTATCTGATTGATGGCTCGTCAATTCCACGTCATTGCACGGCGTGGCCGCCGCCGCACCACTACTGTACGGTGAATATAACTTCTATTGAATGATTTCAGTATGCCGGTGGTGGCGCTGTAACACGAATCAGATTCATCGCAGAATGGCAAATCGGAAGACAGTATGCGAGAATCTCCGTTTGTTCTCCTAACAGAAATATCGGAACTCAGCTGTTGTACAAGTTGTAAATATCAATTCGAGGTCTCTTGGTTCTTTCTTGGTTGTTCTCATTTACTTTTCTAGAAACTGGGGTCATTACTGTTAATAATAATAAGTTTGAATTTGTTTAATGGCGACACCCAGATTTCTCCTAAAAAAACCTGCCATCTGTCTACGACATGGCTGTTTGATCAGAATGTTCCACACCAAAGAAACAAGTAGGCTGTATTCAGCCATGGGGGAAAAAGTGTCCTAAACTTCACAATCGAAACAAAAGAACACTAACAAAGGCTGTTCGGCAATTTGCCGAAACAATGGGGCTAAAGGCTACATGCACAGGGTGACACCCCCCAAAAAAATGCGACCCCAAAACAGTTGCCCTAGCCAAAAAAAGATGGGTGGATTTTTATGTTATGGGTATCAGATTAAAGCTGCGAGCTTTTTCTTTTAAACACTGAAGTAATCATGAAAGTAGCACTTTGGGTTGCTGAGAAAAGGCCAATTATGTAAAGGAGTCATTTTCAGCCTGTATTTTACATGACAACATGTACACAGTAAGGGATTTTCACTGTACCTATTTGTGCATGTCCTAATCCTTGGCCTCAAACAACACGGACCATAATATGCCAAGAGTACAAATTAATTTGAGTAAATGTTTCAGTTTGAAATATTTTGAACAGGATGAAAAATATGACTACCTTCACATAACTGGCATTTTCTCAGCAACCTAAAGTACTAGTTTGATGATTCTTCAGTATTTGAAAGAAAAAGCTCTCAGCTTTAATCTGATACCCAAAACATAGAAATCCACCGATCCCTATTTTTTAAAGGCAAATGTTTTAGGGATGCATTTCAAGTTGGGCCACCCTGTATTGCGTCACTCATTTCAAATCGTCCTATTGACTGCGAAGCGTGGACACTGCGAAGCGTAGACCTGATACATTTGTATAATATTGCAATAAATTAAATAGATTCGATACTGCCATACTTACAGAGTCATCTATCGGTCAAATCCAGAAAGAAAAACACAGCCTCCTCCGTGATGATTGGTCAAAGAACTGGAAGAATCTGAAGCAGTGCGTTGCCTCACAATCCTGAACATCGAATACGTTTTAGCTCGAAGGGGGATCTGAAATTCATACTATTCTGTCTTAAAACCGAGCGGGGAATGGCATACTGATGGCATTTACTCGCATACAATGTGTACAAATTAGTTGCGGCAATCCGGTTCGCAGGTCTGAATAGCGTTCTTTCGTTTTAAATAACCCGCAAAATGTCGGCGATTCGGATTAAGAGGGCTCGCAACAAAGATGGACCAATGAAATGCTGCATTCGTAAAGCCAACTTTCTGCGACTCGGACCTCATTGAACGAATTAAAAAGTGTCGGACGGAAAAGCCATTCAACCATACTGATCTCTTATTGCCAAAAAGGCCCCCGCTAAGCCTCCCAGCACGGGCTCAATGTAAAGCAATTAACGGGCTTGCGGTAAAACCACTGGGAGCAAACCACTTATTTCTTTTAGGGAACAACACACTTTCACCGGTTTAAGTTCGAATCATTGCGGACAGATTTTTACACGATTATAGTTTGTTTAGGGAGAAGATAAAATGCAGTTATAGCGACCATTTTCCCCCAAACCTAATCTTATTTTCCCTTCCTTCCATTCGTCTTTTGACTGCCCTCCCCTTATAGAAAGAAGAAAGTTTTCGATGAAGGCACGTGCTATAGAACACAATCGAACAGATGACCGTTCGGGATGATTGACAGGTCAGAAAACCTCAACCATTTATACCAAGGGCGTCGCCAGGTTTTGTTCATCAAACGTCCGAATCTGATAATTCTTGACAGAGTTATGAGTAATTTTCCAAGAGAGGTCAATAATTATTGACCATGGGACCAAGTTTTCAATTTTAGGCATTGGGACGGGATCTACCCGATGTTCCCCACTATAGTCAGTGGGCTTATGGTCAAAAATGACCCCAATATGCAATTTCGGGTACATTCTTTGAAACCCTCAGGATCACTAAAGGGTACTTCAAGAAGTTCAAAACCACTTGATGCCATTTTTTTCTGACCCTTTTGTGGGCGTGGCCACATTTGGACAGTTAACTCAAGTGCTACATCACAAGAAAAACATTTCCACAATTGTGCCTCTTTTGGGGGTGGGGCAACCTTTTAAAAAAGTGGGGGCACACGTTACTAACAGAAAATCGACCTGTAACAGGCAATCTTGAGCTTTTTTGTTTCGTTTTTGTATTTGTTACAATCCCTTATAATTTGGTGTGGAAAACATGTTTACATGTCAACTCATAAATTCTTTGGTTCCCATTTGGGGGGCGTGTCACACTTTTTTCATAAAAAGGGGGCATACGTGTATTCCAAAAGGAAGCTTGTGAGAGCCCTTATTGGATTGATGGCACATTTTTTAAACTCTCAGAAAGATATGGACACCTCAACAATTGAAAATCTGCTCCACCCTACTTATCTCTCCCCCCCCCCCCATTGGCCATTAAAACGACAGCCTTTTTATAACATATCTTGCATTATTGTACACATACAAATTGACAAATAATCGATTTTGACAGACATTTATGTTTTGATATAAATCTCCATAACTCAAACTTCAAGAGAGAGGACTCCAATTTGAGCTTAGCAGAGTTTTGAGTTAAGCAGGGTTGTATATCACTGTTATAGAAGGGATGTAGTCCTTGTTTGAGTTATCAACAGTTTGACATTTTGAGATTTCACTGTAGTATATTTTGTCCTGACAACAATGTTGACCTCGTTTTATTACACACAAACTGCAACAGCCTTTTTAACTTCAAATTTATTTATCTTCACTTCATTTATAAAAATGTTATTATTAAATGTAGTCCTCGGTCATTGGAAATAACGTTTGAAAATGACAAAGTTCATTATTAAGAGTAAAACTTATCAAACTTGGGTGACTTAGTGAATCCTTTATAAGTCACTTGTAATTGGGCAACATATTTGGCATTTAATATCCATGACCTTATTTAGTAATAGAAAAGTGTGAGACTATGTTGTCAATAGTTTCAGAATCCAGATCTGGATGGATTACACAAGATTTGTTTCACTTAACAGTTTTAAATATGGCATATCGCCATAAATGATTGGTGATGTACTTCAAGATTGGATATATCAAAAGGATTTGTAGCCACCGAGTAGAGAAACACATCTTAGGTTGAAACTTTGATGAATATATTACCAATAGTTTCTGAAAACCCAATCCACATGAAGGCCCAGGCAGAAATCTAACCCTGCGATGAAAGGCGAGGAAAGTAACCAATGAGCCAACCTGACTCCCCTAGCGCCAACCTGGCTCCCCAAAGATTCAAGAAAAGCGTGTGACTAGTTCAAATTATAAAAGTATTTTAATAACTACAAATCCTTTAGTTTAACATTCCAGCATGGTTTTTCCAAAGCGAAAAACTTAAAAGTTAGGCAAACCTCTTGACAGAGGCTTGGGATATCAAGTTTTCCTTCTGATATAACCAATCTTAAAGTATGGCACCAATTATATTAATGATACATATATTCAGTGATATGCCATATTTAAAACTGTGACACACAAAAAATGTTGTGTAATCCATCCAGATCTGGATTCTGAAACTATTGACAACACTTTTCTATTACTAAATAAGGTCATGGATATTAAATGCCAAATATGTTGTCCAATTACAAGTGACTTATAAAGGATTCACTAAATCACCCAAGTTTGGCAAGTTTTACTCTGAATAATGCAATTTGTAATTTTCAAACTTTATTTCCAATGAATCACATTTCATAATATCATTTTTATAAATGAAGTGAAGATAAATATATTTAAAGTTAAAAAGGCTATTGCAGTTTGTATGTTATAAAACAAGGTCAGCATTGTTGTCAGGACAAAATAAACTACAGTGAAATCTCAACAAGTCAACCTCTGATAAATCAAACCTCCTGTTAAGTCAAACAAAGACCAATTATTCCCTTCAGTTGTATAACAGTGATGTACAACCCTACTTGACTCAAAACTCAGCTTAGCTCACATTTTAAGCCCATTCTCTCAAAGTTTGACTTATCGAGATTTCACTGTATATAAAAACATAAATGTCTCATAAAATTGATTATTTGCCCATTGGTACATATATGTGTACAATATGCCAGATATGTTAACTGCTGCCATTTTAATGGCCAATGGGGGGGGGGGGGAGTGGGGTGGAGCAGATTTTCACTTGTTGAGGTGTCCAGAGGTCTTTGTGATAGTTTGAAAGAATTCGCAATAATCCACATGGGCTCGCACAAGCTTCCTTTTGGAATACACGTATGCCCCCTTCTTATGAAAAAAGTGTGACACGCCCCCAAGAATTTATGAGTTGACATGTAAACGTTTTTTCCTCGCCAAATTATAATGGATTAAAACAAAAACAAAAAACCTCAAGATTGCATTTTACAGGTTGATTTTCTGTTAGTGACATGTGACCCCCACTTTTTAAAATGTTGCCCCACCCCCAAAAGAGGTAAAATTGTGGATTTTTTTTCTTGTGATGTAGAACTTGGGTGAACTGTCCAAATGCCGAAAAAAAAGTAAAATTTTTTAAATTATTTTTTTTGTGCGCGATGCCCCCACTTTTTAAAATCATGGCCACGCCCACAAAAGGGTCAGAAAAAATGGCATCAAGTGGTTTTGAACTTCTTGAGGTATCCTCTAGTGATCCTGAGAGTTTCAAAGAATGTACCCGAAATTGCATATGGGCCACCACAAGGCCACTGACTACTACCGATGTTCCCCCAAATCCTTAGGATTAGGGTTAGGGTTAGGGCTAGGGTTAGGGTTAGGGTATATTGGTAGGGATTTCGGGGAACATCGGTATTGGGGAACATAGGTATGCACCCCATTGGGACAAAGGTAGCCTAATTACCTCCGTGTGGATAACTGCCTGGCCGACAAAAAAATGTGTTTAGCAAGTAAATACAAATCTAAACACTTTCTTGCTATCAGTTGGTAAACATGTCACGTACATGCTAAACATTTCTAGCATGAGTTGATGACAAGAAATTGTGTTTACGATTGTATTTACTTGCTAAACACATTTTTATGTCGGCCAGGCAAATATACACACAGAGACAATTTTTTGTAGGCTACATTTGTCCCTAAAATTTAAAATTTGGTCCCATGGTCATGCAGTTTGACCTCTCTTGGAAAAGTACTCATAACTCTTGTCAAAAATTATCGGATTTGGACTTTTGATTAAAAAAAAAACTGGCGACGCCCATTAAACGGGTTGAGTTTTTCCGACCTGCCAATCATCCTGAACGGTCATTCTGTTTGATTGGTTTCTATAGCACGTTCCTTCATTCAAACTTTCCGTAAGGGGAGGAATATGAAAATAAGATATATTGAATTAAGTTTGGGGGAATATGATCAGAAAGTTGGCTACAAATGTAGCATTTCATTGGCCCGTCATTGTTCTGAGCCCTCTTAATAATTAATCCGCTTCACCGATAATTTGTGGGTTACCTAAAACGAATGAACAATAATGCAAATTACCAAAGATACTAATTATAATACGTTGGTGAAGGGCAAAAACTAATTAATGTGTACATCTGTTATGCAGTTCACCCACTGAATTGACTACCAAAAGAAGATAAGTAGTACATTTTGTATAAGATTATTGTTTAAAGAAAAAGACAAAATGTGTTTAAAAAACGGCGACACTGGTACCTGGTAGGCTATACAAAGGTCGTATTCAACGATAGCAGGTTTTTAATATCACTGATAACTTGCGCCAATCATCAAGTGTCATCGATCACGTCAATCAATAACATTTGTAAAACGTCGTAACCATGTAAAACATTCAAAAATAACATTTTAATGATATAGAAAAATCACGATATTGTTGTAATAACGTGTTTTAAATGCCGCACATTTGACATATTTTCAGGTCCGTTAAAGCAAATACATGTACATGTATTATCAAAACGTTAACAGCGAATGTTGTAAACAGGATTTACGGAGGAAAGTGATATCTACCATGGAGCTATACAAAGACATTTCTTTAACGTGATTTAAATGCCTCAAATTTGACCATTTATCGAATATGTGAAAGCAATATAATCAGAACGTTATTACCAAACTTTTTAAACAAGATTTGTGGAGGAAAGTTCATTTATATACAAGAACATTTTAATAACGTGACTTAAATGCCTCAAATTTTACCATTTATCAAATATGTTAAAGCAATTATCAAATCGTTACTACTAAATGTTTTAAACAAGATTTATGGAGGAAATATAAAGATGCAAAAATATTTTAACACCGTGATTTAAATGTCTCAAATGTGACGTTTTATCAGGTCTACCGCAATACATGTACTATCAAAACCTTTTTACCAAATGTTTCAAACAAGATTTATGGAGGAAATATCATGATATATACAAGAACATATTGAAAACGTGATTTAAATGCCTCAAATTTGACGATTTATCAAATATGTTGAAGCACTTTTATCAAATCGTTATTACAAAATGTTTTAAACAAGATTAATGGAGGAAATATCATAATACATTGTATATACAACATTTTAATAACGTGATTTAAATGACTCAAATTTGACGTTTTATCAGGTATGTTAAAGCGATATCAAAACGTTTTTACCAAATGTTTTAAGCAAGATCTGTGGAGGAAATATCTTGACATAAACAAAAACATTTTAATAATGTGATTTAAATGGCTCAAATCCCTTCCAAGCGTCCTGTTTGCAGGGTGGGGGTATACAAGCCATTTACTCGTCCCCCACCCTGCAAACAGGGCGCTGGACACAGCTGTAGTCTGGTTCACTGTCCCCATTGTCATTTGATGTAGGCAATTAATATGCATGGCGTGCATAGCTATAGGTCTGAATCCCGCCTCGTGAATATAAGATCACAATGGTAATGGTTGCCCGCAACCAGCCTTTGCGAAATTGAAATAGGCCGCGTCACAAATATGCAGCTTCGGTTTCGGCTGAATTCGAAAGTGTGTCTGGCACATATCAATGAAGGGAGGGAAAATTGCTGTTCAGTATTTAAAACCTATTCAGTTGAAATGCTTGAAAGTTGCCTTCAGTCTTACAGATTTTCCTATATTATTACACTTTTCAACAAGATAGTTCTCGAACCATGCGTCACGCCTGCTTTCTCGATTATCTTTAAAAAGTGACTAATTACATGCAGTATGACGGTTGCCCTGCTGCAGCTTTGACCCAAGTTTGGTTCCAGCCTATTTTACAACTTGACCTCAGATGACCTTTGATCTTCGTTTGTGACCTTTGACCTCATTATCATATGACGGTTGCCATGTTGCACGTATGACCGAAGTTTGGTTCTAGTTGGACTTCAAATTTTCAAGTGAGACCAATTTGACATGTTCAGCCTATTTTACAACTTGATCCCAGATGACCTTTAACCTTCGTACGTGACCTTTGACCTTCGTTTGTGACCTTTGACATCATTGTCATTTGAAGGTTCTCATGTTGCATCTTTGATTCAAGTTTGGTTTCAATTGGACTTCAACTTTGGAAATTAGGCCAATTTTACGAAACTTTAACCAAAATACAACAGACATGTATACTTGTACATACTACATGTACATAGTTTACACAGTAAAATCTTGATAAGTCAAACTTCAAGGGAACAGGTTCAAAATATGACTTAAGCAGAGTTTACTGAAAGGAGCAGACATGGGCGTCGCGAGGGGGGGGGCCAGGGGGGGGGGGGCGCTTGCCCCCCCCCCCCCCCCCCCCCCCCCCCCCGGAAAAGCCACCCAAAAAAAAAACAAACAAACAAAAGGAAGAAAACAAAGTGAAGAAAAAGAAAAGAAAAAGAGGCGCGAAGTCGTATTGGTGTAAATTTAATGGGTTGGGGGGGGGGGGTGGGGCAAAATGTCCCTGCCCTCTCTAAAACTGATAAATCGAGAATATGTTGAAAAATACAAGAATTTTTTTGGAAATTATGTTTTGCCCCCCTCTAGAAAAAATCCTGGCGACGCCCATGGGAACAGATTCTTTGTTTGATTTAACAGTGGTTATCAGAGTTTGACTTATCGAGATTTCGACATGTGCAGTCGAACCCTGATATGAAGAGCACTGTTTATACAACAACCTGCTTATAACAAGGACAATGTTAGGTCCCAAGTCTGTTTTTTCTTTGTTTTCCATTACTGATAATACAAGATACCTGTTATAACAATGCAATTTGTTAAGGCCCAAGGACCACGATATAAAGGTGTTCTACTGTATACGGACTGAGAGTCAGGTGGCATATGGTCGGAATCGTGACCGATTGGACCATACATTGTACTTGGCAGATAGATTCTTATAGCCTAGAGTAGATAATAAGGGGTGAAACTTGAAATTCTTTTGGGAAGGGTGACTAATTTGCATAAATCGTAAATACCTAATTTGGGTACATTTTTATTTTTACTAATTTTTTTAAAGCGTATTTGGGGAATTCTACTTACATATCCTTACTTCAATAACATTTCCTAAACAAGGGACTCTATGATTATAAGGTCATAATAATGATAAAAAATGGCTGCCATTATACACTAAAGTTGCACTCATTTACCTTTTCCTCAGATATCATGAACTAGTCTCGCCAAACGTGGGAATTGATGAGATTCAAATTCACAAAGTTACTTACTGGCACAGTAACCCTAACAAACATAAATAGGAAATCATGTAGCAAAATGATAACATCTTGATATTTAGCTCAAATATCACAATGTTATCATTGTTCACATGATTTTGCATACGGTTTTAATAAGGTAACCTTGAGGGTAACTGTACCAATAAGCAACTTGGTGAATTTGAAGTTCATCTGAAATGCCGAGGTTTGGCAAGACTACTTGATGATATCTGGAGACAAGGTCAATGCGCGCAACTTTAGGGCATAATATTTGCCATTTTGGATTGTTACCGTGTCCTCATAATTATTCATTCACTCCTATGCTTTAGAAAATGTTATTGAAGTAAGGAAGTAGAATTCCCAAAATACACTTTTTGGGGATGTGTACACGCATGTGTACAAGCCTTCGGACTCCACCAGAACACCTCAGAAAAACGAATGAAACATTACATATCATGAGAAATGACCGTCAAATTGTGAGCTAATACTCACAAACTTTTTTTGGGGGGGGGGGTTGGGTTATCCAATGGGCTCAGTATTTTGCTGGTCTTCGTTATCATCAACAATTTCTTCAACGAGTTGTTCTGGTTTCTGAAGCAGACAGCAACAGAACAGTTCTTTGAAGCCCTGCCTGAAACCATCCAAACGCCACCAGTAGATGAGCGGGTTTATAGCTGGAGACAGACAATAAACAAAAGCGGCAATTGTGTTGAAGTTCTTGAGGGTATCATCGGAGATTGTGCTCTGACCAGTTTTGATGAAATACTCCATTATCTGGGCGATGTTGAAAGGGGTCCAACAAATGAATGATGTCACAAGAATGATGGAGAAAGTGATCATCAGGCGACGGGTCTGGCCAACACGAGGGGGGGACTGTTCGGTCATGTCTGTGTTATTGGTGCCGCAAACTGGGCTTGATGGAATCGTGGGAAGACTGGTATAGCTATTGATCTTTCTGAAGACGAAGAGGTACAGCACAGCGGTCACGATCCACACGACGAGTACGAATGGAGGTCTAAACCACGCTGATAGAATCAAGTGAACATCTTTAGATGCCACCAAGACTACCGGCACATTAAGTGCAAAGGAGAAACACCAAAGAAGAAGGCAAACCATTGCCAGGCGGCATGGCGTCACCAACGCATCATAGCGAGAGGGCGGCGAGATAGTCAGTGTCAAATAACGATTCACAGCCACTGCTAAAATCATCAGCACAGCAACAAACAAAAGCGACTGCATAAGGGCAGACAAAACATGATCTCGATTTAGAGCATAGGCAATTAGCATCACAGAAAACCCCAGGTCGGCCAGGGCGAGATTGAAGACGAAGGTGAAGTACTTGATGCGGAGATAGCTGGTTGCTGCTAGCACCACTATCACCAGTAGATTCTCCAACACAGCCAGGCCTGAAATCACAGCTCCACAATATGTGATTACAGTGATCAAGGTAGAATTCATTGTCGATTGCCTGCACAAATAAAACAACATGACCAACAACATCTTAGCGATCTTACAAATATCAAATGAATGGCCTATAACATAAAAGTTATTTTGCCGGTACAACTTTTGGGGAGGGGGGGGGCGGATAAGCTCCACCGCTGTAGTTTGCCAACCATTCCCAATAAGGACTATATACCGGCAAAGCTTTTTCCTTGAAAAAATTATATTAAAGAAATCATAGTCTGATCAGTTATTCCAGTGTAAACCCTATGCAAATCTCAAGTGCAAGTGATCAGATACAGGTATACATGGATGCAGTATATCGGGGAGTCAGTTTGGATAGTGCCACCATGGAGCTATAGCTCCATGGTGGTACTTTCTTCACCTTCCACTGCTAGCACCGTAACCCAGGTTTGAATCCTACCTGGGCCAATGATATGTGGATTGGGTTTTCAGTCCCTAGTTCCTACTCCTAGAACTATGAGGCTCCACGTAGTGGAGCCTCATAGGTTCAGAACCCCGCAAAATTGTTGTCGGCACAAAACACTAATTAAGTATAAAAACGTCCATCCCAACCAAGCCGTTTCCCACAGAACCGCTGCACAGTTTGCCCCTAAACTCCGTACAATACCTCATGACATTCTCACGTTATGTGCACCCAACAAGCATTGGTGGATTCTGTCGGTTTTTCGGCAAAATGATGGAAAATATGCCCTTTCCGCACTGAGCCAACCTGACACTTGAAATTTGCACGCGCGCAAAATGATCGCAGTCATATTCGGGTTCGATAGCTAGCTAGCTCGGAGCGCGCCGCGGGGGGTACGTACTCGCACTTGTACGCATGCGCATACTATCGTTCCGCTCCTACACCATACCCCCCGCGGCGCGCTCCGAGCGATCGGACCGAAAATGACTGCGATCATTCTGCGCGCGTGCAAATTTCAAGTGTCAGGTTGGCTCAGTGCGGAAAGGGCATATTTTCCATCATTTCTGCAAAAAAAACGACAGAATCCACCGATGTTTGTTGGGTGCACATAGCGTGAGTATGTCATGAGGTATTGTACGGAGTTTAGGGGCAAACTGTGCAGCGGTTCTGTGGGAAACGGCTTGGTTGGGATGGACGTTTTTGTACTGAATTAGTGTTTTGTGCTGACAACAATTTTGCGGGGTTCTGAACCTATGAGGCTCCACTACGTGGAGCCTCATAGTTCTAGGAGTACCTAGTTCCCTGATTCAGTGGGTTTTCCTCAGAATATTGTTCTGGGGTTGGAAAGATTCCCATATCTGGCCATCACTAATTTTTCCCTTCAGTGACTTATGCGCCATCAGAAAGTGATAAAAAGTCAAATTTAGCAGGAAGAATATTGAAGTATTTACCGAGAAAACGCTTAGTATATTAAAAAAAAGGGAAGATTTTGGTCAGAGAACCAGACTACTTAAACTTGGCTTGCTCATTTGCTGCTTGTCATGAACTTCCAATTTGGTCGACAAATTATTTTTTGTTAAGATGGGCCTAGGATTAGTTCGAGTAACTTGGACCCAACTTATCGCCTTTTTTAACATTTGGACATGGTCTTACTATCGCCAGACCATGTCCAAATGTTTAAAAAGGCGATAAGTTGGGTCCAAGCCTAGGATCAATATCTCCAAAACTTGCAGTTGCAAATTGTCCCTCACCGTGACTGCTAACAGGTACCGTCTACATTTTAATATAAATCTTTAATGGTGCTCTGTCCATGAAAGTTCCATAGTCTGGTTCCCATTCTTCAGCTGCAAATGTAAAATGAAGTCGAAGGACGATATTTGCACCGCGAAATCGTAAAAACTGTTACGGGATCAAAATAAGCACAGGGCGAAAACGGCACACCGTATAAAGTGAATGGCGCCCCCAATCGCCAATCAGTAGACTTGCCTCAGTGGTTTGTGTTGTCCTTTCGGGGACCGGGAAGGGCAGTGTCAACCTCGTCCCCAGGGTGTCGAGCAGTACGCGCCCACCACTACCTGCTCTCTTACTATATTGGAAACGCGGTTGGAAATAAAGTAAGCACTGGGGACGAGGTTGGGGCAGTGTCTAAAGAATTCATCCTGCAGACTAGCTCTACTGAGTGGAGCGTTGAACTACGGTACCCTACTTACTTAGTACTTGGTACTTGGGTTGGTTTCCTCCTGAAACATCCTCTAGGGATCTTGACTAGGAGGTCACGGGGAGGTGTCGGCACTCGGCACCTAGGTCTCGGTCACGATGTGGTTGTAGTAGTTGTCCCTAAAGGTCTTGTGCGTCATAGAGTCAGTGACGTGTTGGGACAGGTCATTCCATAATTTAATTGTCCTCCGTAGTTCAACGCTCCACTCAGTAGAGCTAGGCTTTAATCAACTTGAACGTTTACAGGGAAAATATCAGACTTTAATCAAGGGATGTTTTGGTCAAACATTAACTATAAATAAAAAAGTTAAGATCATTATATTTATAAAAACCACTTCCAGCATACCGCGATATAAAAATACTAATACAGGAAGTCCACCTCCGTTCGCACACTGTACACTCCGTGGACTGTCCGACATGTCTATTTTCACAGGCATCATACACGGAATAACCACACAACCGTCGGGTTTTTCATATCAATTTAAAAAGGAAGAGTTATGGTTATACCATGGAGCTATAGCTCCATGGTTATACATGATGTACTTCACAAAAAGACAGAACAAAGGGACAATTCGGAAAGGTTAGTGGGCAATCCCTATTCCGAACGAAAAACGAGATAGGCCTAAGTACCGCGATAATATGGCAACCCATCCATCCTACTTACACTGTCGTCTACCGGGCAAAATCCAAACAGAAAAACACAGCCTCCTCCGTGACGATTGGTCAAACTCAAAGAACTGGAACCTGCAGTGCCTTGTCTGGCCGGCAAAAGATCGAAAAGGAATCTGTTATGTCTGGCTAGTATTTGTGTCTGCACTGTGCACTCGATATCGACGATGACCTCGACTACGTGATATGCGCGAATCAAAGGGAATTTTATTATCATTCCAACGGTGCGTGAACCTTTATAAAAGAACGTATAGTTCGTGAGCTAACTACAGCGTTGAACACACAGCTACAGCGCGGGCTTGGCCGCCCCCAAAAGGGGGATGGCCCACACCAAAAATTGATGTTTTGACGGGTCTTTTTTATGGCCCAGATAACAGTGTCTGTACATTTTTTTTTGTGAGGTTAGAAACTGAATTTTAACACCCCCAAGTACATTGAACGGTTTTCGAGATACAGCGTGATATGTCTTCCAAAATGGCATGATTTTGGACCGTTTCCTGATCTGATGTGTTTTTAGCCTCAGTCACCAAGTTACGCAACAAATCGATATGGGCATACTACTAAATGCATTTACTCGCATAAAATGTTTACAAATTTAATAGGCAATCCGGCTTGGAGGTCACATGCAAATTACCAAAGATGCTAATCTTATACATTGGTGAAGGGCAAAAACTAACGTGTACATCTGTCATGCAGTAAAAAACAACAACAAAGCGACACTGGTACCTGGTAGGCTACATGCGAAGGTCGTTTTCAACGATAGCAGGTTTTTTATCACTGTTTGCTGATATATTTTCACCCGAATAACATGTATTATAATAACACCCAAATAAATCCTTGTGATTTGATTGGAGGATTGTAAGTCGCGCAAACTCTCTTTGAGGTTATCAATCCAATTCAATCAATTAGGTCGTCTATCTCAAGCCACGTGATAAGTGTAAACGGTCATTGGCCATTGTTCAATCAATCTAATTTTAGAGTCGGACCACTTAACTTCGGAATTTAACCCACGATCACATCTTGGGAAATCAACAGATCTGGTTATAGGTGTAATCATGGTGTGATACAGCAGCATAGGCAAAGATGTTTACGTCAACGAATTAATCATAATCAAAAGACTGAATGTTGCATAATTGCAAATGTTTGGTTTCGATTTATGTACACATGGTGAATTATAATTGAACATTTACATGTTTCTTTGTCATCATAAAATGCACCAACGAATGTTGTTTTAATAGGGTTTGTGACAAACTCCAGACCTTTTTGTTAATATAGTATAATTTACAAGTCATATTTTTGGTTCTTTTCCAGAACATTTTTTTGAACTCCAAAGATATTTGCTCGGCAAACGAAATGTACTTTCCCCATACACACGGTGAAGCAAAACTATCTTTTGAAGAAAAGAATAGTTAATTTTCAACTTATTCTGTCTAATAAAATTACCTAAGCGTTATGTAAACAATAAACCACAAGTTCACAATCTGTTACAAACGTTACATAAATATGTTTGAAAAACAAAAAAGAAATAGCCCTCCATTTTCAATTATAATACATTTCATAAAAAAAGGTTTAGTTAATTATAAGCAAATATATTTTCGAGGAACCACATACGCATACATCCAAAGAGCCAAACAAGGGCAGATCCAGAACACAATTTTTTTTTTGGGGGGGGGGGGGCAAGAAATGTTTGGTCCCCCAAAAATTACGGTGTGGGGTTAGCCCGAAATTTTGTTGGATTGTAGATGCTCTGTGGTGCGATCTGAGGCAATTTCTGACCATTTTAACCAAATCTTTTTGAGCAAAAAAATGGTGGTGTACGCAGTGCCTACCTTTATTGCGACGTCACTTATAAAGAAACAAATTGGGTTCGTTTTTTTTTGCCCCCCCCCGGATCCGCCCTTGGAGCCAAATTATATATACAAAATAAAGTAATGATGATTAGGCCGAAAAAAAAAAAAAAAATCGGTCTCTGGTCAGACTGAAGTTCCGGAATTGATGCGGCGACGCGTTTTTTTTTGTGTGGCTTGTTTTTTCAAGCTTGTATTGTACAGACAAGCTGGGTACTACATGTATTTTGATTTTTTGTGTCCTCATTATACATTGGTGTCCTCCATAATTTGCCTTGGTGCCCTTTATCATTTGCCTTGGTGCAATTTCCCCATTTCTTGGTGCTCCTTGGTACAAACATTTGAGGAGGCGTGACAATAGAGGGCGCTGTTGTAGCTTCCGTGTTAATTTGAAGAAAATAAAAAGGTTGACGCGCATGATTAAAATCGATGCGCGCACTGACCAGAGACCGAGTGTTTATTTTTTTTTTGGCCTTATTTCCGGATATCAGGCAAGTGACAACCATTACATATGAACAACCCAAATGCACATCCAAGCACTTTACATACCTACTGTGGACACTCCTTTGTATCCGTGGAGGAAAATGAAAAAGAACTTTTACTCGCATTGTGAACACTCTTTCAACCCGAAATTGTGATCATGATTTCCTTGACTGTGCCTCCTCATTTTGCGACATACATGTATAATATAACCCTAACCCCATAATGACTCCAAACATATGTCGCATCCTATATTGAACTCTCAATATTACTTTTTAAAGCTTTCAGAAAAGTTTGTCAATCACTCCTCATCTTTTCCCCCATTTTTGTTTTCTGGGCTAAATATCACAATGTTGTTATTGTTCACATGGTTTTGCATATGGTTTTAATAGGGTAACCCTGAGGGTAACTGTACCAATAAGCAACTTGGTGAATTTGAAGTTCATCTGAAATGCCGAGTTTTGGCAAGACTACTTGATGATATCTGGAGACAAGGTCAATGCGCGCAACTTTAGGGCATAACAATTTTGGATTGTTACCGTGTCCTCATAATTATTCATTCACTCCTAATGTCTCCTATGCTTTAGAAAATGTTACTGAAGTACGGAAGTACAATTCCAAAAATTCACTTTTTGGGATGTGTACACACGTGTCCAAGCCAACGAACTCCAACAGAACACCTCAGAAAAATGGTGTGAAATAATGAAACATTACATATCATGAGAAATGACCGTCAAATTGTGAGATAATACTCACACTTTTTGTGGGGGGGGGGGGGTTTAACCAATGGGTTCAGTATTTTGCTGGTCTTCGTTATCATCAACAATTTCTTCAACCAGTTGTTCTGGTTTCTGAAGCAGACAGCAACAGAACAGTCCTTTGAAGCCCTGCCTGAAACCATCCAAACGCCACCAGTAGATTAGCGGGTTGATAGCTGGAGACAGACAATAAACAAAAGCGCCAATTGTATTGAAGTTGTTGAGGGTATCATCGGAGATTGTGCTCTGACCAGTTTTGATGAAATACTCCATTATCTGGGCGATGTTGAAAGGGGTCCAACAAATGAATGATGTCACAAGAATGATGGAGAAAGTGATCATCAGGCGACGGGTCTGGCCAACACGAGGGGGGGACTGTTCGGTCATGTCTGGGTTATTGGTGCCGTAAACTGGGCTTGATGGAATCGTGGGAAGACTGGTATAGCTATTGATCTTTCTGAAGACAATGAGGTACAGCACAACGGTCACGATCCACACGACGAGTACGAATGGAGGTCTAAACCACGCTGCTAGAATCAAGCGAACATCTTTAGATGCCACCAAGACTACCGGCACATTAAGTGCGAAGGAGAAACACCAAAGAAGAAGGCAAACCATTGCCAGGCGGCATGGCGTCACCAACGCATCATAGCGAGAGGGCGGCGAGATAGTCAGTGTCAAATAACGATTCACAGCCACTGCTAAAATCATCAGCACAGCAACAAACAAAAACGACTGCATAAGGGCAGAAAAAACATGATCTCGATTTAGGGCATAGGCAATTAGCATCACAGAAAACCCCAGGTCGGCCAGGGCGAGATTGAAGACGAAGGTGAAGTACTTGATGCGGAGATAGCTGGTTGCTGCTAGCACCACTATCACCAGTAGATTCTCCAACACAGCCAGGCCTGAAATCACAGCTCCACAATATGTGATAACAGTGATCAAGGTAGAATTCATTGTCGATTGCCTGCACAAATAAAACAACATGACCAACAACATCTTAGCGATCTTACAAAATAATATCAAATGAATGGCTTATAAAACAGAACTTTTTTTGCCGGTAAAACTATTGGGGGGGGTAAATTCCACCGCTTGTAGCTGGCCAACCATTCCCAATTAGGACTATATACCAGCAAAGCCTTTTCCTTGAAAAAGTTATCTTAAAGAAATCATAGTCTGATCAGTTATTCCAGTGTAAACCCTATGCAAATCTCAAGTGCAAGTGATCAGATACAGGTATACATGGATGCAGTATATCGGGGAGTCAGTTTGGTTAGTGGTACTTTCCTCGCCTTCCACTGCTAGCACCGTAACCCGGGTTCGAATCCTACCTGGGCCAATGATATGCGGATTGGGTTTTCCTCAGAATATTGTTCTGGGGTTGGAAAGATTCCCATATCTGGCCATCACTAATTTTCCCTTTAGTGACTCATGAGCCATCAGAAAGTGATAATACGTCCTAAAAAGTCAAATTCAGCAGGGAAAAAATTGAAGTATTTACCGAGAAAACATGTAGTATATTAAAGAAAGGGAAATATTTTGGTCAGAGAACCAGACAACTTAAACTCGGCTAGCTGCTTGTCATGAACTTCCAATTCGGTTGACAAATTATTTTTTGTTAAGAGACAAATTTCACCAGAAGGAAGCACGGGGAAGTCCTAATTTTGGGGGAATACTGAGAGGTACGGGTAAGTGAACCCACCTTCCGAGTTTGAGTTGTAATGATTGAAATACAATTTGTGTGGGTTTTTTTATTTTCAAATCCTCACTTTTAGGAATCAGTGTACGTATGGCCCAGCATGTAGAGTCTACTCAGTTCGGGCCATAGACTAGGGCTAGAGTAACTCCAGCTAGGGCCGCGCCATGTTTTGAGGTACATGTACAATGTATAGTCGCACCCCGTATTATCGCGGCATCCCTATTAAAAATTATTGTGGCATGGAAAATTTATCTTTTTGCGTTGCCAAAACTCCTTCAAGTGGTGATTTTTATCCAGTTCACCAGGCACTAAAGACTTTCTGTCGAGTTGTGTAAAAGCGATGATTAAAACATGTCTTTCGGGACTTTTAACGATGTTAAGGGCCTAATCAATATTTCCAAAACTTGCAAATTGTCCCTCACCGTGACTGCTAAAAGAAACCGTCTATATTTTAATATAAATCTTTAATGGTGCTCTGTCCATGAAAGTTTCATTGTCTGGTTCCCATTCAACAGCTGCAAACACAAAATGATGTCGAAGAACGACATTTCCACCGCGAAATTGTAAAAACATTTACGGGATCAAATTACAGCACGTTCAAAAAAAAAGGCACACTGTGTAAAGGGGTCGTACTAATAAGCCTCAGTCTGCCATACTGTACAGTTTGAAGACTGGTTTTGTCAATTTGAATGCGTTATGGAGGTGTTGACACTTCTGTGTGTGTTGACGCTCATTAATTAGTATGACCGGTGTTTAAAAGTGAATGGCGCCCCCATTGGCCAATCAGTAGACTTGTCTCAATGATTTTTGTTCTCCTTTCGAATTCGGTGGAGGGGCAGGGTGTTAAGAAATCATGCTGCAGGAATACAGTCTTTAATCAACTTGAACGTTACCGGCAAAATATCAGACTTTATTCAAGGGATGTTTTGGTCAAACATTAACTATAATTTAAAAAGCTGAGATCATTATAAAAACCACTTCCAGCATACCGCGATAATCAATAGGGAGTCCACCTCCGTTCGCACACTCCGAGCATGTCTATTTTCACAGGCATCGTACACGGAATAACCACACCACCGTCTTATCTGGGGTTTTTTTTTCATATAAATTTGAAAAGGAAGAGTTATACATGCATATGGATTCCTTTGAGGAACTAACCCAACGGGCAGGTTTTCATGTGTAACCTCTATGAGAGAACACGGCGAAAACAGGCCCTTTTTCGCATCTATCGTCGCCACTACATTTTTCGACAGAGTATACCTTAGTTCTTACTACAGTATGACCCTAACAATATATTCTTTCAGAAAATGAAAGAAAATCTGAATAAAACACTGATTTTCACTCGCCAAAATTATGTTGAACACTGCAGTTTTAGCCAAAAATCTACCAGTTGTGTGTGTAAAACCACGCGTTCAGCCAAGAACTGGTCCATTTATATTATCACAACGTTCAATGGCGCCACCTGGGAGTTTAGTTCTCTGGAGTCATTTTTCTTCGTGTCGTCAGCTTTCTAACAATATAACCCTTATTGTGACTGGTTGAGGTTAAGGCTCGCCTATATTCATTTACAAAAGAATTGTTCATCTAAACTCCAATTAAATTTGCCGTTGCTCGTGGCTCAGCGCGTAGGTCTGTTTATTGTACACGTGCTTAAAGGGACACTATAGGTCCTGGAACAGCCCAGTTGGGCTACAAAACGCGCTTTGAACGAGATGATGATAATCGTATGTAACATTTAAAAGTAGAATATTAACATCCACACAACTATCCTTTCAAAACTGGGCGTTTTTGTGTTATTCCTGTATTATGGGTGCAGACCAGTAAATCGGTCTGAAATTGCCTGCGCCGGCCAAATCGCGATTTGCATGCCCTCAAAATCTTCGGTATTTGAGCATGCTGTGGGCCATGAACTTGGGGGTTTGTAAAAAATATGGGTGGAAGCCGTGCACAGGACTGGGAGCTTGCAGTTCTGTGTAAATTGGATGTAATTTGGACCCTAAAAGCGCTCTATTTTGCAATGGAGTGTAGGCATCGTTTTTCAAAATGGCGATGGGCTTCAGGACTATTTTCAGGGGTGATCGTCTTCAGATTGAAATTTCTCCTAAAAGTCATCAGTTGACCCCCCGTAAATTGAACAGAAAATGAAAGATGATGAAATAAGCTTTAATTTGATGTGTGTCTCGAACACCTTGGAGAGTTGTGAGTATTTTTCCCGAATTTTTGAAGTGGGAGCATTTACCATTGGGGTCTATGGAAGTTTATTTACTGGTCTGCTACATTATGCGTGCGAGAACGAATTTTGCAATTTTTTGCATTGGTGATTGGTCACCGCGCGCTGTTCCCGACACACACAACACACACGTATAGCGTACACTGAGAACGACACGAAAAACGTATTCGTACTCCGTCATGTCCGATAAACAAGCGGGTTTTTTCGTCTTTTCTCGGGAACGGTAAGACATTAGGTTGGTTTCCTTTCAACCAGTTGTTTGAAATAGGATAAGTAAACAATCCAAAACATAACATTTTCGGGGATTTCAGGACCTAGTGCCCCTTTAATGTACACAGAGCCCGGGAGCTCTTTTATATGTCCAAGGTCATCTGGCTGTGCGCTTTTGGCCGGTTTACATGTCCTTTCGACCTTTCAAAGGATTTGATATGGTACTTCACAATTCGGAAAGGTTAGTGCCATAGTGGGCAATCTCTATGAGTCCAAACGAGAAACGAGATAAGTACATGTACCGCAATAATAATGGCAACCCATCCTACTTACAGTGTCGTCTACTGGGCAAATCCAAAAAAAAAAAAACAGCCTCCTCCGTGACGATTGGTCAAACTCAAAGAACTGAAACCTGCAGTGCCTTGTCTGGCCGGCAAAAGATCGAAAAGGAATCTGAAAAGTCTGTCTAATATTTGCGTCTGCACTGTGCACTCGATATCGACGATGACCTCTATACGTGATATGCGAATCAAAGATCCTGTAGCCCTTGCGGCGCTGTGCTTTTATGCGAATCGATCGAGCGTACACTGGCGGTACCTAGCGCGAGCTGATAAACATCGGGCATGGTGACCAGGGTGACCGGAAGGCCAGAGCCAAATTCTGCTAAATGCACATCAAAAATCTGGCAGATTTATCAAAAATCTGCCAAATTCCCCAAAATTATTCGAAATACACTATAAACACTGAAAATCACATGCAGATTGGTACTTTTGCCTTAATTAAGGTTCAAATTACATTATAAACAATCCATAGTCTCATAAGATGTTGTGAAATTATCAAACGAAGTCCGTTTCCCAGTGAACCTCAGCACCTAGACCAGCCAACCTGTCCCTTTATGCAAGGGTTTGTTTGAAAGGATTGAAGCTTTCTGAAACAAATGTACCATTTTCTCGTTCAAATTTGCTGTTTTTCGCGATATCTGTCAAATAACCATTTTTGCAGAATTCTGCCAGAAATCTGCCAAAAAAATCCATTCTTTCAAATTTTCTGTCAAACCCGTTTTTTAACAAAAATTCTGTCAAAGTTAGCCGAAAATCGGCTAAAACGGTCACCCTGATGGTGACCGTAAGGTCATGGCCAAATTCTGCTAAATGCACTTCGAAAATCTGTCAGATTTATAAAAAATCCGCCAAATTCTCCAGAATTATTCAATATAAACACTTAAAATCACGTGCAGATTTGTAGTACTGCCATAATTAAGGTTCAAATTACATTATAAACAATCTGTAGTCACATAAAGATGTTATGAAATTGTGTAAATTTCAGGTAAAAATGTGGTTGCTTCACCTTCCTCCATGCTTCACGACAATTAAGTCTGGTTCCCACTGAACCTCAGCATCTAGACCAGCCAACCTGTCCCATATGCAAGAGTTTGTGTGAAAAGATTGGAACTTCTTCAAACAAATGAACCACTTTTTTTCAAATTTGTTGTTTTTCTGTCAAAATGACCATTTTTGCAGAATTCTGCCAGATATTTGCCGAAAAATATATTCTGTCAAATTTTCTGTCAAACTCAGTTTTTTTTAAATAAAAAAACCTGTCAAAGTTAGCCGAAAATCGGCTAAAACGGTCACCGTGGTGGCGATAGCTAGCGCGAGCTGATAAACATCGGGTCACACTATGGCCAAGTTTGGGCAAGGACCATTAGTCGACTAGTGGTTGATGTGTGACGTACCTTACGCCTGCGCACTAATAGCAAAGTGCGAACGTCTCTAGTCGAACGCTGGTCAAAATGTCATTGCAAAACGTCTGGATCCTGGCTCCCTGCTCTACGTTATGAACGCGCGCGGCTATGGTTACCAGCGAAGCAACCAACCCCAGTAGGTTGGTTCCAAATAGTCGACTAGCGTAGTTAACCATCGTCGACTAGACAGAGTTCGGGCAAGCGTTAGTCGACCAATGGTTAACTATAGTCCTTGCGCGAACTTGCCCTAGCAAACGGATAAATAATTGGGCCTCAATATTAACAGACTCAACGATTGGATCTTAAGTTTGACGGTTCAAAGAATTGGCCAATCGAGAAAAATGTACCATCAGTGAAAAGGGAATTTTATTATCATTCCAACGGTGCGTGAACCTTTATAAAAGAACGTATAGTTCGTGAGCTAACTACAGCGTTGAACACACAGCTACAGCGCGGGCTTGGCCGCCCCCAAAAGGGGGATGCCCCACACCAAAATTTGATGTTTTGATGGGTCTTTTTTTATGGCCCAGATAACAGTGTCTGTACATTTTTTTTTAGGTTAGAAACTGAATTTCAACACCCCAAGTACATTGAACGGTTTTCGAGATACAGCGTGATATGTCTTCCAAAACGGCATGATTTTGGACCGTTTCCTTATCTGATGTGTTTTCAGCCTCAGTCACCAAGTTACGCAACAAATCGATATGGGCATACTGCATGAATGCATTTACTCGCATATATTAACATGTGTACACATTAGGCAATCCGGCTCGAAGGTCAAATGCAAATTACCAAAGATGCTGATCTTATACATTGGTGAAGGGCAAAAACTAATAAACGTGTACATCTGTCATGCAGTTCACCCACTGATTGAAGATATTGTTTAAGCAAAAGAAAACCAAAATTTCCGTTTAAAACAATTAATAAAAAACGACACTGGTACATCGTAGGCTACATGCGAAGGTCGTTTTCAACAATAGCAGGTTTTGTTATCACTGTTTGCTGATGACTATATTTTTAACCTGAATAACATGTATTATATAACACCCAGACAAATCCTTGTGGTTTGATTGGAGGATTGTAGGTCGCACAAACTCTCTTCGAGGTTATCAATCCAATTCAATCAATTAGGTCGTCTATCTCAAGCCACGTGATAAGTGTAAACGTTCATTGGCCACTGTTCAATCCAGGGGCGTCAATCGCTTCTCAAAAGTGTGTGAGGGGGGACCATACCGTACCTTGATCAGAAGTGACGCGCGCGCGCGTAGCGCGAAGCCCTTATGGCGTGGGGTTCGGGGCCCGCTTAAGGGCCCCGAAAAAAATGGATTCTAGATGCTCTGTGGTGTGATCTGAGGCAATTTCTTACCACTTTCCTCCATGCTTTATCTAATATATTCTTAGCAAAAGATAATTATTTGAACATCGTTTTCGAGGTTGGAGTCATTTAATCAGCTATCGGTATTCTGAGTTAGCATAGGCGTGGGGTTTGGGGCCCGCTTAACCCTAAAGGGGCCGGGGGGGGCGGAATCCGCCCCCCCCCCTCAACATTTTCCGCGATAGCTTCTAAAAAAAATTTTTTCGCGACCCGAGCTGTAATGACTTTTTAGCCTCGAGCTTTGCGCATCTTTTGATACAAAAAACATAAAAATCGGACCACGGGTTGGCCCGTAGCGAAAAATTTTCCGGCGCTACGCGCCGTGAAAACTGAATTTTCGCATATACGTCGTGTACACCGAGCAGAATTGCCATTCATACATATGAATAATTAATTAGCCATAATTCCAAAACCCTTTGACCTATAGTCATGAAATTTCTTGGGCATGTTTAGGAAGAGTTGCTCTATGCATGTGCTGAGTTTCAAAATTTTTCGTCACTCGATGGCCGAGATCTTAGGGGGGGGGGCGGAATCCGCCCCCCCCCCCCCCCCCCCCCCGGCTGAGAGATGGTCAAAATAACCCGGCCCCTTTAGGGTTAAGGGCCCCGAAAAAAATTGGATTCTCGATGCTCTGTGGTGTGATCTGAGGCAATTTCTGACCACTTTAACCAATAATTATCTTAGCAAAAGATAATAATTTAAACGTAATTTTCGAGGTTTTCTCAGCTAAAGGCATCAGATAATTATTTGAACATCGTTTTCGAGGTTGGAGTCATTGAATCAGCTACCAGAATTCTGAGCTACAGGCGTGGGGATCGGGGTCCGTTTAGGAGCCCCGAAAAATGTTGGTTTCTAAATGCTCTGTGGTGCTATCTGAGGCAATTTCTGACCACTTTATCCAATAATTTCTAAGCAAAAGATACATTGTAGTACATAATAGGGCCCTGTAATATTTGATATTGTGTCCCCATCCTTCAAAAAGTGTGTGTGCCCCCCCCCCCCCCCCCCCCCCAGGATTGACGCCCATGGTTCAATCAATCTAATTTTAGAGTTGGACCACTTTTAACTTCGGAATTTAACCCACGATCTCATCTTGGGAAATCAACAGATCTGGTTATAGGGGGCTAGGTGTAATCATGGTGTAATACAACAGCATAGGCAAAGATGTTTATGTCAACGAATTAATCATAATGAAAAGACTGAATGTTGCATAATTGCAAATGTTTGGTTTCGATTTATGTACACATGGTGAATTATAATTGAACATTTACATGTTTCTTTGTCATCATAAAATGCACCATCGAATGTTGTTTTAATAGGGTTTGTGACAAACTCCAGAGCCTTTTGTTGATATAGTATAATTTACAAGTCATATTTTTGGTTCTTTTCCAGAACGTTTTTTTTTTGAGATTCAAAGATATTTGCTCGGCAAACAAAATGTACTTTCCCCAAACACATTGTGAAGCAAAAGCAATAACTATCTTTTGAAGAAAATAATAATTTATTTTCAAATTATTCTGTCTGATAAATTTACCTAACCGTTAGGTAAACAATAAACCACAAGTTCACAATCTGTTTCAAACATTACATACATATATTTGAAAAACAAAACAGACATAGCCCTCCATTTTCAATTATAGTACAATTCATAAAATTTAATTATAAGCATCTATATTTTCGAGGAACCACATACGCATACCTCCAAAGAGCCAATTAAGGGCGGACCCAGAACACAATTTTTTTTTGGGGGGGGGCAAGAAATGTTTGGTCCCCCACAAATTACGGTGTGGGGTTACGGGCCCGCTTAAGGGCCCGAAAAAAAATTTGGGATTCTAGATGCTCTGTGGTGCGATCTGAGGCAAGTTCTGACCACTTTAACCAAATCTTTTTGAGTAAAAGATGGTGGTGTACGCAGTGCCTGCCTTTAATGCGAAGTCACTTGTAAAAAAATAATAATTTGGTTCGGTTATTTCGGGGGGGGGGGGGGGGGGCATAAATCCGTCCTTGGAGCCAAATTGTATATGCAAAATAAAGTAATGATGATTATATCCGGATATCAGGCAAATGACAACCATTACAAACGAACAACCCAAATGCACATCCAAGCACCTTACATACCTACTCAGTGTGGACATTCCTTTGTATCCGTGGAGGAAAATGAAAAAGAACTTTTACTCGCATTGTGAACACTCTTTCAACCCGAATCTTCGATCATGATTTCCTTGAGTGTTTCTCCTCATTTTGCGACATACATGTATAATATAACCCTAACCCCATAATGACTCCAAACATATGACGCATCCTATATTGAACTCTCAATATTACTTTTTAAAGCTTTCAGAAAAGTTTGTCAATCACTCCTCATCTTCGCCTCAGGCCTCCAGTCAATTAAGAAACCCTCTTCTAAACTCTTACCACCTGTGGGCTCTACTCTCTCTACATGATGCACACAGGGCACATCTTTGGCAATACTAAAATAACATAGTACAGATCAGAAGAACTTGACACCTTCGCTTGTGCCAAATGACATGATTTCCGCCTTCCTCTGTTTTTCTAGTGTCCTTAAAGCCCTCTTCAGAAGCCAATCATCTAGACCAAAGAACTCTGATGAGAACATGGGAAGAAAACCAATTGGTAAATCGGTGGGCAATCCAAAATAGTAAATTTGATGAACCAGAAAGATTGACACATAAACTCGTACAGGGCCCCCAGCACTTTATGAAACCAAAATTCCATGAATTTTTTCCTGATATTTCCCTGAGAAATTTTTAGGATTCCATGCGAAATATTTTTACTTTAACGAGGTTGCTGGGAAGCCAAGAGGTGGTGTAAGCACAGCCAATTGTTATTGTCTGGTGAGGTGTGTAATATTCTTACTGCATAGACACTAAAAAAGCCACCACAGCCAGTCAGTCAATGAACACAACTTGGATACATGGCACAAGACGCACATGTACACCAAACTGGAGAAAACCTCTCCCTTCTGGGTCACTGTCAAAATTCCCTGAGTTTTTCCAGAGTTTTTGTGTTTTCCCCCAAATGCCCCTAAGTTTTCCCTGACTGGATAAATGGACACTCGTTTTCAAAGCTGTCTGTGATTATCAGAGTTGCTGGGAACCCCTGAGATAAAGCACAACTGGATTAAAAAATGGTTGTTGATTTATGATATGCTTTGTGCCTGCACATTAATATTCATGTGTGAAGGATTATCATTTTACAATGCCTCGCGGTCCTAACCCCTGACATACATTGTGCAACAAGTTGCTTTTTTATTAAACAACGAAGTCAACCTTGAAAGACTGGTCCCAAATACTCTACAAAACTTTTCCAATTGTCATTGCTCAGGTTGTGTTTGATGAAAGTTTATGAATTACTGCCAAATTTCACTTCCCCTCCAAACATGGTCAGAATTGTTACAGGGTGAGTCAACAAAAGCGGAACCCAAACCCCAAAAAGTAAATTTCATATTTTTAAAAAAATGTAGCACCAAATATAATAATGTCTGGAAAGCCCATTTCATAAGCTACTTTTAGATGAAAAAATTACTGAAATTGTTCAAAGAATATTACCATTTAAACACAATGACTCTGAAACCTCTTCGTACAAAAATGTGATTTCAAGAATCATCGTCACAATTGTCTTCAAACATCACCAGCGATAAAACCTCAGTTTAAAAGTTAAACATTTTCGACAAAGTCCTTCTTTTAATAAAAGTGGATAGTATAAATCATATTGTTTCCCTAAGCAGGGTTGTTAATAAAGATGTTGTGTACTACAGTTGTTGAAACAAGTATTGTGTGTCATTTTTGTTGTTGTTCCAAACAGTCAGAACACACAATAAAGTGGGTTTTTTTGGACGAGACAGGTTTTAGGGTCATTGCGTTGAAATGGTGATATTCTTTGAACTGTGCAGTGATTTCAGTAATTTTTTTTATCTAAAAGTAGTTTCTGAAATGGTTTTCCAGTCATTATTTTGATGCTACATTTTTTTTTAATATGAAATATATTTTTAGGGGTTTGGGTTCCGCTTTTTTTTTTACTCACCCTGTATTACAGCATTCTTTTAGAATGTAATTAAGTTCCAATACAAAATAAATGCTTTGAAATTGAGGTAAAATGCAGTATCCCGACTCCTCTGTTTTACATACAACATGATAGTCTCATGATGGTCAGTCTATGTATTTGTTGAAAAATATAATCAAGTAAACATTTTGTTAGAAACATTTTGTTAGAAAGTACTTTACTAATTTCAACTTGCCATACAAATTTGTACACAACCAACTGTGCAACAGAAACTGGGAGTGACCAAAGATCTGTGCCTGCCTACCTTCTCGCTTAGTGTCGTCACCATGAGCTAATTCATACAGCGTACATACTGTGTTTGTCATGCCACAGCCAGAAGCCTATTCAGTTAAAAGGACACAAAATGAAAACAAATATTGAATAGCATTGGAAGAAAATTGTGCACGCTCAAATGAGGGAATAAATGTGTGCTCGGGAGATGTTAAACACTACGTTTAAGACTGGCCAACCACATATTTTATTCCCATTCATAAGTACCTTTTTCAGTCCAAAAGTCAAAAAAAAGTCAAAAAATAAAACTTTCCAGCAATTTTGTTCAACTATTTTACTTTCTGATTTTCGAAACACCCCTCTAGCTATATAATGGAGTGTCCAGCTCGGGAGTGAGACGTAAACAACTCATTTCATGGAGGTTGGCATGTGCATCGCGCGTACTGCGCGATGACGCGCAGGTGCAGCTGTGGTGTGTGCGTTGTGAATTTAGGACTATGAAATACTGACTCACTGGTAGTACATGTATTGCGCATGCCTACGTGAGGATTGTGAACGTTCAACCAATAAAACGGCAGTCCTTCTGATTTGAAAATCACAGGCGTGTGGAAAAAGGCACACCTGGATTTTTCTAGGCATGGGATTTTTCTAGGCATATGCTTTTTCTAAGCGCGTGATTTTTCTAGGCGTGTGATTCTGTAGACCGAGCTGGGACTGAACAGTCTGGCATTTGTTTTTATAACATTCATCTTGGTTTACAGTAAAGCCGCTTTCTCTTCACTGACGTACTTTATTTTTCACAAATTATGAAGTATAATTATGCCGTAAATGTATGCCGAGGTGTGCGGTACTGAGGGATTCAGGCGTGCGATTATTCACACTTCTCAGGAAGCTTTTAGGTGTGTGATGGTGTGGGGGTGTGATCGCACGCCTCAAATCAGAAGGACTGAAACGGTAAGGGGCCATTCAGAATTTTCAATGTTTTAAAATTTCGACTTTTTTTCCAAATTATTTTGACCCACCCACCCACCCCTAATTTCGATTAATAAAAAAACTGAACATGACTGTACATGTACATGCACTTGCATGTACATGTACTTGAACACCATGTACATGTGTGTCTAGTTCAGTGACGGCGTGAAGTTGTTGGTCATCCTCTTTTATGTGATAAAATATGTGATACCTCACCAAAAAGTATCTTTTAACGAAATTCAATCAGAATATTTATCCATTTTTTTTTGAAAATGTTTAATTGTTGTTTGACTTGTTGGTGTCCCTGCCACACTGTACGATGGTGTAGCCGTGCGTTATGCACGTGGATTGTTACTTTCGTTTTGACGGGGACTTTACTGAATAGAGTCTGGTGACTGTACATAGAAATTTCTTTGAATAAAAGTCGAATCGTTCATTCATGTGCACTTGTTATGCAAAGCAGGGGCAGTGGTTCAAGGATATCCAGTCGACTTGCAGAAAGTGCGCAAGAACGCGACTTGAATGCTTTTATGGGGGGGTACAGATCAATACCAGTCTGCTCTGATGAATAATTTTAAATTGTTTTTAAAATGTTTTAAGCCACATTTAAAAAAAAAATATGAAGATGAGGCTATAATGAATAAATAGTCTGGCACCATCCCATTCAACAATTCACAAATTATGAAAAACATTCAGGGAACACAACAAAAATGGCCAACTTGTTCATAAGGCCCATAGAGGGCACGATGTTCGCACGATGCTCAATTCCACCGCGCAACGTCTGTTTTTAACCCATTAGCACCTTGGCTTAATTGTATTACAACATATTTTTTTATTCACTGAAAAATCAATAAAATTGTTGAATGCTGGGGTGGTTTTGGGCGCTACAGTGAGTAACAGGCAGGGCGGATTCAGGCGCTACAGTGACTAAAGGGTAAAACTGACAGGTGCGTAAGGATGTGAGGTGGAAGACAAAAAGAAGTTATGTTTACCCATCTATAGATAAGGTTGCCCCATTCCTCAGGTGTTCTCCACATGACCAGGCACTGCGCCCTTGTCTTGTCTGTCCATTCTATATTTCCTGCAACAAGAAAAGAAACCTTGGGAGTTTAAATCACTTTCACATACAAGACAAGGTTTCTAAAAATGTTATTTGTACTTGTCACTCTGTGTGCGTGTGACCCCTCAAAAAATGCAAGGTGACACAGTGACAGTGAAAAAAATTGTATGTGGGGCCGACTTCCTTCTAATACAAACAGTGAGAGAGCAATCGGCATTACAGATCTTCATGGGATTTACTGAGGTTTAAGGGCTTTGGTTTTCTGGGTCGACAGTGGCATTCTGATGAGTCTTCACAGCTTTTGACGACATGACCAAGACTGTCCCGAGTTTTAATTTCCCGCACTAAACTACTCAGTGAATTTATCATGTTATTAACACATGCTGCGATACCATTGGACAAATGAAGCCCTGTGACGCGACATTCAATTCAAATTCGGCAGGGATGAATAATTATATATTGGACAAATGAAGAATCGTATGACCCAATATTCTATGCAAATTAGACTCAACTGAATAATAAACAAAGAAAATCTTATTGGGAACAATAAAAGCACTGATGGCCAATATGCCATTTTTTTGAGCGATTAAGGGTATTGTAACGACATCGTTGTTCTAGGTACGGACACAAGAAAAATCATGTTAACCCTCCGACGCAGAAAGCCCATTTACTAACACGCTTACAGTAAGGGGTCCCTCCGGGGACCCAGATATTTAGCGCCTTGGTTTGAGGCTACACAACACTGTATCTATATGTATACAATCTCGACATGTCTGTAGACTATAAATAAGGAGGTCATTGACAGGAAACAGATGTTGTATACATAGTCTGTGGTCAAGTCGTGCTCTTGGCTACCCGCAAGTGACTTTGTTTTGTGCACGTGTATATGGGCAGCCCAGGTTGTCAGGCTCAGATATGCCTGACCCGGGGTCACACACTAAAGGTGACTGCATATATCCGTAGTGGGTGTCTCTGGCTAGGATTAGATGGAAGATCACCAGAATTGGTTGGAATTTTTTTTTTATTAAGGTAATTAACCAAATTGGGTCCCCAAAAGGGCTAGTTTCTGCGTCGGAGGGTTAACTGAAGCGGTTTAGTATAAACTTAATTTGAATCTAAAGATTGTAAAACTTCAATCTTTGGGCTGTAGCATTGGTTAAATTTATGTCTATAAGCTTCAATTTATGTCTGTTTATAACCCAAAAATGGCATTACATAACAGCGCCCTCGTTTGTTTCAAAAATTAAGCTTGTGAAAAAATACTCACCTTTGACCCTCAATTCCTCTAGAATTGAATATATTGCATCCGTGGAAAGTTTTCCTGTAGTTGTTAAGGAAATCAACTTCATACACCATAAATACACAGTCTGGCCTGTCACTCAGTTGTTCCACAACAAAATCTAGCTAGCAAATAATAATGTTCATTACAAAAACTGACAACAAATTTACCATTGGCCATGTCAGGCCAGAAATCATGGTTGTCCCTTATTAAGTCCGGGACAGATACCATGGCACCAGATACCCAACAAAAACATGGTGGGTTACTGACTTATTGGTCCTATTCTATGGTTTGTTTTACATCAACAGAATAATAAAATAAATAATAATAACTGGACTTATAAATCCCCAAATTGTTGAAGGATAAAAGGGGCGTATTATAACCCTGCTCATTGGGCCAATGAAACATTCCAAATACCATCTCAGCTCCCTGGGGAGTATACAGCTCGATGCTGCCATTTCGGCGCAAAGCAACTGAATCAACCACACTAACCATCTCTGCCCTCACAGGTACCCATTTACTCCTGGGTGGAGAGAAGCAATGCGTGACAAAGTGCCTTGCCAAAGGGCACACGCACCGCAGCTGCAGGCTGGACTTGAACCCACAACCTGTGGAATTACCCGCAGACCACAAATTCAATGCTCCAGACCGCGAGGCCACAGCACTACATATACCTTGTTTTGCTGCGATCTCATTGGTGAATTGATCTCTGGTCCATTTTATTTGGCGTACAATATCCATGTTCATGACATTATGGAGCGTTGATATTATATAATGTTGTTTGTTAAAGGTAGGGTAGATCATTTGTCATAATGTGCATTTTGTTTGTTGGAAGCAACAGAAGCACTCCAAAGTGGTCAAAAAGCGCCCTCTCTTGTTCGTGCATGGAGCCCATAGCTTCCCCATGCAAATTTACCGACTCACGCTGTCTGCATTGGACTTTTCATCTGAGGAAAAGTGACCTAGTCACTTTTTACTTGGCAAAGTTTGGCTGGTTACATTAACCATTGGACTAAAAAAAAACAACTAATCTCACTGGACGTTAGTCATCATCTGAGTGAATTTTATCAAAGATTGTCCAACGGAGACTGGCTCATGATTTTTTTTTTTTAAATAAATTTTAAGCCTTGCCTATACTTGTTAAGGATACTATCGATCTTTGTGTTGTTGAAGAGTGGTGAGGACTGGGATTCCTTGACGTCTAGATTGAAGATCTTGTGGTGCTTGTGGTAGGCAAGGACCAAGTCACACCACGCTGCTACCTGCTTCTTCTTTGTCTCCAAGTTGGGCTGTAAACTGAGAAATTGGGTTTATCGATAACACAATGTTAATTGTTAGGCACTAAACATCCTTCCTCCTTGCTCTGTGTTTGGGACCTTCTCACTGTTCTCATTTTGTAATCGCAGAAATGAACATTTTCAGGGGTACATGTAAGTGGCATCACAAACGTCACTGGCTTCAAACATGAGTGAACATATTTGGTTTTAACTTTAATAGGAGGAATTTCACTATGAAATGATGTCACTCAGACCACGAAGTCGTAACATGTGCGCGTGTACAGCAGTTTGTATAAAAAGTCGCACTGTGATATCGCGGCCGGCCCGCGATTTTTTTTTCTCCAAACGACATTCATTTCCCATCTTCTGATTGGTCCATTACAATTACATGCATATCTAATGCCTTGTTCTCCATAACACAAACCCAAGATAGGCTTTACGTCTTGTGAGAAAATGTTCCTTCCTCACTTTAGTTATTTAAAAGGTAAAAAGAGAAGAAGTGAAAAACGCTCACTGAGATTCGAACTGGGATCACCTGATTAGAAGTCAGGACTACTTCCAACCAGTCCACGAATCAGCTGCCAATCGTCGGTGATTTAAAACACCACTTTTTCTGGTTAATAATGCACCTATCAAAGTATAATTAATTAAGAGAACGTTTCCTAAGGTTGCAGAGTTTGGGGAGCGACAAAACTTTTTTGAAAATAATAAAAAACGGGGGTGTCCTCAACTACACAAACCCTACCATTGACCATTGGCGTACTACATATGGAAAGGCAATCACTAGTGTGCCCCACGTATGTATGCCAGGGCATGGTCATGATGGTCAGGGATTGTCACTTAAATTTTGCCCGAGGGGTGGGGATTTTGTCAATCTTGGGTGGGGGGGGGGGACAATTGATAGGCGCACAATTTATTTTCTAAAGCCCTGGACATCATGAATATGCATAACGCAGAGAGAGCGCCCTCTTTTGATATTGTCTGATGTCGTTTGGGAAAAAATATTTCGCAGCCGGCCCATCATCAGATCATGGACGTACACAGTCATGATAATGTTAGTGTCAATTGTCATATAGGCATAAAGTGACAAATCATGCAAAGTCAAACTCAAATACATTTACAAGTCAACTCAGAGTCAGACATGTTCATGATGTTGCAGAACTTGGCAGAGTCTGACTGACATGACTGACTCAACGCTCAACATGCTCAAGTCAACTGTCAAGACAACCATAACAGTGTGAATTTCATCTTCAGCAAAGACTGCATAGGCCTGAGTGATTTTTACACAGCATGATGTGTTAGGCGTTATCCGTTAATAACTTTACTCACGTAAAAAATGGTGGAAATTCATACTGCCACGGCCACTGAAAACTTGCCATCTCGCATTTTCGTGCGCGTGCATATGAGTACGCGTACGGTGCAGCCGTCCGTGCATGCAGTAAAAAAATATAGCGGATAAAACGGGAACTACCGGATATCATCCGGTGACATTATTACGGTGGCTGATACAGAACTTGCAGCGGCGCTATTGAAATATTGAAACCATTGTGACACCCGGTACAGGGTTGAGTATAGAAGTCACTAATAGGCTATATTTGTCTTTCTTTGATACATTGTGCGTATTACTCTCCTTTTAAAGGAATCTATTATGATTGATGATGCAAATTATGATGATACATTGTGACCCAAGTAATAAACACGATCATTGAGTTGAGATGATCGAGGTTTTAATTTGCAATAGAATGAGGGCGGCGTAGCCCGAATGCCTCTGCCGAGCTCTGAGCTTGTGATATTTGTAGCCCACACCAGAGCGCGCGCCCTCGATCGAAGTTAAATTACAGGGTGGGTAAAAAAAAAAAAAGGAAACCCAAATGTCGGGACCATTGTTTTAGTGAAGTTCTGCGTGTAGCACTTTCAAAATCTAGGATATGAAAGCCCAACTCATAAGCTTTCTTTTAGTACCTGAATCATTCCGATCACTTATTTACTTTTAAGTTACAAATCACATAAGGATGTGTGTGAATTGTTTTCGTTTTGCTGAAGGAACACACACTTCTGTGATCCGTGGACAGAACCTTAAAACGGTGGTTGTGTTTAAAATCCGTAACTTAAAAAGTACACGAGTGATTTGAATGATTCTTGTACTAAATGAAAGCTTATGCATTGGGCTTTCATATCCTAGATTTTGAAAGTGCTACATACAGAACTTCACTAAAACAATGGTCCCGACATTTGTTTTTTTTTACCCACCCTGTATATCATCCATGGCTTGACCGCGGCTGCCCGAAGCCCAAAATTGCCAACACCAGCCAAATCACAATTTATATACCGGGTCAATATTTCTCTTGATAGAGTTTTGTCGCCCATGCACTGGTGCACAAGTTCAGAAATTAACGGTCCCAGGACTCCCAGCTCTATACAACTCATCGTAGACCATTTAGATCTCCTTGGATGACTCCTGGTTTATTAAAGTCTTGTTACAATAAACAAAAGTATAATGCTAGCAGAATTAAAAGTCCTGCCATGCTTACGTTCTATGAAAGGTATAATAACTTATTTAATAAACTGAAGCGTATTGCTAAAACAACTTATTATCACAATAAGTTGAATGATTTAAAAAGGTAATGCTAAAGAAACGTGGCTACTCATTAATGCTATGATCAAATGTAACCTTAAACATTCTTCTGGGAATTAGTATAATCATTGATAATGAAGTACTTACTGACACACAGGAGATTACATAATGCCTTTAATACTCATTTTTGCTCAATAGGTGAAACTACTTGTCAGAATGTACCCAACTCTAATAAAGATTATGTTAATTTTGCTAATTCTCCACATAATTCTTTTTTTTTTTTGGTAACACCTACGGAACCCGAAGACATTATTGGCATTGTTAAGAAATTTGAGGACAAGTCTAGTTCTGGGCCAGACGAAATTAGCAATTTTGTGTCGGGGCGGATTCCCCCCCCCCCCCCAACCCGAGCTGTTATGACTTTTTGAAAAATTTCCGGGCGCTGTATGCGCCGTGAAAACTGAACTTTCCCATATACGTCGTGTACACAGAGCACAATTACCATTCGTACATATGAATAATTAATTAGCCATAATTCTCAACCCTTTGACCTATAGTCATGAAATTTCTTGGGTATGTTCATGATGAGTTGCTCTATGCATGTACCCAGTTTCAAAATGTTTCGTCACTCGATGGCCGAGATCTTAAGGGCCCCCCCCCCGGCTGAGAGATGGTCAAAAATAACCCGGCCCTTTTTTTTTTAGGGTTATGCTTCGTTTAGGCAAAAAAAAAAAAGTCTCCGGTTTCTGGTATGCGCGCGCGTCGCCGTAGCCATGCGCGTCGGCAAAATGAAAAAGTTTTTTTTTCAATAAAAGATGATGTCTCAAAACCGCCAAACTCACTGGTTTGACTGGAATCCTGCTGCAGCATAATTTTAACCTGTTTTTAGATGGGGTTATGATCGAGAATAAGCTTTATGTGGACTCTCTGGACTCCCGTACATTTTGCACTAAGTTTAGTCGGGCACCATTTGCAGTCATCAGCCGACATTTGAAGCAAAAAAGTCAGGTAAAAAAAAAAAAAAAGCCGCGTTGCCGCACCACTTTTTGGGCAAGCTCCATACCAGAAACCGGAGACTTTTTTTTTGGGCCTTACTGAAGGAATTTTTCCAGACAAGTATAACATGGCTAAAGTTGTTCCACTTTTTAAAAAGGGTGATGTTCAGGATCCAAGTAATTATCGGCCAATTTCATTATTGAATACTTGTTCTAAAATTTTGGAGAAATTAATACATAAGCGTTTATTGGGTTTTTTTCTGGAATCTAATAATTTGCTCTGTTCTAACCAATATGGATTTCGCCCTGGGCGAAATACCGTTCATGCTATGCTTGATTTGTACAACAATTTAAACGGATGCTGTTAATCAGGACCCTTCACAAGTTTCTTTAGGTGTCTTCTTAGATTTAACCCTAAAAGGGCCGGGGGGGCGGAATCCGCCCCCCCCCCTCAACATTTTCCGCGATAACCTCTAAAAAAAAATTTTTCGCGACCCGAGCTGTTATGACTTTTTAGCCTCGAGCTTTGCGCATCTTTTGATACCAAAAACATAAAAATCGGACCACGGGTTGCCGCGTAGCGAAAAATTTTTCGGCGCTACGCGCCGTAAAAACTGACTGTTCCCATATACGTCGTGTACACCGAGCAGAATTGCCATTCATACATATGAATAATTAATTAGCCATAATTCCAAAACCCTTTGACCTATAGTCATGAAATTTCTTGGGCATGTTGAGGAAGAGTTGCTCTATGCATGTGTTGAGTTTCAAAATTTTTCGACACTCGATGGCCGAGATCTTAGGGGGGGGCAGAATCCGCCCCCCCCGGCTGAGAGATGGTCAAAATAACCCGGCCCCTTTAGGGTTAAAGAAAGCCTTTGATACTGTTAGTCATGATTTGCTGTTAAACAAGCTCCATTATCTTGGGATTAGGGGAGTAGCACCTGATTGGTTTGGTAGCTATCTTAATAAGTGTAAGCAGTATGTGATATTGACTGGAGTAGAATCCAGCCATCAAGATATTAATTGTGGTGTCCCCCAAGGCTCCACACTAGGACCACTATTATTTTTAATTCATGTTAATGATATCCCATTTTGTTGTTCTGTTGCAAAGCCTATTTTATTTGCAGATGACACAACTCTTCTCGCCTCTGGGAATGACTTTAAATGTATTGGCTATGGAGGTTAACAGAGACTAGATTGGTTTAGAGCAAATAGGTTAAGAGATGATCCTGATAAAACCTATTTTATATGTTATACATCCAGGCAAAAGGAACGTTACTTACCTGATATATCATTAATTTTTTAGAAAATTGTTCTCTTAAAAAGGTCCCTAGTACTAGATTTTTTAGGCCTTGAGACTGATAAAAATATGCTCTGGAAGGAACAGATTTCTTATGTTTGTAATAAAATTTCCAAAGCTAATTAATTATATTCTTAATAGAACCAAAAGACTTATGAGGATAAAATATAGTACAAGTATTTTTATTCACAACGTATTGGTTAATTCGTATTTAAAATATGCAGTCTTCGCATGGGGTGATTTGATTAGAATCGTTATCCATCTTTTATAATAGGATTGTTTCTTTACAAAAGAAATGCATTAGGAATGCCTGCCATGCCAAATATAATGCCCATACCTCACCTCTCTGTTTTAAGTTTAAAATTCTTAAGTTTGAAGAAGTTTATAATTTTCAGATCGCTTCACACTATTATTATTAGGCCCATCGCCAAGGGGGGGGGGGGCAGCTCCCCCCCCCCTTTGACGAGCACTAATTGCCCTGGTCCCCGTCCCCCACCGATTTACGCCATTTTACTGGTGGTCTCGATCCCGAGACCACCAGTTGGGGTTATCTTTTAAATTCAATTTAATGGTCACCAGAACATTATTCATCATCGGAGGACAGCCATCATTCCACTGCACAGCAAAATATAGTGACGTTCAGCATGATCATTAACGTCTCGTGTGTCCTCTATCATTTATCGTATGACATCTATCCGGACGAATCCGCGGAGTTGGTTGGAACAATCAGTGTGGAATTTAGTCGGGTTCAAGCAACGAGCAAAGTACCCGTGCAAAAATATGTCTAGAGCCTAGACTCTAAATTCTATGACTAGAGTTGTCAGTGATATTTCATTCATATCATTTCCGTCATGTCCGTGTGATCAATTCAGCATGTTCAGGAAAATATTCGAAATTCACCGCATTGATCAGCATAAAACGATTGTTAATTCAACCCACTACATGCACTTCAAACCTGCGGCTGCCCGTTGTGTTTTCCCGTCATTGTAGTGGGCATGCCGTCACTAGTTTCGTTCTGATTTTTTTAGTTCAACAATCGAAAGCAGGTAGGCTGAGCTGAGCGCATACAGTGTATAAAGCGCAGTGTATAGGCCTAGGCCTAATTAAGTATATTCCTTCAATAAAAAAACATAAAAAATTCGTTAAGCTTGTGTAACTTCCCATTTCGGAAATATTTCCATATACGAAGTTCACTCAACACCCTGTGTACAAACCCTATGAGATTTGACTGAAAAATTCTAAGTGTTTTCTAAGAAAATGCTTGTATTTTCTCACTGCTCAAAAAGTCAAATTGACTTTGATGACATGAAATTGCTATCTGGGGGCTTGTTTAGTCAATACAGAGGAAAATTAGTGAACTTCGTATATGGAAATCTTTCCAAAAGCACATTACGAATAGGTCAATGAATCATTGGCCTATTCGTAATGTGCTTTTCAATAAATATGATGAAGCTAGGCCGAATAGTAAAGCTATGGAATTTAGCAAAAAAATCATAACAAATTCATGAGGTTTAAAATTTGGTGACCAACAGAAGCACTTTATCTTAGGATTTTCACTTGTTTTGAGTGCCATGTGATCCGGGTGTAAATCTATCTATTGCTAATTATGATACATAATTAGGCCTGACACTTTTTTCGTTTACCAAAAATACAAATTTTCTTCCTTTTGTTGTTCAAAATTAAAGAACATCCAGAAACCTCTGAAATATCTTCATCTCGTCAACAGACCCATTTTCATAAAACTAAATGCTGAATGGTAACACATAGCATAGCAACCGATGATGCAACAGACAAAGTGGTCAAAATAATGTCACTGTTTAAAATTTATCATTGTTTTCATATTTTTTATTTAAAAAAGGGGGGGGGGTGGGAAAGGAAAAAAAGGAGGCGGCCTCAAAAAAGCAAGCGGGCGGGGACGCTAAACATGTCCTGCATTTGGCCTAATGCCGCACAGCCATGTTGGTATTATCATGGAGGAATAAGAATTATTAAGGTGTATGTCATCTAGGCTTTGCAATTCACTGCTCCAGAGTATTTTTTGTTTTTGAAAGGGAAGTTAAGTCCAAGAACCATTTTGTCGACAACTATTAAACAAATGAACAATGGTTGACTTCAGTAACTATAGCTACAGCATGTTAGTTGTCAACAGAGTGACACAAAACTTCTACAATTAAAGGAATTTTGTAAATATTGAAAATTGTTGGAACATGTCCTTGTTTGTTCTGCATAAATGAGTTCATCTTTTGGTGGTAGTTGCGTTAAATTCACTTGTCTCTCACTTAATGGAATCCAGGTGATGTGCAGGGATGCTCACTCTGTCAAAGAAGCGAAAGGAGGATGCAGCGCGTCGGGCCAACAACTCATTGTCGTCGCCGCAGACATCAGACAACTCCAAGAGAGCGTCCGTCCGGGACATGCTGCTCAATAAAGAAGTGCCCGAAATGGACGTAAACCTCCCGTGTGAGAAAAATTGAGACCATTTTTTGTGTGTGTAGAGCTGGCAAGCAGCAGTGTTGTAGTTTATAAAGTCCATACAAGTTCAATGCAAGGCAATGATAAAGGCCTATAATTTACACATACGCGACTTTGTCGCCTGATGTCGGGAGTTTAAATAAATACTGCCAACATAGAGCTGGAAAATTCTTCTAGTAGAGCACCGGAACGGCAACCAGTGCTTGCAGTTACACCAGTAGGCCTATCGGTGTGCAAGGCACTATGGCATTATTACCCTGCTCATTGGGCCAGTGAAACATTCCAAAGACAATCTCAGCTCCTTGGGGAGTATACAGCTTGATGCTGCCATTTCACCGCAAAGCAGCTGAAATCAATCACAATAATCATCTCTACCTTCACAGGTACCCATGTACTCCTGGGTGGGGAGAAGCAATGAGTGACAATGTGCCTTGCCCAAGGGCACACGCACCATGAACCCCAGGCTGGACTCGAACCCACAACCTGCAGAATTGCCCACAGACCACAAAATTCAATGTTCCGGACCACTAGGCCATGGCACTCCGCACGGGTTCAAACCCCGCTCCAGTCAATTATTTGTTCAACTTTTCAATTCTTATTTAAAATGAGTCGTCGTTGAAAAGGAATCACGTTTAGCTCCCACGAGTAGTAGCCATCCATTGCTCCTGATGGAAATTCATACCTTGTCGTGCTTGCACGTCCCAATTTCAGTTCAGTAACTTGTTGATTTGACTTACCTTCAACAGCTTCCTGTACTGTGGATTTTGAGGACCCAAACAAGCTCCACTCCTTTAAACTCATCGTGACACCAGAGGAGGGCTACTGGCGAGGGGGGCGGTTCGTCTTCAGTATCCATGTCCCAGAAGAATACAATATAGTGGTGAGTTTGTGGTTGCGTCGGTGTAGCGTTCCTGATGTTTGCTGATCCCTGAGGGCCAGTCTGCGGTCCACTTTAATCTCATAAAGACTGACTGACTGACTTGACTCAGATGACTACGTTGACCCCATAGACCCAATCGGTCTGTTATGCCATCAGTATGGCACCAAGGAAAGTCTGAGCTGTCATATTGAGACTAGACTAAGGGGAGTGGATTCAACCACGTCCAGGGGAATAATTTAACTCCCAGCAGAAGTGAAACTTCCGATTTCATTTGAAATTCTGATTTTTTTTTCAAACTTTCTTCCAAGAATGTTTTCCCTTCAAAACCTGATTTGTTTTTTAAAAATTAATTATTAAAAAATTTGATGAAAAAATGGTACATCTGTATTGTGAGCGCAATTTTAATCTCTTCTATCAGTCCTCACGTACACAGTTTGTATGGTACAATGTAGTAACACATTAGCAAGCTCTGATTGGAGAATCTTATGACTGGAAGGATGTTAACGCATTAACTTATGACAGAGCTTCATGGCTGTTACATGTGGACATTGACTGCGGTGATAGGGGACAGGGTAGTCCGAGTATTAAATAAAATTCTGACATACAGTACTATTAAACTTTATCTATAAATGTCTAAGATGGTTTACCCATTCCTATTGGTTGCGAGGTGGGTTGTTTTAAACTGTTGATAAAATGCCGACTGGTTTTAAACACTTTTTTTTCAGCACCGCTGCATTCTGTGGCACACCGCGCAGTGCCAATCTCCATATAAGGAGATTTCTAATACTACTCGCGCGAGGCACATATCATAAACATAGCTAGAGGGGTGTTTCACAAAACATGAGATAAAATTGTTGGAAATTTATAAAAGTACCGGTACATTTAAAACTGGCCTGGTCGCCGATTTGGCTCGGGCCATTATCCGCATCCAGGCCCCAAGCCAGTTTAAACCCTACTTCTTTAAAGGGAATGTACATCATTCGTTTTTGCTTTAATTTTCAGAAATGAACTATTTGAGGGGTTAGTATAATAGATCAAATTATTGTTGCACTGACATGTTTGAAGTTTTGTGTTCGAAAATGCTGGAAAAACCAAAAAAAACCCAAAAATGTTCAAGTAGTCTGGTTCCCTGACTCCACTGAAAATTAAATGAATCAATTTATAGATGCCGGAAAATTGTACGGTAAGGGAACCAGTCTAGCTGGCCTGCCCCCATTCATGAACATGCAACCAATAGCAAACAAAATTTGGACTGAAAAAAAAAGTAAATTTGGAGCAGCAGTTGAAAAATAGTTAGGTTTTTCCAACGGTGGTCGGCCGACCACCGTTGGAAATGTATACAAAAATACCATTTACTTGAAAATGACTTCACACCAGGTGCCATAATTTTACAGGATGCTTTAGACTGTCATTTACCAACATCCTGTAAAGTATTTCATAAAAACTTGGTAGTTTTATTTTTCGATGCTTGCAAATGTTGTATTTTCCCTTTAACACTGACCAAGTACATATTTATTCCCTTATCAAACCAAGTGCATTCATGTAAAACCAGTCATTGGATTTTGTATCAGACCCATATACATGGATGTGATATTTCTTTACTTATGCAGTCATATATTTCTGTCATTATATTTCTTTCATGTCCAGTGTGCTCATTTGTTGTTTACCCTTGATTTCTTAGCCTCCTACTGTGAAGTGTCTCACAAGAATATGGCATCCCAACATATCAGAAGATGGAAACATTTGCCTTAGGTAAGCTTGATTTGGGTGTTTTATTTTTAACCACTTGCCAACGGGATTAGTTTTGGCCGAAAACAACATATTTTTGAAAAAGAAAAGATATATCGGCCAAATTTTAAAATTAAGTCAAACACCACAAATACTGACTCCTGAGTCATTTGTGCAATATTTGTACGAGACTTCTCACCATAACTTCAAATTGTGCAAAAATCCGAGGCCCCGTCACGGTGCGATATTTGCTACGACGACAGGCCGTGTTCAGCGGCCAAGTTCCAGTTCAGAACATGGTGTGTACAAAATCAATAGGATCCACTGAAGAAATTTTTTTTTAATCTGACAGCTGCCAAGAAATTAAATAAATAGAATAATAACATATGAGAAAGGAGGATTCTGGCTAGGAGTTTCACAACGAGTAAGAATTAAACTGCCCACAAAAAAAATCAAACGTAACTCCACATTAGAATATGTGGTTCCTTGAAAGAAAAATTCGCAAGAAGTTCATCACTGGACAAGAAATGATGTCTTTACTCTAACCCTGCGGAATCCAGTAGGATCCAACTATATCATATACCCGAAAGAGCCTGTTGGATTGAGCAGTAAACCCCTTGTGTACATTCCTGATGCAAAATGTTGGATTCAGCAGGCAACTGAACCGCATTATAACGCAAGTTGGACTCTGTTGGATTCAGCAGGCAACTGAAAATAAGGCATAGTGGATTGAACAGGAAAGTCCGGTTGGACTCTGTTGGATTTAGCAGGGTAGCTCTGAGGAACTACTAGGGGATTAGGGTTAAACACTAATCTTGGATTTCCTGTGTGTTGGCAGTATACTCAGGGAGCATTCAGTGGACGGTACTGGCTGGGCCCCAACAAGACGAATGAAGGATGTCGCCTGGGGTCTGAGTTTTCTCTTCTCGGTAAGTCTGGTTGTGGGACACTGACTCATGAGCTTGAACAAATGCAAAATACAGCCAGCACTGAGGGACCAGTAATTTCACACAACCTTCCCTCAAACCATGTTGTAGAACGCCATGGTCCAGTGGTTATGGTGTTTGACTCATGTATGATGGTGAGTGGGTTCAAACCCTGCCAGGTACATGGTGTTTGTGCCCTTGGGCAAGACACTTCACTACAATTGCCTCTCTCCACCCAGGAGTATGAATGGGTACCTGTGAGGGTAGAGGACCGAATGTGCGCTGATATCGGCTGCCGCGTAGCCTCGTGGCCTGATGAACGGGGAATAATTGTAAAGCACTTTGAAATTGTTGATACGATGGAAAAGCGCTATATAAGCATTGCAGTTATTTGTACGAGTATGAATACCTTGCTATGAGTACGAGTATGAGGCAATTTGTTTTCATGAGCATGTGTTAAAGTTCATATTCATGACTACGAGTACGACTATTTTCCATGAGTTCAAACTAGTGCAGAGAAACGCTGCTTGGCCACCTTAACTTGCATAAGTCAGCCAACTGATTCAAATCCGGTACGTTATACATGTCACTTTTTTCTCCCCCACCGTAGGACTTGCTAAACTTTGACGACCCATTGAACATTGAGGCCGCCGAACACTACCAACGCAATAGAAGTGACTTTGAAGCCAAAGTGCGACATTACGTAGAGCGGTATGCCAAGAGCTGATAGATAACGTCCATCCCGAGGAGGATTTTTTTTGGTGTCAGAAGTGGGATAAAGCAGTGAATGGCATTTCTGAGCTGCTCCAGTCTGGATTCCGAGCAGCAGGTTGGAGAAAGAGGAGTTAGCCATGCATCCTCTGTTCCTGACGATCAAACAATTTACTAATATTTAAGAATCTACTCAATCAGCTAATACCATGCGAGGCCACAGCAACCTTCCTTCTCGAGCTTGCCTGCTCTTCTGTGATTAGCCCCTTCGAGTTGAGAACCGAAGACAGGTTGGAGCGGAACGTCATCACAAGAACCTGATGATGCAGTTGAAAATGTGATTGATTGGTTTGGGACACAAGCAAGTTATGGACCAGATTGACTGAGAACTAGAAGATTCGTGTAACAATTGAAGACACTTGAAGAAGCAAGGCAGCTACATGTAGGTGTGGAGTTGAAGATTTGAATTCTTGGTTGGGGGCGTGTCAAGCGTATCGGTGTACACAATGGAGTGAGCATTGGACGAGACTTATTTCAGTGAGACCAGAGTAGATAGCTCACATATCTGGAATAAGTATTTTTTTATAGAGCTATGTCAAATTACTAGAGGGCATTCATGTTTGTGCACAAACGTATGGAACACTTGAAGGCTTTAGTACAGGTATTTGCCGATCTGCGTTTGTATTCTATACCCGTACGTAAATGAAGCCATCAAATTTCAAGATGTTCGACGATCACGCATGCTGATTCAAAACATCTGTGCCTAGGGCACCTTTGAAAGTATCCTCCGCAATGATTGAGAAGTCAGTGCTCTAAGTAATTGAGTGTAACTCTATGGTATTTCCCTGACCAGTGTCTGCCACTCACAAAACACATATCCATGGAGTCATTGATACAAACAGGTAAAATATCCATACACCTGCACGGTGTACATGTACATGTACTTATAGAGAATAGGCGCTGCTCTTATAGGCACTTCTCCAAGCAAACTAAATTTTTAATGTACATGTACCTCAACACTTGAAAATCCTAGAAAATGGTTGAACGGTAAGATTGGGTTATCACAACGATACATTCATGCAAACTGAAATGTATGCGGGAGCTGAAAATTCAGTAGTCTATGGAAAAGCCACTTTCACACAAGCGTCTATGACATTCGCGCAGATTCGGCGGTTAATTATAAAGCAAAACAAGACTGCGCCTTAACATCAGATTCTGACCCTTCTATCGGGAGTTCCGTTAACCCATTGCCGTATTACAAAAACATGGCATCCATATTGACCTATCAACAGCTTAGTCCACATTTCTGATTGAAATGACATCACAGTTTCTAAATTCTAACTCCAATTGGCTGTTGTGCGGGGTCGCATAAAATTTGCGTGTTAGGATATCAGACGTTCGTACCGTACATTCTCTCTGCACACGTGAATGTCTGATCGTCAGACTTAAACTTACTTTGAACATTTTACTTTAGATTTGAGTGAACACCCACAACTCCCGAATCTGTATATTACACTTTTTAGTGACCTGAATATTATACTCCTTATTGTTTCTGTTAGTGGTCTGAAAATGAATAGCAAGAACATGGACAAATTTAATAGTACATGAAGCTGAACCATAGGTACAAAAGCACTGGGTCTCATCCAAGCAAGAAAAAGCTGGTCTGGTTAGTAAACAATATGATATTCTCTGAAAGAAAAGGTAGTACAATTTGAAAATAAAAAGGTATTAATTAAGCCACTAATATCACTGTAGGCAATGCTGGCAAATAGTTATTTGTGTTACAAATGAAATGCAGGAATCTCCAGTGTATGATATCCCTTTAAAGTTACATTAAAACCCTAACTGAACTCAACCCATCAAAGCTCAACAGCAGGTTTTGTTTAAATCTGTTGGGATAGGTACAAGTACCCCTAAACAGATGGTCTTTTACACTGGGGTTGGCATACCTCCAGAAACAAAGTCCAACAGTGTGTGTGTACAATTTGCCATGTGGGTGTTGAAATTTGCCAGAATGGGTATGGTTCCTAGTAAATTAGGCTGGGGAGTTAGGGTTTATAAGCTTTCCAAAGCCTAGAGGATTAGGGATAAAGGCCAATTTACACATACGTGACTTTGTTTGTGGACAGTTGGTTTGTGTATTTAATTATTTAACTTCATGGACTAATCAGAAATGGACGCCTGTTTATACACCCCGTCAAAGTTTTAGCATAAATGGGAGAGTTGCCATAGTTATTGCATTATTAAAAAGAAAGGCACAATAATGCCAACAGGATTTTCAATCCGTCAGGCTTCAAGTGTTTTTTTCTTGTCAAATTGAGTTCAGCATCTGTAAAATCAGGCGAATGATGGCATAACTCGTGTTAACGCAGAGGAAAATTACAGATTGAATTAAAGTTAACCGGTTAGCGCCAGAGGCCAGGTATACACGCAAAGGTTTTGCGGTATTCGGAACGGATGACGGATAAACACGCAACGAGCGAGGCCGGAAATATCTGTCAGCGACCCGCTCGCAGCGAGCAAGGCCGGAAATATGAGTGTGCTGCCTGAGGGTGATGGCTTCAACCCGCCTGGCTTGAGGTCGAGTGAAAAGTAATCCTGCGCTTCGTTCTGTTCTTGTCAAAATAATCCCGGCGTGAACTGGTTAAAAGTCTGAAGAATCTGAATTTCATGGAAACACGTTGAACACTTATAGCATGGAGGTAGGAATAGACCTCCATGCTTATAGCCACAAAGTCTCCACTTAGAAAATGAATTGCATTGCAGTAAATCACAATAACTTTGTGCTTCCAGAAGATGTTAAAAATCTCTGCTTGATGAAATTATTACTTTTTGATATTTGTAGCTGGGTTTAATACACTGTACTTCCATGTAACTGATTGGTCTTGTAACAAGTTTGCATACAAAAGGTATTATGAAACCTTGCCTGATATAACTTATGTGGATGCAGCATTTGAGTGCTGTTGGAAATCACAAACAAAGGCATGACCACAACACAAAAGGTGAATGAGTGTGCATGCTGATCGAAAGGTTGCAGGGCAGTAAAAAGGCCCAAAATTGCCTACCCCTGCCACATCACGATTTGTATGCCCTCAAATTCTCTGGTATTTGAGCGTTTTGTGGGCCATGAACTTGAGGGTTTGTAGAAAAGAAGTGTGGAAGCCGTGAATAGGACTGACAGCTTGTAAAGTTCTGTGAAATTTTGACGAAATTGGGTCCTAGAATTTATTTTGCAATGGAGTGTAGACATCATTTTTCAATATGGTGATGGGCTTCAGGACTACTTTTAGGGGTTATCATCTTTGGATGGAAATTTCTCCCAAAAGTCAAGAATTACCACCCAAAAATTCAGCAGAATATGAACGATGATGAAATACGCTTTAATTTGATGTGTGTTTCAAACGACTTGAAGAGTTGTGATGATTTTTCCCTGATTTTTGGAAGTATGGGTATTTATCACGGGTATGAAGTCGGTTTATTTACTGGTCTGAAACATTTATACTGTACTATATCAGACAAAGTAATCACAGAAAGCGCCTTCTTGTGGTCTGCTTTTGTAACACATGCCACTTTGATGACAAAACAATCTCACTTATGATGTCAGAGTTTACTAATAGGGGGGGGGGGGGGTGCTCCCTGAGTAGAGAGGGACAAACTCTGCTAATCAGATATTAGTTATACCATGGTTAAAAAAAAAATATGGTTATGCAGTCGTCCTCCATGGGTGATGTCAAATGGCAAACTCCCTACCCCAAATTAATTTTTAAAAATGTATCAAGTCATTCTTCTGAGGTAGTGGACTGGAAAATTGTCACACTTAGACCTAGCTGGAGTTACCCAGCCCTAAATTTTATCATTGGGTTGTCATTTAAATGACAACCCAATGATAAAATTTAGGGCTGGGTAACAACCCAATGATAAAATTTAGGGCTGGGTAACTCCAGCTAACTTAGACCCTACATTTATAGAATGGCCCACAGGGTGAGAAATACATGCCATGAGTGATTGTGGAAATATGTGAACTGTAGCTGCTTGATACACCTAAAACTTTGGAATAGTAGCTGGCTTGGCGTGATTTTGTGCTGGCTTGGTGTAATTTTGTACTAACCTGGGTTCAAATCCTGCTGAGGATGACCACATCATTGGACTGTAGTCTTCTTGATTGTCCTGGCTTTTCTGGAATACTAGAGTTTGGCCCACACTCATTGGGCAGTGTCTCCTCTTCTTGGTATGTCGAGCTTGCGCCTTGAGTTTAGCATTCTAGGAATTTGGTTTCACTTGAGATCCAAAGTGTAATGTGTGCATATTTAACCCAGTGAAATGCATAAACTCAGCACAATAGCCTACCTGCAGCCTGCAGGCATGCAACTGTAAATTCACAAAAAAGGGGGAATTCCAAGACTTCAGAAGACATTGTACTGTTTTTTCAACGTGAATGAAAGAAAAAAGCAGAGGAAATCAGCTGATCCAAGGAGAAATTGAATGCCTGTAAATGGCTTTTCTATTTTAGTCCTATGTGGGGATAGGATGAGGGTGGGGGTTGGGTGTGGGAGTGGTGTTTGCTCCAAAATCTCTACCTATGTCTGACCTGTGTGTGTATTTGGAAAGGCTTAGAGGTTCCCCTGATGTTGTGGAAACACTGGATACTGCTACTGGTTGGGTAAACCTTTTAACCCACTACTGGCTGCTGAATTCATTCATTTCAAATTTAAATATGTCGGGGATCTTGCAACAGAGTCATTTTCTGTTTTCAGTAACTTCCTGCTTGCATGCTAAAAAAACACTGGACCCAACCTAATGGAGCTGTAAAGAAAGTTAGCGAAGACTTATCAGCTGGTTACCAGCCACAATGTCATTTGATTGTCTGTATTCCTTCCACTGGTTCTCCGCTCATTTGCTGAATACGAAATGTTGGTAATTTTTTTTTCTTGCTTAGTAGCACCATGAAATTGGAACCAGCAAGTTCAAAACCATAGGAACACTTTTGGCTCTCTAGAGTAGGATGCACAAGGCTTTCAACATTAGTGGCGGGTAGTATCGAAAACGAAGACCCCTCAGAAAACGAAGACCGAAGACCCACTAGAAAACAGTGGGTCTTCGTTTTCGAGTGGGTCTTCGGTCTTCGTTTTAGGGGTCTTCGTTTTCTATACTTCCATTAGTGGTGTGCATTTACGGGTAGTATGGGAACCGGGTACCCTATTGAAGTTAAACATGGGTATCTGAGCACTCGTAAAAGAAACCCAACCCGAAACCTCAAATCTCGGAAGTTGTTTAATAAAAGGCCTTTATAGCTTGACGGTGTAAACTGCAACTTTTGCAAGTGTCATCTGTCAAAATGCACAAAACGTGAAAATGTGTTTCAGTTTTCCATGTAGCCTGGTTTTCATTTTTAAAATTCCCCAACAAATGGTATTCACAAAACAATTTTTGTCATTGTTTTAGAAGATAATTAGTATTTGTAAAGTTGGTTACGGGTACCCGAACATAATCCGAATCCGGGTTCCTGACATCAGGAGTTGGGTACTCGGTACCCACTTCCGATGCACATCCCTATTCAACCTTTCCATGTGGATGATGCAGAAGTCTCAGCTGTCTGACCGAAATGACCAAAAACAAAAGCAAAGACAAAATGTGGACGCACACAAACTGGAGTAGCTGATAGAAGCAATTTAAAAATTTATTTACAAATGGCTGAACCACATACCGCCAGACTCAACAATTGTACTGCTTTATAATAGTTTGACATTAGCACTAAGCACTGTGCCAACACAACCCTTCCCTCACACGAGCTCACCACTACAATTAGATATACTCATTAAATTGATCTTTGTTTTATGATTACAATTTATAATTCAAATATTTTTTTTTAACCGTAAGTTATTCCTCCCCACCCCCCAACGTCATACACACAAGTTTATTGTAGGCCATACATGAAATTAGCTAGTGCATGGTGTATACGATAACCCACAATAATGTGTGGTTCGTCAAGAATACAGTGTCCCGAATACATGAAGCACATTTTGGAATTGCAGAAATGTTACTTTTGTTAAAAAAAAAGAAGAGGAAACGAACAAAACCACACTCGAGCGAGGACGTACACAAACATGTTATAACATTTCGTATTGCAAGACATAGTGGAAGTTCCATACACAATCAAATTCCGAAGCGAAAGATCTGGACAATTTCATCTAAATCCTGGTATCTACAACAAGTTCTCAAAGTTACTTTTTTGTTTTTTTTGTTTTACATATTGCAAATGCTACCAATATGCTTAAGATGAGAGTCGACACATTTATGTCATATGGAACACCGATTACACTAATGGTGAAACAGGTTTCCGATTAACGTCAGCCTATTATCTATTCAAATAGACATGTCCGTTTCTCTTTTTTTGTCTTACGCACAATGTATACTGCCCACCTGCTGGCAACTGACTCGCAAGTTTAATACAGGATTTTTGTTTACATTAATACTTTTTTTAACGCGTTGAACCATTTTGCATATACAATATTTTTTTGCTATCATATCAAGCGTTCGGAAACAGTTTTGTTTTTACAGTCTTTTTCCGATTCTGATAGAAAAAGATTTTTGTTCTGTCAAAAACTCCAAGCCTTGTTAAGGACCAATAATTTTTTTGTTTTCAACAACCCGCCACTTTGTAATTGTGTTGATCCATATCACAGCAGTAAACATTTTTATGATGGAGTAAACATGATTCTTAAAATGTTTTGATAATTGTCTATACATTGTAATTTTTTTTTTTTTTTACTTGTCAACCATAGAAAAAGGCTGACCACACGACTGAAATGTCCTGAGCGCAATAAACGATGTCGAGTGCTTGCATTCTAATCTAAACCATTGCAGTCATGAAGCCTGCTGAAAAAGAGGGGCGCACCTACAAATAGGCAGAGAAAGATACAGTATAGAGTGAATACATGTTTACCATAAAACAGCATGTACATATGCCACTCAGAAATACAACATTCTAGTACATTATACAGTTGAGTTTGGAAGATCTTCAAAAATTGTATGATACATATTCTCTTTAAGGATATAGATTACAACATTAAATTTGGAAATAAAAACAAAAACCTCAAATAAATGTCCAAAATGTATTGATTATTATTATTATTATTATTATTTTCTCTTAGGCTATACGCTCGTTACTTTATCATCACTGGAAAAAACTGTGAACAATTTGAAGATGAATTTGAAATCTATCTAGCCATTGGTTACATCACCCCAAAAATGAACTATCACCTACATTTAAGGATAATTTCTTAAAGTGGATTACCGTATTAAAGCTTTCAGAATGAATTACCCATGCAAAACATGATATCATTTCCAAATAACGATCTGGACTTCTGGTGTTTTTTTATATCAGAAAAACATCAAAGAGTGCTTTCCCTCAAAAAAACAAATAGATTTTTTATTCATAAAAGAGTACTTAGCAAGAGTATGTTTAATTACTATTCAATAAAAGCCGATTATGAAATTGTAAATATTGGGAATACTTTTTGAAAGAAAAAAATTCTTGCCACAATAAGTGCTGCTTGCTTGACTTGAAAACAAAAAAGCCAAGAAAGATGACGTGAGCCCAAGTGCATCTTTTAACTTGCTCTGCATGATAGCTAGCTCATTACATCATCCGCTTGTCTTATGAATATGCAAATTTAAGTACTGCACTTCCATATCCACAGTGACAAGGGTCTTCCACAGTACTACCAATAATTAGGGATTACAAATTCTGGCATCTTGCCAACAAGTGTTGACTCTCTTTGAATTTCATTTTCGATAATTATGGTCATCGTCGTGACATTGAGGTCAGTGAATCATTTCTGACAACACTCCGATAAATTATGATCATGGCAAATATGGTTCTCTAGAATGTGTATATATATATATATCTTAAAATAAAAAGTAATTTTAAAAATGCTACTTTCTCTTTTAATTACAATGAACATTTTAGTGCATACATAAAGTATATCATACATCAGAAAAACTTTCTCAGAAAGTTTGAAAAACAGGGATAATCTGGAACATGAATACAATTTCCTCAAAGTGTGTAGTACATGTATTTTAACAATCCTTTAAAATAAATCAAGCAAACATTCCCTGTAACTGATTTTCTCCCCACTCTCCGAAGTTACGATAGAAACACAGTTTTCCCTTCATTGTACAAGTAAAATGTTTTACTTACGAATACCAGCTCATCAATTACAGTTCTGTTTCAAATTAAAAAAAACAACAACAACCCAACAGATGGTATCCATGTTTGGGGCCACTTTTGGGCCCCTTAAACTGTACAACCAGCGGATTAAAATGGTTACCCTGAACCAGCAGGGCCAGGGGTGGTCTACACTCTCAAGTCACATGACGGTCAAATGACACAGTCACATGACACAGCCACTCGACACAGTCAAATGACACACGTTCCACAAACGACCCTGCCACGCGGTTAAAATACAAAGTTTGTGGGTTATCTACAAATACAAAGAATGGCATACCAAAACAGAGAACATTTTATACAAGTGATGTTCTGGCACAACCATGTAAGCATAGCAAAAAACAGCCACTGACTAGCAGTTAGCAAGAAATGTGGGATTGTTCCTGCTTTGTGAACTGTTATACAAGTTTACAATCAAACAAGGCCATAAAGGTTCTGCCCAAGAAAGTCTGCGCAAAAAGTCCAAAGTCTTGGCGCAAGTATAGCAACTGAAATTGACTTCAAAAATAAGACCACTCTGGCTCACTTATCTGTCCTCTGAATTGTATAGGGTATTTGTCAACAGACACCCTTTTTTCAACAAGGCAAAGATGTCAACTTTGTTTCCCTGTCATCACAAAAAAAGATCAAATTGCACCAGGCAAACTTTGATTGCACAAAAATGGAACTGGGTCATCTAGTTGAGAAATCCTGATCTGCTGTATATTTGCCCCCTCCCAACCCAGAAAAAAATTTCAAATATTGGCATCTTCTGTCACTACCACACTCTGCAATTTCACCGCAACCACCGATGTTTCAATGTGCCTTCACCACTATCATCGCCCACAATCATGACTATCACAACAATCACCCTCAAGTTTCATACAAACTTTCAAACCCATCAACACAGTTATGTTTTCATCAAACCTATCAACCACTTCCATGTACTCGGTATCTTCAACATTAAACCATCATCAACCATATAATCATTCACACACACATATGACGCAAGGGTGGATCGGGGGTTGCTAACATGGAACAACATCGTCACTCATCGTCATTCATTGCTGTAGGCCTTTGGTCTTTTTATGCGTTGACTATGAAACTTCATTCCCCCCACCCCCCACCCTTGAAAAATATTGAACTTCAACACTAAAGCCACCCCCTTGAAGAATCCTCGTTCCACCATCGAATGAATTCAACAACTATGCGAATCTCCCATCCCTTCAAGAAAAAAATGCCCCTTCATTTTAAAACACAATATGAGAATTTCTCAGAAAGTGTCTATGGGCCGAGTGCGCAGAATTTGAGAGCTTGGATTCTTGAGCGTTAGATTCAGTGCAGTTGTCACGCAAGCGGCGCAAGAAACTGGACTTATTTCATTTCCCATCTCTGTTGTTATATTCTTGACCTTTGCTTCCCTCAGAACATCACCATCATTTTCACCACAATTCTCTTCATGACGGCCGTCACAGCTACATGTTGCATTACCATACCACCACTCTCACTTTCTTCCTTAATAATTCTGTTCCCCTTCATCACATTCGCACAACTACCATCAGTCACACTCACTACTCTGCATTATCAGCCAGCATTCAATCCTTTTCATTGGGTAATAGTTTTGTAATATATCGGTCTACCCTATTTTGACTATGTAACACCCCCCCCCCCCAACTTAAACTGTTATGTTGCCAGGATTTTTTTTTACCCCAAAATGTGAATTTTTTCCCTAATCGTTCTCAGAATGTAAGGCCACCAACCACTCTCAATATAACCAGTTTACAAAGCAGGAACACTCCCATGTCAAATAAAGTGTCTTCAAGTACGTGTCAGAATATTTGCTCTCTCACAAGGTCAGGTTGCTGAGCTTTGACATGGCCCCTGAATGGAACAAAGGAGATGATTGGCTACATCGGGCACATAAAACAGTGAGAGCCAATCAGAACAGCTGACACAGTTCACAAACTTTTCATGGAACAAGTGACAGCGCCGAAAAGGGATGAGGCATTATTTTGCACTGGTCATCACGAAAACAAAAGTCTAATGGGCTAATCCCCAAAAACTGCCAAACATTGTCAATGTCGGGCTTTTCCTTTGTCAGTGATAAAAATTGTTTTGTGATCACCAGGGTACTGTGCTCTCACTCGTAGAATGCATGGTTCCTGCCCCGTCTTTGATATTCTACAATACTGGATGGAAGGATCGGAACCAGTCTCCTTTCGTTATCTGCAGTATCTCACTTTGCTAACAGATGTGAGTAGAATGTAACAGTGGGAACAAGTGACATGCACACCGTGGGTTTTGCACAGAGCCTATAAGGCCATGTCAACTCAGCTATTTTTGATTACTGCTGTTGATAGTGCCAATGTTTAAAAAAAAAGTCAGCTTGTGTTGAACACATGTAGTCAAACAATCCGGTGAGGAGCAAGTTCTTGACACAACTCGGTTCCAGACAAAAAGATGACACTTAGGCACAAATTGTCTACACAACAGCCCCAGAAAAAATCAAACTAAATTTGTGTGTTAGTACGTAAGTTCCAAACAATCCAGACACAGCAACTGTCAATGATGCTGCGGTATTCAAATAAACCTGGAATCCACAAAAGAAAATATGTTAAGTATATCACACACCGTAAATATAGAATCTGCCGAGTAAAAATTCTCTTTAAAATAGCAAATATACAACAAAGGAATAAATACACGTAGTTTATATGAAGTATCTGTTTTGTGGCTGTAAGTGCCTTTGCAAACACATATACACACAAAAAATGACATTACTTTACAAAAAAATAATAATAACCCGACAGTTAACCAGAGGTCACTAAACTGGTAGTGTGTACAAAACCTGGTAAGCTGCTTGTAACCAGTTTAACCAGGTTGGGCATAACCAACAAAACCTGGTTACAAGACACAGCTGGTTACTGATGAATGCAGTGTCAATTTCCTGGTTAAACCAAAGACGGACTGGTTACAAGTGCATATAACCTAGTTAGTGATCGACCAAAGGCGACATGACCTGTTGTGCCATATTCCTCCAGTTTCTAAACTGTTCAAGCGGGTATAACCTGGTTAAGAACCAAGGACTGGTTGGTAATGCCAATATTTCAGCACATACAAAAAAACCTGATACAATATACACAACTCAGACAGGATAATCCTCAACGATTTCCCCTTCAACAGATCTCTCTCAGGCATTCTACCCATCGTGCCAATTTACTCCAAAAACTTCTTAAACTAGTGTACATATTAAAAAATTCCAGTTCTGGAGGCAGAAAGATTGAGCATGTAAACATATTGCAAAGTGCTAAAAGAACTCAGTACAATCACAAAAAGCAACAATCGAAGAAACAAAGTAGTGCTTGCTGAATCTGCGCTAACAGAATTAAAAAGTATGAAAAATGTATACTTGCACCTGCTAAATGTATTTATAATACAGTTTATATATAATGATAAAAGGCACAATATATAGAAAACATTAAAACCAAATCATTACCAACCAATATTTCTTTTTTTTTCAATATATGGAAAACAAATGTCTTTACATTAAATACAAGGGCGCGCTGCAATCTGCACACTGATCACCCAAAGAATGTTGCGGTTTTTTTTTAAGAAACAAAAGAAAATATCAATACAAAGACACACAAGTCAAAAAAGAAAATATATATATGTATTATGTGTGTGTATATATATATAAACTACACATTCCATATAGTATAGGTGAATTACATACGCATTCTTTTTACATACAAACTACTGGTAAAAAAAACAACCCATGTAATATCTTCATTTTTGAAAATGACAAAGTTCTTCAGTTTTCCAGTACTTTTCATTAATTTTTATTTACATCGCATCGGGGAAAAAGCCAAAGTGATCCGTCCAAATCTGTGGTTTTTGCTTGGGCTTGATCGGCAATAGTTTGTCGGTACAAGAACAGGGCTTGCCATTGCAAATGACTCCTACTAACCCTTTCAGCATTGGTGCCGAGAACTACCAAATTCACCAGCATGGCCGCAAGGAATGCCACGCTGATAACATTTTTGTTTTTAAGTTTTGCTCGAGATTTTCATGACTTATCCTGCTTGTTTTAAAAGTGTACTCATGGATAAGAGTCACTCCATACAAAAAGAAAAAGATGTTACCCTCAGTCATTACGATTGGAGATCAAGCATACAAAGTGGTATGGGATGCAGTGACAGTACAGAAGGAGAACCAGTCCAAAACATGAAGGGAAACAAAGGCAGAACCAATACAGCTCTCCCTCGACACAAGTATGTTAGCTTTGGTTTACTTTGGGATTCTACATTTAGAGAAAACTAAATTGTAATTAGGAAAAAGTGGTATGCTGACAGGAATTGTTAGATTTTGGTTGATTGGTTCAAACGTTTCTCTGTTTTGCACCTTGTTCTCCTGTACTGAAAGAGTGCAAGTGACGACATCCCATCTCGGCTCTCGTTACCAGAGCAACAGCCAACTTTGAGGCAACGGGTACAACAGTACTTAGCTTCAATTCAGTTCATGCAAAGACCTGTACACTTGAAAAAACAAGCTCCTGCAAAGCTCAAATGACCATGGGACCAAAACATTCCCAGAAATCCCATACAGATGATTCATTCAAGTGACACGGAGAGCATGCTGATAGTTATAAATTCACAGACAAAAGTCGTAAGGCTATTTCTGAAATGTGTACTGTATACATGTTGATTACATATGACAATATTGATATATTATTCCAATAGTTTCTTTACAAGTGACGGCTTCAAAAATCGACCAAAAAATCTGACGTGAGTTTTGGTTGGTCACAAGTTGTGCAAACCCCTTTGTTATGCGAATTACCCATTAAGCTTTACGCAAAGCAAGCTGCTATCTTTGAATGATATATATACATCTTTTATACAGCTATCATTCTGACTAGTTCCGGAACAGATCGGGCAATGCTTAACTCATGTTTTGTGGGCCTACAAATGATGTTTCAAAAGTTTTGTCTCAAAGAGTTAAAAAGCCAACTGCTTTTTAGTAGCTATAGTGACTTGGTGGCGATAAATGGTTATGATAGAGTACAATGTTACATAGTTAAAATGGATAGAAAAAGAGCACTCCAAATACGTTTGAAGTTTGTACGGATTAACGGTTATAATTATTGCACAAACTGGCATTACCCTGACGCCTGGAAGGCTAGAGTACTTTCATAAGCTGCTCTGCCTACTGTAAACTCTCCCTGCTTAATGTCACTGACACACAGGCCTACAAATTTCTAAATAGCGGACGTACCCATTTGTCAAACACTGAATCAGAGATGCCTTTGTTATGCAGAGAGTAACAAAACATGACACTTGTTTTGGAGCCAATATATGATAACTATATCTTCATTTTTAGTGAAGTCAATACGAAGACTAAAAAAAAAAAAAATTCATCTTACTTTGTGTTTGGCTATGTGTTTGTTCAACACTGTGTGCTTGCCTTGTGTTTTCTTTATATAACTAGTAAACACTTCAAGACTCTCTCCTCATATATCCTATGTCCTAGGAACATTTCATGGGCATTACTTTCCCCATTCCCTCCCGAAGAAAGATTCCACAAATTGCCAACAAAAGTTATATATATATATTGGACACCATTTTACCAGCTCAAATGCATAGATAAAGAGTCTGGGAATCATTTGCATTTTTTTCACATATTTTGGAGTGACATCACCACCTAAATTTAGCCAAGTATCTATCTACCACAAGATTTTAAGCCTTTGTTATTGTCACAAAGTTCGGTACCCATTAAACAAAGAGGTCATATAATATATATGCATGACCCTTTGTAAAATTTGCATATTAAAATTACATCTCCTTCCACGATAATTTACATTACTTCATGACTGAGTAAAAGAGAGAATTACGTCTGATTTTTTTTTTTTTTGACGCCAATATTTGATACATAGGTTTTATACACTTGTTTGACTTTTGCACATGTACAGCTGTACGACTTCTCCCATGGATCTAACTTTCCGTGTAAAAAAGCCAAACATGGGCTTAAATAAGTCAAACATTTATCGCTGATAATAACAGGAAAGTTTTTTTCTGAAAGGTGCCTACCGGCACAGCAGAGACCCAAACCATCTAAACATCGATGGATGTCGCATTTACTTTCTGCATGTCCGCGTGAAAATGTGTGGCAATCATGCAAACGATACTGAATGTTAACAGAGCAGGAAATAATGTTTCAACCATTCTAAGTTTGCAAAACTGACCATCCACATGTGCATTACAAACTTAAGAACCAGAATGCCGTTTTGAAATCTGATTCTTAATATTGACTATTAAGTGACTGAACTTGAACGTTGAAAACGAGTATGAGAGAGAGTTTGTAGGACTCAAACCCTCTGAAATAAAACCCGAGGGCCAGTCTTCCGACAAACAAATGACAACCTGGCCCTTTGTATTTTTTAGAATTTCAAAATCAAAGACGCGATAGGGCCTTCGTTCTGATCACCCTTTTAGAGGGGGAAAAGGTCCTTCACATTGCAGGAAAACGTGTGCGTCGTGTGTCTCTTATTAAAAGGTCACTAGTTCTTTTGTTGGTGTCAAAACAACATTCTAATTGCTAATGGCGAGATTGTCATGAAGCCACAGGGTAAGTCACATGTATGTTATTAGGGTTTACGAATTATATGCTCCGTCAAAGCCAAAGAAAAACACATGCAGTACAAGGGCACTAATGACATGTCCATAAAGAGATTGATCCGATGGATATGGCTTTGGCCAAAATGTTGAGATATTCAAGTATTTTGCTGGTGTGGATTCCATCTCTACAAGACAGTTTTTGTCTGTGCATGATCCAACCAACAGCAAAACTTATATTTCTGTTGACCTGATATTTTCTGCATTACTGTGATTTTAAAAATGGTACGGAAAATTAGACCAAAGTTAGAGACTGAAAAAGCAAAATATAAGAAAGCGATTTCAGTTCTTGGACTCCAGCAGATGCAGGACTCTGGCTAACGTTCATAGCCAGTTAGGCAGGAGGAATAATCCACATTTTTTTTTAAAAAGAAACATCGGCAAGTCTTCAATCAGTGCCTACCCCATGGCTTTTATGTGAATCACATCGCGATAAAAAAAATCCCTCAATAAACGTCTCCGCAAACATCTCAATTTGTTACAGGCAGATGGGACATGCTGCAGAGGGAATACAAACAGCTCTTGATGTTGTTCTAAACGGATGAATACCAGTGAATAAACAAACGGTTTCTCTTCAGGCGCAAATTGATGGGAAAATATTGATTGCCACCCGTCAGGTTTCAAGGTATCTCGCAGACGTTTCTGGGTGAACTTCTGCCAATCTTTAGAAAACCCCAATCTAGTTTTGGTTCTAGGTACAGACACCACTTCCACCCAGACTGGGTGTATTATTCTGATGTCATTCTGTACCTTGAAGACCAAGTAAAGATGGGCAAACAAATGAGGGTTTTCCTGTTAAAAGCTTGAAAGATTTGTGGCCCTACAAGTATGACAAGTTAAAAAAAAAACCTGTATGAGCCTAAACAAGCTTTTTAAAGTTGAAGCCGTCATTCTGTCCCACCTTAAAAGATTCCATTTGATAGGTACAAACCACATCTTGCATGTCTTACAAGTAGAGGAAAATGAATGTAAGCACTTGCCCTACAGAAGATTATACAGGCGTAAATAGAAGATCAAAGAGTAACTGCCATCTATACAATAGGTATGAAGTTCAATAAGCACCTTTTCAAATGAAATTCTAAGTATGTGTTACATGTCTGAAAAGCTGACGATTATCCCCTCAACTAACAAGTGAACTTTTTTTTTTTTTTTTCGAAGAAAACTGGAAAATATCCGCCAAACCTGAAGTTGAAAACTTGAAAAAACTTTTCCAATCATTGCTTAGACTGAGCTGGTGCATTCACCTGCACGACACGCGAGACATGCCACGGCTTGACCTCATGTGCAACCTGGGAAAAGTCACAGTTCAAATGGCCTCGCTGCTTGCAGGCAAGCAGTAGGTGGCTGTCGACAAAAAAAAATGTAGTTTTTTTTTATTGTCATCTTTCAGCCAGCTAGAAATCTGGAAAAAAAAAAGCAAAGTCTTATTCAATTGTCCATGAATAAAACCAGCCGTTGGAAACATCAGAAGCCCCGGAGGATGTTCAACTCCTAGTGGAGGTGTGTCCAAAGGGTTCAGGTGGGGGCAAGTTAAGGTCGGCCTCCACGTGACCTGGGCGAGGGTGAAGGGTCACGAGGAACTCTCTCCCGTGGGCCCTCAGAGTAGCGTGTGTAATGATCAGGGTATGGGCCCGATCGAGCATGTTCATACATGTCCTCCATCTCAATATCCCGATCCCTTGTTCTGGAGCGTCCACTGCTTGGCCCACTACCCCGTTCGGAGTACATGTACCTGTCTCTGTCCCTATCACCGCTACCTCGGGCTCTATCAGCTGATTCATAGCGGCCCTTGGGTTCATAGTGTTCCCGCTGTGGGCCCCGATCAGGATAATCACTTTCATACCGGACCGCATCCCGTTCTATGTTAAGCCTGTCCCTGGAGCCCCGGGAGCTTTCCCGTGGCTCGCTGCGGTAGTCCTGCCCGCGATGATCACGGCCCCGCTCAACATCCTGATCACGAGTCCTTTCTCGCGGGTTGCGCTGGTGATCATAATCACGGTCGTAGTCATGGTGATCTCGCCGCTCATTATCGTAGTAATCGTTGGAGCGGCGGGGCCGCTCATCTGGTGACAACGCCCGATGGTCGTCATGATCGCTGTCATCACGCCGATCCTGGTACATGTAATCTGGCCGCGAGTCACTGCGGTACCCGCTCTCGGGATGATCGGCGTGGCTATCGTAGCGGTCACTGTTGTGGCCGTCATGGTCATCTTTCCCTTTCCGTTTGTGCTTGTCGTGTCTGTGGGATCCCACTCGAGACAGCAGACTGTGCAGAGGTGAGGAGGTCCGCGATACCGAGTTATGAGCCGGGGTTGGTTTCGGTGGTGTTGTAGGCTCTGGTCCATGGGCTGCCTTCCAGTAAGCCTCCAGGTATTCGGCCAGATGTTCACATGCATCTTCCAGTTGGTTTTCATCTAGGATCACGTCAAACAACTCCTGCAACCAACAAATTACAAAACAATTTAGTAAGCTTTGCTAACTGGTAAACAGCAACTACCTAAAGCCCAAGAAAAGTTTGAAATTTACGCTGCACAAGAATATCTACAGCATACAATAAAATCCTTTTTTTACAATCTGGACGGCCCAAAAAATATACTGATTCTACTCACATGTGGACACTGCTGAAGTTTATCAGCCGCTACCAGCTGAACATTCAAGTTACGACTCTGTGACTTGGACCTAGATTTGATGAGCCGTTGTAAGACCTTCGGGGAGGAGATCTTGACGTAGACAAGGATCGGGGCAAGGGAGGTCTTGGCTAGCTGGGCTGGATGGTTAATGGTATCGCAGTCCAGAACAACCAGCTGCAAGGATCGGGCAAGCTCAAATATTCTCTCAATCTCTGCTTGGACCTCGGCTGTGGTGAGAACAAAGAAAATATGACCAAAAAAGTGATAGATTAGAGTTGAAATCTAGTCAATCACAAGTCAAATCACAAGTCAAATCACAAGTTGATCAAAAGGCAATCACACATCACATCATTAGTCAGTTCGCATGCAATAGAGGGTTACAAACAATGACAAGAATCTGTTTGTCATGGTTCAGCTAAATAGCTTGCAACTCCACTTGAGAATGAATGGTTTGTGATTGACTTCTACGTTACACCTCTGCAATTTAATGGTTTGAGTGGTTTCAAGCACACACTGCCAATAAAGGCTATTTTGTTGGCAGTCACATGATGCCATAAATAAAACTGTAATGAGTGATTGTCCAAAAAATTTGGACTGAATTCAATTTTGAGAAGTGTGGCAACATTCTTTGTGAGTACAAGCAGTATTCCGTGAACTGAAACAATCTTATCCTATCGAGAACTGTTCTAACAATGGGAAACACTGCTTGTGTTCCTGGTCAGAACACAAAGTGACCCTGAGTCAAGTACCTTTTTGTCCCACACGTAACACCGTGTTTTCTGTAATTACATAATCATCGCAAAGACTAATAACATAACAATTAACATAACACTGAATTTCATGAACATCTTAGAGGGTTAAACGTTTGTTACGGATGGGACATTGCGTGTGCGAATTCTTAAACTTGCCCTGCAACTGAATCTCAGACAAACATATTCATCCTTGGTAGACAATGTCTAGTCTCTTCAGTTTTAAGACACCCGCAAGTTTAGATGAAAGTATTTGTTTAGTACATGCAAGTCAATACTTGTATAGACTTGTGGAAAGACCTCCAAGTTCAGAGGAATATTTGAAGCAAGGTACGCAACATAGGGGAAACACATAGGGGAAACACACACCCCCCTTGTGTTGGTAATTGTGCTCCCGGAATCTCAGGACTTCTTTTGAGATATCTGGGGGGGGGGGGGGGGAATGTTAGGTAACAATAGTCTACAGTGTGTGTGTGTGTGTGTGGAAGGGAAAGGTATTCCTCTGTCTCAAACAGTGCACAGCATACGGATGAAAGACCACTGGCACAAACCAGTGGCTGACCGGGGTCCTGTGGACTGGGGGCACTTAGCATGCTCAGGGCATTCATATCTTGCCACTGGCACAAACAGAACAGAACTTTTCGCTATCTGCATATCGCGTGCTGTGAGGTCATCTTGAATAATGACATGCGAGATGCTTTCTTCACAGCTGCACTTTCAATTCCCTACACATGGCTCACGCCATGAATAAAATATGCACATGTCTTAAAGCCCAGGCCCATAGAGCAACACCTGCTAATGCATGTGATATAAATGCCATCACTCCTGCAAATGCATGTGGTGTAAGCCATCACTCCTAAATTCTGCGGAAACCCATTGAAGTGCATGCGTGCCTTTAGGATTGTCGAAAAGACATTACTTGAACTACTGGTAGTGTACTTCAGCACTTTAAGTAAAGCAAACCTTAACCCACTTTAGAGCTCTCACGTGCAAAAGTTTCATCTTATCTTTGACTTTATTGTGACTTTTTCACAGTTTTTAACTTGCTCATCCCTTTACGCAATAAATGAAGCACCAAGTCTTTGTAGTGAAAATGTTTTTTTTTTCAGTCGATTTATGGCTTTTTCAGTCAGAACAAATTTCAGCTGACAAACGCAATAAGTGCTAGTCAAAGTGAGGAATGGCTCAATAACGTACGACTGCCTTATACAGTCACTGCATCTCGACAACACTTCTGTATTAATGTCTCCCCTATCATCCCTCCTCCACCCCATGTGCGTCAGTGCCGGACTCAGAGGATTCTGAATTGAAGACGAGGCGTTACGCTCTGCTTGCCGTCCCCTCCACTGTACTCAAAGAGCCTTGAGGGAAAGCATGGTTCTCTCCCCATGCATGACGTTTCTCCCCCTAAACCGTCCCCAAACTCATTCATGTGGTCGCCGCAAACAATTTGGCAGGTGTTACCTATCTAAGCATGTTTGTCCGGCGATCAAATCAAAAAGGGCAGCCTGTGAAGAGCTGAAAAACTTGAATCATCTGGAAAGGTGCATCTTGGCAATGACACTTTTTTTTTCTTCTCTCAAAGTTACTAACAAAGGTCACTGAATTACTGCAGATTTATTTTACTTTCTGACAGTGCTTATGTGATAAACCCTAACCCCTTCCCCAAGGAAAAAGTGGGAGGTAGGCAGGGATCGCCCTTAACTTTTTTCTTGACTAGCCAGCCCGACCAGCGAACCAGACTCTTAACTAGCCCGCCAGGCCTTTTCATTTATAGTCCGTAATAGAATTTTTTGCTTTTCTTTGCAATTTTTTTCTTCTCTATATTAATTTATACACTTGTGATTTTGGCGCAATTTTCAGCGGCGCAACGGCATGAGAAAAGCTGAATGCCTGTCAATATCAGATTTTTTTCTCAGACTGCATTACAAAAAAAACCGCGGAAGTCTGCATCTACCTGGAAAAGTTTCATACCAATCTCAATAATTTTGACTCGCCAGGCGGGCTGCTAGAGAATGGTTTTGACTAGCCCACCACAGTTTTGACTCGTATTTGGCTAGCGGGCTACTGCTAAGGTCGAATCCTGGAGGTGGGTAATTTTTTGTGTTTCTCTGGGTAAATTTTTTTTTTTTGGTACCACAAACTGAATTACATAGTTAAGGCTGAAACAATTTCACCCTGAGAAGTTTGGCAGATAGTATTAACCAGAATTTTGAAACTGCATTGCCAGTGTGCGAAATCTCAACAGCAAAAGCTTTTACCTAAGTGCTTTCCACGTGACTTTAGCCAGGTTTTCTTTTAAGGAAATGTAAAGAAATTAGAACTCGGGTCTCCCAACGTTGACACTACTGACAATTACACATATATTTTGAAACAAATTTCAAAGAAATGTTTCAAAGTCTCACCACACCTCTACTCTTTTCTTTAACTTGTATTTTACTTTAAAAAATTCCAAATTATTACATTAAATGTTACTGCAAAACCTGTTTAGTTATTAAATAAAGGAACAGCGACCGCCTGCTTTTGCATTTGCAAATTCTCAGTAAAATGCATTGGTACAGCTAACGATGGTTCGGGTTTCAGATTAAGGTATCGGATAACCGCGAGACACCCTACTCACCGATGCTGGAGGATCTGCTGTTGGAACGCTCCATGATTGCTCGCTTGTTGGGGTTGTTCATGACGGAACGCTTAGCCAAGGCTATGTCAGCCGTTACCCTGGTGATGGATATTCTACAAGGCAAAAGAAAAAAAATGAAAAATGGGGGGGAAAAAAGACAAAAAGAAAAACATGGGAGAGTCGTAAATTATCAGCAAGGTTGAATGTCGAGTTTTAAAGTGTGGTTTTCTTTGAGGCTGGAATCCTTATGAAGAAGAAAAAACTGAAGGAGAAAAACCCCAACTTTACACTTAGAACAGAATAAGTCAATGCACCATTCAATTGTGACATTTCCTTCTGCTGTTTTCTAGGTTTCTCTATTGGCAACATGTTTACCAGGGGATATTTCCATCTGAGAAAAAACCACAATAAAGTAAAGTAATGGTTCATCTGCAACTTGGCCGGTTCAATCAAAAAGTCAAAGTAGTGAAAAGAAAACAGAATGACAACCAATCAACAGTTCTGTTAATCAACTCGTCTTGTGATTGTGTTCCTGTCTTGTCGAAAACACATGCGCTCACATTCTCATCGGATTACTCGATGGGATGCAATAATAACACATGCTTATTGTTGCAGAATAGGCAAGTCAGCGTGACCTTTCCAAGATGAGAGACGAGGGGCTCAGCTGGACCTTGGGATAACTGACTGGGGGGATTCACCTGACCCCCAGGGATCAGCCGGTTCCCCGCTGAATGTATTAGCATTCCAGCTGATACTGCTGGTTACCGACATGTCCCCCCCCCCCCCCCCCCCCCCGACACTTAAACTCCATTCATTTCTGGGTACTTAAGCAAATTAAGTCATGCAATTGGCCCCCTTCTCAATGATGGGGAAAAGCTTTGAAAAATTGTGCCTGCAAGCTTGGTCCAAGTAAGTGACTTTAAGAGCCTAAAAACATAGCCTTGCTTGTCCAGCTATTCAAATGGAGGATTTTTTCTAGACCCAAAGGCCTAACCTACTGTCCCTTAACTGAGTGAGTCACTGACTGACAGACTGACCAGCAGAGTCTTGAGTATATTTATCGAGGCTTTCAGGTTCAACTCGAATACGGAATGAAAAACACTGTCAAATTTCACAGCTCGACTTTTTGAAAACAACATCCTTCTGGTGTGTTTAGGAACCGTGATAAATCAAAAGGAATAGCCTTACTCAACAGAATTCAAGGAATGGATCAACGAATCTCTCTCAACAGAATGTGCCCACTATCCGATTAAGCAGGGTACAGGTCTTCAACATTCAGCGGAACACTTAAGAAAATTGAAAGCCGGATGAAGGTGTTCGCAGAGAGCATTACCTTCCCTCAAACTTGCGCTTGAGGTAATCAAAGAGTGCCTTCTGCATCATGTCTGTGACTTCGTAGCCTTTCAGGGAGGGGCCCACTAGGACCACAGGGCGCATGGAGGGGACCACGTCATATGGCGGTATATTCTCCGTCTGCAGAAGAAAAACAATCGTAATGTGATTCTAAGGTTACAGTAGTGATCCCCGTGCTATTTTCAATTTTCATCCCGACAAATAGATTCCTTTTCTAAATTGCTCTTTTTCTAGCAACACAAAAAGTTTTTCAATTTTGAATGAGACACAACCGAAAAAACAAAAATTGTTAAGTTATTGAATTATTACTGTACAATTCGAACTATTGACTGCCAGGCAATAATTTCGTTCTCACAGGGTAGGCTTGTTGCCGCCCCACAATCAGAATCTAGAGTGAAAGGACTGGGAGCCAGTCTGCTCGCAGAGCAGATCCGTTTGTGCCCAAAACAAAAACCTTTTTTGCAGAGTGTTGCAGACGTCCAAAAAAGGAGAAAGGGAGGTTACATCAGTGAATAAGCAATATGTAATAATGTATTACAGTTGCTAATGGTTAAAAGATATTTTACCATGAGCATGACGTTTTACTGAGAGTGTTTTCCCTTAGTTAACTGCCTTAGTGAAGACAACATATAGAAAGATGTCACTGCTGCCTACCTTTTTAAAGAATGGTTTTCTCTTTTCCTTCGGCTGGGGCGAGATGGTGCTGCTCTTTGATCTGCTCAGCGACTCATTGTCGTCAACTTCTGCCATGCCGTTTTGATCCAAATCAACTCCTGTAGCACAAAGAAAATGAAAAACAACACAAATTGAAAATATTCTGACGACATTTGTGTACAATGTAAATATATGTACCACTGTGTAACATGGGAATTGGCACTCTAATGTTTTTCAAGAAAAAAAAAACAAGAGGACATTAAGTCACAATACCATTGATTTGTAGAGCAAGTTTTTTTCTTTGCTTTCTGAAGTCTGAAACAGGCAATGGGGTTTGCCAAGGTCCACCAATGGAAGAATGCATTTGGTGAAACTGTAACCACCCATAAGCCACGTCTGAAGTATACTTGGCTACGGCTGGAAATCACACACAAGTCTTTGAGAAGTGGTCTCAGCCGCATACATGTGTAATTGCAAGCAGCAATCACGTAATAAGACAGTTCGGTATTCCAACTACGCATGTGCACATCAAGATGTGCCGATTTTTCTTAAAACAGCGAAGTGTTTTTGAGTGTCTTGTGTGTCAAAACTTTTGTGCGAACGAAAGTTCCATCTCTTTTCGATTGCATGAAAAATTGCACAGAATGCAGATTTGGTTACCATGTCCCCCATAGCCTTGTGTGCATTTATCTGTCATGGTCATCCCCCCCCCCCCAAAAAAAATCGTCGAATCTTGCTGTTCCCCAGACTATTTTGGAATACTGAACTGGCTTATTCATGACCCTTCTGAATCCTAAACTAAAACCTGGTTTTGCTTTACTTTAATGGATACACTAAGTCTTTGTCGCCTTTTCTTTATACTTATTCTTCACAGAGTTTAATACTCAGTTTATTTCTTAATATGACACATTCCAAAGTGGATAGACGCTAGTATGGCGAATGAATATAAACAGACTGCTGTGTTATGCAAGTGTCGACAGAAGTGTTTTAGGTAACATTTTCTTTTTTTCCTACAGTCCTGCCTGTCATGTTTCCAATTTTAGAAACAATCCAGCACGAGTTCCCTACCCACGCACAGGTACACACAACAGAAAAGGAACCTCCCTCATGCATATCGCCTTGGTAACTCAAGTTGATCAGTTACACAACCTGCTAGGTTGAATTTGATTAACGTCTGTAATTACAGTCCCCCCCAAAAAAAAAAAAATTCGACTTCCGGGCAAGTTCTGTAAAGGCCATTTGAAAAATGAGCAATAACAAGGGGATCATCATGTTGTATTATCTAGTACTGCATCATGGTACGACGTCACTAACTCATAATTCTGCTGTCTATTACTAAATCCAACATTTATAGATTTCCATCTTTCCACAAAACCATTTTAAATGAAACTGTTTAGTTAGAAAATCTGTTCCTTGCTCTATATGGTTTCACCAAGTTCCTATGTTCTGTTCTCAGTACACATAGGCTTCCTATATATGTTTCAGCATATGATGTGGGCTGTGCTTGCATGGTTATTGATCTGATTGCGTCTGTTATGTTGTCCCCATTTCTAACGACCTTCTTTTTTTTTCTCTTTTTTCCCCTTTTTTTTTTTTTACATAAACCATTGCGCAACTGGTCTTGTGCAAATGTTCAACTACACTTTGGAACCAGTTTGTTTGGTTACACAACATGCAGTGCTGAATCCCAATTTAGAAGAATTAAAAATTCAGGGTAATTTTAAAGAGGAAGAATGGTTGGGTGGGGGAGGGGGGGGGGGAGACTGCTTTGTAAACGTAGCATTAACCCTTCCCCTAACAAAAAATGCCATTGTGGATATGTTGGCATTCACTTTTTCCTTTTATCCAAATAAAAATATCTGTACATAGAGCCAAGTATGCACTGGGCCTACGCCACACTGGAGTGCTAACACAGAGCACTTCTGCCCCGAAGGTCTGCTTCATCCCACGAAATTGACGGATTACGGCAGTTCAAAATGTCCTTCTCGTTATAACTGGCTCCAAGAAAATAAGTCGCTTAGCAATAAATAGCTTGTTTCCTTTAGTCAAAAACAAGATGTATATACCTCAGACAGAACTGGACATATTTTTAAGCCATCAATTCCTAATGTCAACAGAATCAAGCCTCATCAGGCAATTAGATGTACTTATGGGACACCACAAGCAGCATATATGCCAAGTAACGTTATACCGCTGACCTTTCAAGAAAAGTATAAACGCCGCAAACAGTTGGGATCGGACCTCGAGTGAAAAAGATGCACAAATGTCGCCCACATACGGCTCCATACCGAGATTAAATAACAAACCTCAACCGTACTGAATATTCTGGAGCTTGTTGCATCATGTGCCACGAGAGAGGTGCATGAAATCGAACATTACAAATGTCACCTTCAATTAATTATGGATGAATAAACATGTTATGAAACTGTTACAAAACAGAATGCATAATCTGCATCTTAGGAATTTAAAAGAAAACCTTGCCTACCCTCATCTTTCAGTTGAAATGGACTGTATCAGGATGCATAGAGCTTTTTTATTATAGTTAATCTGTCATGATTGAAATTTTGTTTTCTTGCAACAGGCCCGTGTGTTGGGAGTTATGGGGAAAGGGGAGTTAGCAGGAATAGGCCTACATTCTAGACTGGACAGCGTAAATGTAGTTTTTCCAGTTGATATAATTTCTTACAGCATGGTATACTGAAAAATGGACAGCAAATAGTACTGCACTTCAAATGCCTGAAAAACAAGCACCAGTTGTCATACCACTTCTTTAATTTAAAGGGAATATACAACATTTGCAAACAACGAAAAACAAAACTACCAAATTTTTACGAAATACCTTACTAGGATGTTGGTAAATGACAGTCTAAAGCATCCTGTAAAATTATGGCAGCTGGTGTGAAGTCATTTTCAAGAAAAGTGGTATTTTTGAATAAATTTCCAAAGGTGGTCGGCCGACCACCGTTGGAAAAACCTAACTATTTTTCAACTTCTGCTCCAAAGTTAACATTTTTTCAGTCCACATTTGGTTTGCTATTGGTTACATGTTCATAAACGGGTGCAGGCCAGCTAGACTGGTTCCCTTACCTTAACAATTTTCCGGCATCTATAAATTGATCTATTTCATCTTTAGTGGAGTCAGGGAACCAGATTACTTGAATTTTGTTTTTCTTGGTTTTTCCAGCATTTTCGAACACAAAACTTCAAACATGTCAGTGTAACAATATTTGATCTATTGTAAGCCCTTTAACCCTTACTCTCTGAGGGTAGTTTACTGCATGTCAGTTGGTTATGCCAATGCCCTCCAGCTGCAGTTATTTGGCAGATAACAAGTCTTAACAGTGAAGGCTCCAATTGGCAGGAGTTGGAGGCCCTGGAGGGTGCCTGATACTGACCAGCTGGGGGCACTCACTTTGTTATCAGAGGACTCTCATTGTTCTCTGTGGCATGTATTGGAGTGCCTGTCCAGTTACCCTTGAAATGACATGGCAGATATTGGAGGGCCATGCAAAAAACATAGGAGATTTTCTTGAGGCACAATTGGCATGCATTGGAGGGTCAAGTAGGGTAAGGGTTAATAGTTTATTTCCGAAAATAACAGCAAAAACCAATGATGTACATTCCCCTTCAATATTTATAGACAGCTTTTTTTTGTCTGACACTTGTGTGTTGTAGGACATTATTATAATTGTTTGCAGTAGAGTCTGGAAATTGCCTGTGTTAAATTACTAGGAAAAATTGTTCGACCGAGTCACATTATCCCGTCCTAATTAAAAACATTCAGAACTCATTATAGTGTAAGAGCTCTTGAATAGTGGGTGTTGTAACGCAAAGTTAAACAAAAATTAAATAAAAGTACAATCTCCAGTGAGAGACTGATGTTAACGTACTCCATGTCTCATTATGAAACCGCTCAAAGTGAATTTATACAGGTAACATTAACCTAAAAACAGCTCTGCCTCAACATAATTTATGAAGCTGCAATACCATAAACATTAAACAGACAGGCTTGCCTTTGCCTGCTTGCGGGGTCAAAGATAATCACCCGTATATATGTACATGTACCTGTACCGCATAATGCATGCAAGGGACAATCACTCAGTCTAATCAACTCAACTGTTATATCTTTCTACAATTGTTGCAGCGGGCAAATTGCATGAAGTTATCCGAAGATGAGAGTGTTCCCCTCCAACCCCCCCCCCCTCACCCCCACCGGCAAATTTCTGTACAAATACTTAAAATGATTCACATTCATGAACTTCCTGTGCGGTGATTATACAGGCCGAGGAGTCTGGACACGTCCACGGCCCCAATGAAACAGGAAATTTGAGATATTTGTCTCCGACAGCTTAACGATCAGTGGCATTTCATGAAGCAATACAAAATCTTTGCTGGGCAAATGTAGGTTGCTACTAGTAGCTAAACAATTCATGAACTGTACAATATTACATATTATTTATATCAGGCTTCCAGTGGTAAAAAGTGTCCGGAAGACTGCATTACGATGTCAGTAAAAGTACCCGGATGGGGGCAACATCATTGTTGATATTGTCCTCATCCGGGCATTTTAACAAATTTCGCTGGTTCCTGCACAATCAAGAGCGCAGAAACTCAGTTGTCAACCAGTCAACAGAGCGTAGCACCCGGTACCATCACAAGCGAACACAGCGCGCAGCAGAGTACTAGTAGCAGCTTTGAGCGACGCAAATTTTGCTTCAGTAAGCGAAAAATATTCAACGAAATTTGGGAAATAAAGACAGTGTCCTGAAATTTATTTTTCGCAGATACGCGAATCAAGTCAGCATGATATAGATAATAATAATATTGGATGGCCTTTTTTCAGGGGATAGAAGAATATATTGAACTCGCTTTAACAATATTGCACCCATCTTCGACTCATGCCATATCGTTATAGCTCATGCAATATATTCTTGTATCCCCCTTAAAGCCATCCAATATTATATAATTGCTTTGACTGTTCTAAGCTGATATGTTTGAGCTTAGTGCATGATTTTCCTGAACAATATTTTGTCTGCATATATTGTATGGGAGCTCTATGAAATTGGGCCAAGGTACATGTAGGTAATCAGAGTCATGTTCCTGTGGCGGTATCTTTAAG